AGCTCGAGCACTTTTGACAGCGCAGGGCGCCGGAGAGGGAGAAAGGATGGGTGGTCAGACAGGTCTGCCAGCGACAACAAAAGCGTTCGCTCTCAATCAAGAGGTCGAACGTTCACATTGTCCAGGGGGGACGCTACTTCTAAGAAACATCACAAGTCAGATAGCGGGAGCTCCCACAAGCGTCCGAAATCGTTTGACTTTGGGAAACCGTCGACGGCTTCCAGCTCAACTGTGTCGCTGCCCGCCACGGCGCACACGGACCCGTCCGCAGACCCTGAGGATTTCATCCACTACCTCCGAGAAGTGCAAAAGCCTGAAATCGTGGAAGTTGGAAAGATGCACAAGCTCCGTTTGTTGCTTAGAAATGAGACGGTGAGCTGGGTCGACGCCTTCATCTCCGATGGCGGCATGGACGAAGTCATCCAGCTCTTGTACCGAATCATGAAGGTGGAATGGAGGTTAGTACCGACCGATCCTTGCTGTCAGATGAAAATGAGACTGATGCGTTTGCGATAGAGAGGAACACGAAGACAATCTCCTCCACGAAACTTTGCTATGCCTCAAAGCTCTCTGTACGACATCATTGGCACTGAAGCGGCTGACGACGGTTGAAGAGGAACTGTTCCCGGCTTTGCTGAAGATGCTCTTTGACGAGGAGAAGAAAGGCCCCAGCGAGTTCACTACCCGGGGGATCATCATTAATCTATTATTCACCCACCTTTCAACAGCATCTCCCGACGAGATGCCAGCTCGGGCATCCAAGATTCTGTCTTATCTCCGGGATCCCACACCAGAGAACCAGCCTCTGGAGTTTATTGCTAACATGTACCAGCCCCGTCCATACCGGGTTTGGTGCAAAGAGGTCACCGGCGTTACCAAGGAGGTGTTCTGGATTTTCCTGCATCACTTGAACGTGATTCCACTTGTTCGGAAAGACGATGGGTCTTCGGAACAGCAAGAAAGTTACTTGAAGAGGCACTTCCCGGCCCCCAGGCCCCCAGTTCCCGCAGCACCCTACGTGGGAGGAGTCGAATGGGACGCCACCAACTATCTCGCTGCGCACCTGGATCTGATGAACGGACTCATTGCCAGTCTGCCGACCTGCGAGGAGCGGAACGCTCTGCGGGAAGAATTGCGGGCGTCGGGCTTCGAAAAGGTCATGGGTGGCAGTCTGCGGACGTGCAAGGAGAAGTTCTACTCTGCGGTTCATGACTGTCTGAAGACGTGGATTTCAGCCGCAGCGGAAGATGGCTGGCCGTACAGGTTTGTTCGGGAGGGCCCTGAACCGGGCTCACCGACCAAGTCGCCAGCCAAGAGCGCGAGTCCGAAGAAGAACCGCATCGAGGAGCCCCCGAAGATTTCCCTTGCCATGGAATTTGAGAAGGACGAGAAAGAGTCCAAGCTTGATAACGAGCTTGGCGGATGGCTATGAGAAACGGCCGAAAGATGTAATGAATTTCCTTTGTTTATGCATTTTCTTTTTTTTCCTTTGTGTGTTTTTCTTTCTTTTATTTTCTTTCTTTTTTCTTTTCTGGATTGGCGTCAATGTGCCGGCGTTTATCGGATGGGCACGTGTTCTATAAGCATATACTAGCTAGCTTGGATGGCTAGCTTCCATGAATAGCCATGGTCATATGTCCAGGAGTCTCTTTCCTGGCTTGGATAAGTCCGCATGTCCGAATGAGGACCGGAGTACAGTTGGATGAATTCATGAATGGGGTATAAATGAGTCGAAGGACGGATTTACTGACGATGTTGGAATTGCAATGGAGTCGGCCATTGTCTCTGTGATGTGTACATGATGTTGTTTTCTTTCGTGTCCTATTCGGAATGATGATCGCATAGCATGAATGAAATGCTAGACGTGAGTTTCTTCTTGATCAGCATCGAAAGAGTAGTGTAATATATGTAGTTCTCTTTAACATTCAGTGGAGGAGCCAAATAAAATAAACTCGGCGGAGACCTCTCGGCGGATCGGAGTGAAAAGTGCTCCGCCGAGCTGTCGGACTAGACCATACTCCCGCAACAAGCAGTGCAGTGTCTACAATTCTTCTCAACACAGGCTTTCTCTTTTCTTTCTTATCTATTTTAATTTTTTCTTTACCAATGCTGCCTGTTTCGCTCTCTCGACAGTTATTCTCGACCGCAGCATCGTCTACTCGAGCCTGTCAGTCCTCCGTGTCGCGTTCCGCGCCCGCATCCGCATGCGCATCATGGGAATACGTTCGCAGAAGAACAAGCCTAGTACGACCACCTAATCGAGGCAGCCAAATCCAGAATTATCGTCTCGTCTATCCTAAGAACACCCTTCGACGGTCCTTTTCCACGACATCGGCCGCGTTCTCTGAGCCCTCCTCGCCCTTCCGACTTACCTCCTCCAAATCATCATCCTCTTCCTCCTCCGCAGAAAGCCCGACGCAAGCACCGTCTGAAAGAGAGTCGAAATTCGATTATGAAGGTGCCAGCGATGAATACTACAGCCCCTACAAGCCCAAGCGACAATGGCCGCCGGACATGTCCAAGCTCTCACCCAAGCACCAGTTCCGACTGGAGCGGAAGTACCGACGCCGAGCGGCCCTCAAGTACGCACGGCCCAAGTGGGTGAAGGCGACGAAGCTGGTGCAGTGGGGGATAATTGGATGTGAGTGCAAACAAAACATAAGGCAGGAAAACCTTTGGTGTTAACGGAATATGGCAGTCGTCCTGATATACGCGGTTCTCTTCATGGATTGGGAGACGGAAGACCATCCGTTTGAAGAGGTGAGTGGTTAACGGGTTCCTGACGAACGACGTTTTTGCGTGAACACTGCTTGCTGATCAGATCGATTATTAGTTCCGGAAGGAATTCTTCGCAACGGTCAATTCGCTCTTCTCGCCTGCTCCACCGCCTGCTACTACCAGACGGACGGACGATCAAGCTGGAAGGTAGCCATGATAGGTATGGTACGGTACCTATCCATCAAAAACCATATACTGTATACAGCACCATGTAATATAATATAAATATTCAAGGGAAAGGGAAAATCTATGATATGATACCAATTTAGCTTGCTGGACGGATATCTATCTCTCTGTCAAATTCTCTACCTAGGTAATTAACCTCGGAAATAAAACCATTTGGAAATCAAGAATCGAATTCCGACTGCAGTGATCAGATTGAAAGTGCTGTACATAATAATACTCCGTACATGCAATGCAATAGTAATCCACGGCTTTTCGGCCCACATGGCGGAGACTGGCGGAAACTGGCGGAGATTCGATTCGAAGGATAAAGCAGGAAGAGCTTGTAGTTTTCATTAATTGCCAGTGGAGACAGACAGACAGAGCTGGTCTGATTACTATTATTACTATTACTGTCATCTCCACCGGTTACCCTATTTAAGTCAGTGATTATGATTGCATTTTCACATGCAAAGAACTATTTATTGTCCCGTGATGATTGCATGTCCGACTGCGTCTCGGCCTCGGATAAACGATGATGCGTGTGCCTCGGCTCTTTCTGTAGCAAGCAAGCTCCTTCACGCGGGCCGATGATATAATAGGTCCGGTCGGGTTGCAGTCGGTAGACTCGGTACAAAAGGCCCTGACTGACGCCTATTTCTTCCTTTTCTACATACTTTCAACTGAACTCAGTTGCATTTGCTGTTGAGATTGTGTCTTTTCCTCAGTACTGCTTTTTATTTTCTGGACGGATCACCATGTCTCAGGGTATGATACGATGAATTGATGACCCCCACGTCAGATACGTACTGACATGTGATGCTTCCTTCCAGCACAACAACGGCTCTCCCAGGTTGCCTCCCACTTCACCTCCGGGTCGAAGCCTGCTGGCGGCGTGGCCGCGCTCACGGAGAAGCACCCTGACGACATCGTCGTCACTTGCGCTCTCCGAACGCCCATCACCAAGGGTGGAAAAGGTGGCTTCAAGGACACCGCTGCCGCCGATCTGCTGGCGGGCGTCTTCAAGGGCCTCATCGAGCGCAGCGGGATCGACCCCAAACTCGTCGGGGACATTGCCGTCGGCTCTGTCCTGCCCCCCGGTGGTGGTGCGACGGAGTTCCGGGCTGCGGCCCTGGTGGCCGGTTTCCCCGAAACGACGGCCGTCAAGAGCTTGAACCGGCAATGCTCTAGCGGTCTGCAGGCGATTGTCGACATTGCCAACGAGATCAGGGCGGGCGTGATTGACATTGGTGTTGGTGCTGGTGTCGAGAGCATGAGCCTGCAGTACGGGTAGGTGGTAGTCTTCTGCTTATAGTGTGAGTCTGGTCTGACAATGCATAGACCCGGCGCAGTCACCGAGTTCTCGGAACTGCTGGAGAGCCACATGGAAGCGGCCAACTGCAAGGTGCCCATGGGCGTCCTCTCCGAGCAGATGGCCAAGGACCGCAACATCACCCGTGCCGAGCAAGACGCGTTCGCCGCCTCGTCCTACCAGAAGGCGGTCAAGGCCCAGAAGGCCGGTCTCTTTGACGAGGAGATCTACCCGCTGCAGGTCAAGTGGACGGACCCCAAGACCAACGAGGAGAAGACCATCACCGTCAAGGCGGACGACGGGATCCGGGAGGGCGTCACGCCCGAGTCGCTGAGCAAGATCAAGCCGTCCTTCGCCAAGGACGGCACGATCCACGCGGGCAACGCGTCGCAGGTGTCGGACGGGGCGGCGGCGGTGCTGCTGATGAAGCGCTCGACGGCGGAGCGGCTGGGCCAGAAGATCATCGGCAAGTACGTGACGGCGAGCGTGGTGGGGGTCAAGCCGCTGCTCATGGGCATCGGGCCATGGAAGGCGATCCCCGTGGCGCTGGAGAAAGCGGGCATCAGCAAAGAGGACGTGGACATCTACGAGATCAACGAGGCGTTTGCGTCGCAGTGCGTGTGGTGCGTCAAGGAGCTAGGCATCCCGTTCGAAAAGGTCAACCCCAAGGGCGGCGCCATCGCCTTTGGCCACCCGCTGGGCTGCACGGGGTCGCGGCAGGTCAGCACGCTGCTGACGGAGCTGAGGCGGACGAACAAGAAGATTGGCGTGACGAGCATGTGTGTCGGGACGGGGATGGGTATGGCAGCCGTGTGGGTTGCTGAGTGATGCCCTGGAAGGACCCTAAACTAGCCCTTTCTTTCTTTCTTTTCTTTTGTACGAGTACCAGGTTGAACGGTATGATATTGATACCTTTGAGTACTTAGTTCATACGAATGAATTGCATTGCATTGCCTTGTCAATCATAAGTCGTCAGTCAAGTTGATAGAAAAAAGTGCTAAGGTATATAGTAAAAATGAACAAGTACGGTATAGTATAGTATATCCCAGATATATTCCACAGACCAGACTGACAACATCCAACATCCAACAATCTACCTATCCCCAAGAGCACAAACAAACAAACAAGCACGAGCATACCTAACCGTAGTATATATACGGAGTAGTATAGGATATGTATACCTAGGTAAGCAGCTATTTCAACGTCCGATGCCTCTTAAACGCCTCAAACACCGAAACGCCCTGCTCAACATCCGCCTTGGCCTTGTCATCCTGCTCCACGAGCTGCGGCATCAGCGCCAGCACGTCGTCGAGCAGGGCGCGTGGGATGACGACGACGCCTTCGAGGGCGTCGCAGATGATGATGTCGCCCTGCAGCATTAATACAGACATGATCAGTGGGTTCTTGTAATTATTGTAGGTTTTTGGGTTAGTTCAGACCTACGGGTGAGATGGTGACTCCTCCGAAGGAGATGGGCACGTCGCGCTCCCCAGGTTTGGCTTCTGCGCCGGTGCCGACGGTTGATGTTCCGCGTGCCCAGACCTGAAGTAAATTAATACATTAGCATGTAGATATACCTATATGTAGTATGTATGTATGTGTATACTGAACATACATGCAACCCCGACCCATGCAACTCGGCCAAATCCCTCACTCTCCCATCAACAACAGCCGCCTTGACGCCGAGATACTTCAGCCGCGCAGCCATGATCCCGCCCAGCGCGGCGCAGGACTGCCCCGCTGGCTGCTCGATCACGACGACGGTCCCCGGCTGCGCCCAGTCTACCCAGTGCTTGCCCGGAGGGAAGCCGTGCTTCTCTAGGGACTCGACCTCGGGCGTTGGGGCGTCTTTGGGGATGAATCTGAATGTTGAGACGGGGGCGATGATCTTCGGTTGGCCGGATTGGCGGCCGATGAAGGGGGAGAATGGGGCTGTTATGTCAGTACGATTTTTTTTTAAAAAAAAAACATGAATGACGGATGAAAACGGATGATTGCAACTCACTGATATCCTTGAGGTGTCCTGCAAGTGGGTTACCCTTTTGCAGTTTCAGCAGGGCGTCGGAGACCTAATCCGTCAGCATCAGTTAATCGAATTATAAAAACAAACAAAAGCTTAGTATTTATCATCCTCTAGGAATTGACAAACATACATCACAAGGCGAAAAATTATGCAGCGCCTCAAGCTTCTCCTCGAGGGTTTTTGGAGAAGACGAAGACGACGACGAGGACGACATCGTGCGTGCTGTTGTATACGCTGCAGTTGGGAAGGAGACAATCGGACCGGAGTTGCAGTATAAGAAGAACCGTAAATTAGGGTAGGGACGTAGATGATAGGAAGAGCCCGGCAAGAGATTGAATAATCTTGGAGAAACTCTCATCTGATTGATTCGAAGGTTGATTTTAAACCGTGGTTCATCCACCGGAATAATAGAATGAATAAAAGTAGCTCGGGACAGGACTGCGGGCGGAGGAAATGCAAATACAGTTTCTCCGCAACTGATATGTAGGTAGGTACAGACTAAAGTAGTAAAGATCTATCTACGGGGAAATCACCGGCGGACGTAGGCTAGATTATCGTCGCGGAGAGAATACCCGTTATCCGATTTCGGCCGTAAAAAAAACGCGAGCTATTTATTCTTGTTTTAGAGAATATGTAGCTGATACTCTGACAACGTGGGGTCATTTCATCATTGCGGGGAAGATGAGCACGGCACGGAATATCGCAACAGGCAAGCGACTAGTAACTAGAAACTCCAAGATGGGCTAGTAAACAATATAATAACATCATGTAGGGAATCAGTTATAAGTCTTGCATACCATTGTGTATTCAATTATTAGACCTGGTCAATTGCAGTCGCAGATTTATATTTCATCCAGTTTTCGGCGGAATCGTCTACTTCCCTTTCGATACTCCATACTTTGTAAGACAGCTGGCCAATACCTCAAGGGTACTTCTTATAGTATAATCAACATGACATATACATATACTCGCGACCAACTCGGCCAGTACCTGCAACGCATCCGCTACTGTGAAGACGCCGGCGACAATGCCGCAGCTCGACTGGCACACCTCGAGCAATCCATCCACAAGGACCCCCTAGCTGCGCTCGCCGAGCTGCAGAGGCGACACATCGCCACGATCCCCTTCGGAAACTCGGCCCTGCATTACTCCCAGCATCGCTCCATCTCCCTGGATCCGGGCGTTCTGTTCCGGAAACTGGTGACCAGCGCCCGCGATGGGTACTGCATGGAGAATTCCGGGCTATTCTACATCGTCCTGAGGTCGCTTGGTTTCACTGTCTACGCGACAGGAGGCCGTGTCAGTCGAGCTATCAAGAATGGCGTCGATGATGGCGGATATGGCGGGCTGTAAGTTGACCAGTTCATCACCCTGGACAGTCACCCAGCTACAAATCGGTATAGATTTAGCTGGAGAACCTGGCTAATGCGAGCCGCAGCGGCCATATGGTCCTGATCGTTACAATTGGGCAGGTCAAATATATGGTAGGTAAATGCATCCCAAATATCTGCGTCCTGTGTCCTGCGTACTGAGATGTCAGGTTGACGTCGGGTTTGGTCCAGAATGCCCGACGCGCCCATTGCCGCTCGAGGAGGACAAACCAGTGGCATACATTGCCCCCGCGGAGATGCGCCTGATCAAAGACAGCATCCCCGAATTCACCGACAAAAGCCAAAAAGTCTGGATCTATCAGACCCGACATACCCCCAGCAGTGACTGGCGGCCTGCGTACTGCTTTTCTGAAATCGAGTTCCTGCCGCAGGACTTTGGAGTCATGAATTTCTACACCAGCCAGAGTCGGACCTCCTGGTTCACGCAGAAAGTGGTCTGCGTGAGAATAATCCTAGATGCGAATGAAGAGAAAATCGAAGGCCAACTCATTCTGGCTGGAAACCAGGTCAAAAGGAGGATCCGTGGCGAGTCGGAGGTTCTTCAAACACTGAAAACAGAAAACGACAGGGTCAACGCTTTGGCAACATGGTTCGGCCTGCATTTCCAGGAAGAAGAGGTCCAGGGGATCCAAGGCTTGGTTTCGCAAATCTCTTCTTGAATTCATTCCCAACTGGCTATCGGGCTCATAGTACTGTACAATGCAGTTCAAAAGCAGCAGGTATACGGATATGACTTCGACAGGAGGAAAAAAAAAGAGAGAGAGATTTAGAATTGGAATTTCCTCTAATAAATTCTCTTTTCGACCTGTTGCAATGTCAGCGTCGCAACAGATAAGGTGGTATAACCGGCTACCTACCCTCCATGGATTGCTCACTTCGAAGCCCTTCGGGGCCTCGGCATTGCCGGACTGTCCTCTCAACCTTCCTGTTATCCGCAGATCTCTCTCCATCACTGCTCGAGGTTAGCATCAAGGTATGGCCGACAGTTTCAGAATTCAGGCTCTAAATCAGTAACATACTTTGCTGCCCAATCGTTAGCCAAGTCAGCCTCGCGGACGCTGTAATCAACAGACGACTTACCCTATCCCACGCGTCGAGGTTCCACCGCGCCTTCTTGTGGTCATTCGCGTAGTACTTGACGATGCTGAGGCCGGCGCCGGTCACGCCAAACATCTATCCACAGGTAAGCACCCGGTCGGAAGACGAAGCCAGGCGGCACCTACGCCAATGATGATTCCATAGGGAATCAGAGCCTCGAAGGGGACACCCATGGTGACAGCAATTGATTCGATCAACAGACGAAAAAGCTTCTTTTCTGTCTCGAGCACGGCTCAATGGTGCCGACGAGAGAGGGGATGAGGCCGTCCGTCGCCGTCGACGTCGCTCGGAAGACGGCTGTCGGCCCGAAAGGGCTTAGCGCGGTGGCCTGGCTTGGCGCTGATCAGTCAGCAACCATCCAACAACCTCACCCGGCACGGCACGAGAAGGGGCAGCGGAGCGCCGTATCGCCTTCAAAGGAGCGCGAAAAGCAGTCTGATTGTCGTTCCTGCGGCGGATTTACGCGTCAAGGTACGTGTTTTTATGTCCTCGCTGCTTGCTGTCCTTGTCCCGATGTCTTGATCCCGTCTGGGCGCATTTTTGACCATCCTCGGTTCTCCTCCACTGACGCCACTGAGCTTCTTAGGCAGTTTACTTTCCGACGACAAGTACGGAAGTGCGATTCTTCGAGCATACTGCGACGCTATGTGTCTCTAGAATTGCCCTCGCTCGAAACCCTCTCTCCGATGCCTCATTCCTATAAGCTTAGGTGACGGTCTCCTCTCAACGAGGAGCCTAAAACGTCTCCATCGTGGGTCTCTTCAGGAAAATCTACAGGGCTGCGAGTGGCGCAGGGATTCGGCTCAATCTGGCGACAGCGGTAACCTATACCATGGCGGCGACCATGCCGGCCACCTACGACGATCCCAGAACGAACACTCAGGCCGACGCGGTCGACAGCGACCAGGACGCTGAGGGGGAAGAGGACCCCGATCTGTATGAGTTGGATCAGCGATTGCAGGATGCTGTTCAGAAAGCAGACGCGGGAGAGCAAGATGAGGACGATGAGGCTGCCATGGAGTCGGAGCCAACAGACGATGGCAAGATCGAGGCAGAATCAGAAGAGGAGGAGTCGAGGTCGCTCGATGCTGACGATGAGGACTTTGTTGACACGGTGAAGCCCCGCAAACGCAGGAAAAGGGCTGCAAGTGAGGCTTTAGAGTCGGAGGATGCGGACGTGGCTTACGAGTCAGCTAAATCCGAGTCGGACGATGCTGAGGCAGAAGAATGGGAAGCTGAAGCTGAAAACGATGAGGCCGAAGCGGATAAATCCAGCCATGGGAATTGCATGTGAGTGCCAACCAGTTTCAGACCCATCAAAAGGGTTATGCACTGACAAGCTGCCAGATTCTGCGGACAAGATGAGGAGCATGATCCGTCTGAGGATTTTGAGGAATACCTGACCTGTGCAGTTTGCGGTGATCACTGTGCGTGTCTCAAACATTCGCCTGCAGCTCATTCTCCCTTCATATCAGCGACTAACCTGACCATGCATGTCGCAGCCCACCGACAATGTGCCCGAGAACAGAATGCTCTGAGTGAAAGTGACGGTATGCCCTTTGTTTCTAAGGCCAAGGTATACACGCTGACACCACGAGCAGATGCAGAAAACTGGCGGTGTCCCACCTGCGTGCAGAATAAACTGGAACCAGATCCTGGGGAGCAGACAACCACGCGACGCAGAGGGGCTCAGAACATCACGAGGGATCTTCTCCCTGCGTCGACCGGCTCGTCCGGTCCTGCTTCTCACTCAATTTTCAACAATCTGATTGTTGACGACGACCCCATGGACGGGACACGATCACTGCGCAAGAGAAAAACATCGTCTGCTGATATGGACGATCACACGCCGGTCCTGCGCAAGCGACAGCGCCAGACGCCGTCGCGGGCTGGGACGACCGACGCGGCTGTTTCCGCGGACGCTAACGGGGCTGTGGAGACGGCATCGCTGCCCCGGACGCGGCCGCGCCGGACTCGAAAGGCAGACAAGGAGCTGTGCCGGGTCGTGCAGAAGAAGCTTGGCAAGCTCGTCCTTGCTTTTCGTCTCGACCCAGGCAAGACGGCCAAGATCCTCAGCTCTCGCCCTCGTCCCAAGAATCGGAGACGCAGGCCTCCGAAGCCGCCCCCGGTGGAAGAAGAGCCTCAAAGCCACTTTGCTCCCATTTATCCAAACTACGGCTCGCCGTTGTACTCCTTCCACGATCGCGAGTCCGATCAACTGAATTCGAAACCCTACGGCGGTATACTATCCGAGGAGGATGCTGATACCAGTCGAACCATTCCCACCCAGGCCGACCGCGAGCGGTTCGAGCTTGCGCGGAGAAAGGCCGAGGAAGACTGGCAGAGGAAAGCCAAAGAAGACGAAATGGCTGGCGATGCCAATCATCGAGGGTCGCAGAAGGTGTCTGGCCCTCCGAGCAAAATCAAGTGGATCAACTTTGGCGGTTACGAGATCGAGACATGGTATGCAGCGCCGTATCCCGAAGAGTACAGCCGCAACCGGGTGCTCTACATCTGCGAGTTTTGCCTCAAGTATATGAACTCCGATTTCGTTGCGTGGCGTCACAAACTCAAGTGCCCGGCGAAGCATCCGCCTGGCGATGAGATCTACCGCGACGGCACCATTTCCATCTTCGAGGTGGACGGACGCAAGAATCCGGTGTACTGCCAAAACCTGTGTCTCCTGGCCAAGTTGTTTCTGGGGTCTAAGACTCTTTACTATGACGTGGAGCCATTCCTCTTCTATGTCATGACGGAATACGATGAGTACGGGTGCCACTTCGTCGGCTACTTCAGCAAAGAGAAGCGGCCCAGCTCGTCCAACAACGTCTCCTGCATCCTGACACTTCCCATCCATCAGCGGAAAGGTTACGGGAATCTCCTCATTGACTTCTCCTATCTTCTGACGCGCGTCGAAAAGAAGACCGGTTCGCCAGAGAAACCGCTTTCTGACATGGGACTGGTGTCCTATCGCAACTACTGGCGGCTTGTCTTGAGCTACCAGTTGCGCAACCAGAAAACCCCTATCAGCATTGCGGAGCTCTCGGAGCGTACTGGCATGACTCCGGATGATATCGTTTCCGGCCTGGAAGGGTTGCGCGCTCTTGTCAGAGACCCGGTCACGAAGAAGTACGCGCTACGGCTGAACTACCAATACTTCGAGGAATACATCCGAAATTGGGAGAGCAAAGGGTATGTGAAGCTGAACCCTCTCGCTCTCGTATGGACGCCGTACGTCATGGGGCGCAACAATCAGTCACATTACGATCGCACTCAGCTGCATACTGTCGCTCCACGAGATGGATCAGAGGAAGGTGAGGAAGGCGACGCCGAAGAGAGGGGGAAGACTAAGCTCGGAGAGGGCAACGCCGCAACTCCAGGGTGGAACGGTGACGCAAATGGGCACGTCGATCCTCAGGGGTTGCCATACGCCCCGGCAGGGCCTCCCTCGACGAGCGCTCTCGATAAGGCGTCGGCGAACCAAGTGAACGGCGACAGCGGTTCATCTGACAAGACACCCGAGGAGGAGAACCCAGCTGCTGGTATACCGCCTACTCGATTCGAGATCTATCCGCCGATCCAGGGTCCGCCACCAAAACGGCGGCCTGGTCGTCCTTGGGGTAGCAAAACCAATTATAATCGAGTCTCGTACACTCCCGCCTCACGGTCCAGCCGCACTCCAAGACGGTCGTCGGCTTACACTGCTGGGACACCTGCGACGTCTATTAGACGAGGAAGAAGTGCGAAGTTGACTGATCCAGCTTCTGCCCAGTCTCCTACAGTCAATGGTAACGGGAATGCAGAGAGAGCCCAGGACGAAAGCGCTATAGTCGATGAACCGGAAATGGCGGTAGATGGCGAGTTCCCTGCAGAGAATAACTCTGTGCAAAAGTTGCCGACGAACGGTGTGGAACAGGCAGACGAGGTGGTCGAGAATGGGCATTCGGAAGCGCCAAGCACCGGGCACCCTACTCCTCGCAAGAGTGGGAGGGGGAAGGGGAAAGGGAAGGGAAAGGGCAAGGGGAAGGGGAAGGGGAAGGCTGTTGACGAGGACAAGACTGGCAGCGAGGGTGACAAGGTCAAAGTCATCATTCGGCCGCCGGCAGCGCCAGTAAATGATAGCGACGTGGATGCCGAAGGGGAGGTGGACGACGAGGTGGATGCGACGGCGATGTCGTTACAATGTGACGAACGATTTGCATGAGCATGACTGGCTGTTTTTGCGATTTCACGCTGACTTAGCAGGCTGATATCCTTCTGTATCGGATTTGGCTGGTCTTTTTTCTTTTTTTTCTTTTTGTCCCGGTACGATTCCATGAGCCATACGTGGTGACGCAAATTCTTGTTTTTTTTTCATCATCGTACTTGGAAGGAAGCAAGGGACGGAGTGAGGGGTCCAGGAGTTTGGATTTAGTAATCCATGCATTGTTTAATAGTCAAGTCGAGTCACTATTATTTATTACTTTCTGGTGTTGATTTCCTAGGCTGCAATTGCAGGAAAGCGCAAGGACAATGCATTCATCGTCATACCTGAGGTAGCTAGCTAGATAGCTAGGTTAAGTAGCTGGCTAACCTAGCTCTACCGCGAATAGATAATTCTGCTGAGTACTGTACCGTCTGGGGAAAAAAAAAGATAGTATATACAACATGCCCTGCTTTCCTTCCTTTCCTTTACTGGGCAGGTCATGATGACGATGATGATAACGACGATATACATCGAATAGGCAAAGGTAAGAGAACCCTACTTTAGTAGTTTCCCCCTCCCCTTAGAGAAGGTAATAATAATTCCACAGAAAGAGTGGTCTAGCGTTATTATAACGCAGTAGGCATAGTAGAAGTAGGTAATATATATTAATGTTGTCCAGGTTATTTTTATTTATATGAATCTGTGGCTGGCTGGTTGCCTACATTAGGTAGGTAGTAACTATTAACCACTGGGCAACCTACTAGGTACCTAAGTACCTAGATATCTACCTAAGCTAAGGCTAAGTTAATATATAAAAAAATATAAACATTGTTCCGGAAATTGTTCCAGGTCGACAGTCAACTCTACACTGTCATCTGTATCTACCTATACGTCTTTTCTTTCTTTCAGTCACTGGATTAATTATGTTAGGTAGACACTGCCATCACAACTAGAATGTAAGGTTATCTAACAGCTGTCGTGGAATACTGTAACTCTATTATAATTATAGGACACAGGTGACATGCCCTTAACGGTGTGCAATGAAAGCCTTCTTTGTGTGTGTGTAGTACCTGCATACCAAACAAGAGGGGGGGAAAAGAAAAAAGAAGACCCGCTTCAAATGCCGATTCCTGCTTTACAGTACAGAGTACACTACAGTCTACAGGGATAATACAATAATGGATATTCTCCTAGATACCTGCACAAGTTATAACGTGTTCTTAACAAAAAATAATATTAATATTACTTAATATCGATACTCTGAAGGTATACCTGCTAGGTATGTAATCATAGATAGGTAGGTAGATAGATAAGTTTTAGTTAGATAAAGTAGTACATACAATCCCAACAGATCATAATTACTACTTACTTATTACTTACTTGCTTGCTTTCTTGCTTGAAAAAATCATATTCATTCACGAACGTTATGTTATTATCGAATCCGGAATCCGGCAAGTTATTATAGTAATTAACTCGACGCTTTTGGTCTGCTGGACCCGATCCGAAATCCGAAACTCTGATAAACGCCAATTAGGTTGATCTCACTAGGTAAGGTGGGCTACCTAACTCTATCCGGTGCGGACGTCCAAAAAAAACAAAATGCGATTTGGTCGTGTCGACCATGGAACGCGAGCTGTCAGCTTGACCTTACGCAACAATTGAGTTAAACTTGAATCAAGTAAATGAAGAAATAAAGAATTAAAGAAATAAAGAAAGAAAAAAAGGGGAAAGAAAAAAAGAAATAGAAAATAAAATTAAAGAGAGAATGTTCATGTCTGTTTTTGTGTTGTTTTTGGACTTGCGGTCCTTTTTTTTAATTCCTTACTCGTACGGATCTACAGCTTTATTACTACTACTATTAAGGATGCCAGAACTGGAAAAGAAAGAGACAGAGACATCTTACAGAATTACTGGACCAGCCTGCTTGATGCTCAGTGTAAATGTGTATCCGTATACACCATCCTCCGCATACTGTGGGCCATTCGCTTAGGACTCCGTAGAGCACTCCGTAGAGCATCCGGCACAGCTAGCAGCAATCAATCAGCATCAGTCACAATAAGACGTCAATTGGTGTTATTCTCCCATCTGACTGCCTCTTGCTTCCATAGGAGACCTATAGTTAAGCGCCAACTCTCGCTAGGATGTCACGAGAAGCTGTGATTTCGGTGGTCGAAGAATTCATCACGGGCGAGCAAAAAGAAAACGGTTCGAACGGTGATCCACCGAGTCGTTCGTCTCTGCCAATAATGCTTGTCCACTCAGCCTGAAAGTGACCTATTCCATAAGGAAGAGCATGAAGAAGATTCCTCTGCTGCAGCTTGCAGGGCACAGACTCCATCCGAAGCACTTAGTCCGTGCACGTAGAGAGCTGGAGAGTACTCCGTAATGTCCTCTCGCTTAGCCCCATCTGTCTCCCGAAAGCTGCTCCGCCTGGACTTCCCCAGCTTCTCCAGGCTGGCAACCAGCCTCGCTGCAACTGTCGGTGCCTTGTGGCCCTGGCTCCGCTCGTTTGTCGACGCACGGGAAACACGCTGCCAGCCGGAAGGGAACGCCGCCGCAAGCAACGAGGATCCTCTGTAGATCCAGACCTGGTCGTCCAGATTGCACTTCGTGGCGCTGGAGACTGCGGCCCCATAGCGTCTGCACTGACCATTTCGCGTGGTCTCCCTGCCAATCCACTCCCAAGAATAGCACCCCATTGTACTGTAATACTGTACCTATAGAATGCGCTACGCGTAGCGTGGGCTCATGGTGCACGGCGGCGCACCCGCATTGGACGCGGCCTCGTAAGCAACAGGCCTGAGATTTCTGCCCTGTGTCGTTCTTCCCAAACGCCATTGCCCGTATCCAGTGTCGACTCGGTAGGGCGCAGCTCCCTGTATCTGCTGTCGTACGCGCCGTGCAGCTGAGATCGCAATGACGGCGCGCTAGGACCATAGGCCTGGCAAAGGCGATAACAGATGCGGTCTAGCAGGGATATCCCCTTGCGAACCCGCTTCTGAATGCCGTCCAGCTTGTTCCCGCCGGTTCATCAACCGCAGCATGGCTTCCTTCATTACGTCAATAACAGAACAGCAGCCGGTGCCATCGTCCCCCGTGATGCCGTCTCATCTATCTGAGACGGAGCAACCTGTGCGTAGCCTGGAAGGGCAAAAGCACAACCCGACCCGTTTGTTAGTGTTTCCAGATCGGAGATCGTGACCTGCATGGCGGGCGTGTGGGATGTGATCCGTCCAATTCCCTCCGATTGCCTGCACGAGACCGCAGCCCTCTCACGACGGATTAAATCCCCATCCAAGGCGCCCATGTCTTGCCCCAGACACTGCTCGTCAGGGGAAGCTTTCCCATCCACTGCTGACCGAGGATTTGTTTTTCTCTTTTGCTCCCTCGCGTGTACTATACCTCTTGCAACCGCTCTGTACTCTGTATATGTGCCGCTCCCCTTTCTCAGCTGCGAAGTGGTTCGATCTCCCTCGTGTAAGATGGTCGTCCGCACTGAGGCATTGGGCCGGGCTCGAGCGTAGCGGCGGAAGGCCACGGTTTTTCATCTCATCGAGAGGTGCTTTTCCTTTCACAGTTCGCTGACGAAGTAGGCGCGACGGATTGTTTAGGAGATTCTGTTGTTGTCCTCCACAGACCTTGCGTCCTCGACAGCCTAGGCACAGTGACCAGCGTCCCAGCCACGTCTGCGATTTCCTCCGCCAGCGCTTCTCCTTCAGCTGTGACATTTGTCGCCCATCATAGCGTCTGCAGGCTGAATTCCACGGGGTGTTTTGTCTGGATCCCAGTCCTCCAGCTCAGTCGCTACGCAGCGGCGTTGCGCGTTGTCCACCAACCCCCCTGGATTGGGATGGAGATGCCGCCTGGGAAGACATAAAAGACATAACAGGAAGGAGCGCAAAGTCAAAAACGGCATCCAGGAGAAAGAACCAAGGACCACGGTGTGTACCGATTTCTTTCTGGAGCCTGAAAGGCCCTGCGACGTTGTTGGGGGCTCTTTGTACGGGGTCTACGTTGCGGGGGCTGTATATATACGGTAGGTTTCTGACTGGAATGCTAGGCGCGCGCGCACCCCAGGCGCACCACCAAGCCGATCTCGAAGATTGCCCTTGCATCTCTAGGGGCCTCTGCGGCGCTTACGGGGAGGAAATCTTGCATAGCCGGCTCCATCTCCGCACGACACGAAGAGCCAAAAACGGTTGGCTCGCCGGATTTAATCTTCGCGGTGGAACTGAGAGCGGCCTACCATCGTCGCGCCATTCAGCGATAACCGAGCAGTCAGGCCCAGCCAGGCCTGCCAGATCCCCTTTGAGTTTGTGGCCCTCTGGGCGAGGCTCGCTGGTGACCGGGGGGGGGGAGGTGGTCGCGTCTGGCCAGCACCGCCAGGCTGCCCTAACCGCGAAACAAAATCGCTCGCCGAGGGAGACGCTGGCAGTGTGCGCATCATTGCAAGACGGTTGCCTATTACGGTGCATGACGGCCTGTCTTGCCAGATGAGCGCCCGGGACCCTTTGTCACCCGTGGTTCAGACGCTCTGGGAAAGCCTGGGACGAGCAGCAAGAGTCCAACGGTCAGGCTGCATTGGCTGCAGTTGCGCTCCACCAGCCCATCCTGACAGCGACGAGCGTACGGTACGGACCAGAGGGAGCGACGACAGCCTAGGGCGCGTCCAGGCGTTCCGACCACCCTCCGGCCGCACCGTCTGACCAGCAGCAGCATCATCGTCCAGCGCGTTAGTTATAGTCGGCGATCTATCATTTCCCGCTTTAAGGTTGGTCTCGAACGGAGGCACCGAGGGGCGCTTGCCGCTTGCGCGCACAAGCGTTCTGACGACACCTCCACCACCTCGATCCGCCGCCGTTTTCGTTCCCCTCCGCTCTTAGGGCTGGCAGTACAAGTCTGATAGATTTATTCCCACGGAATCCCCACCCATGGTAGTGGTGGCCGATATATTCTCTCGGAGAACCTACCACCCCACCGTATCAACGTCTTCTCGACGGTACTGTCTGTCTGTCTGAGCCCGTGAGCGCGACCCATCTTTCCCTCGTCTCATCCTTCTCTCGTTAGTCCCTCTATTCTTCCCCTGGTCGTTCGCCTTCGCGGTTCTCCAGACTTTGGGTCTTTCTGCGTAAATCCTGGGTGCTGCGTTCCCGGTTCCCGTCGAGCTGCTCGCCTTGATGAGTGCTTCGACGTTTGCGGACAGCTCCGTTCCTCGCACGGAATCCCAGAGGTTCGTCGTCGCGGTTCTTCCGTGTCTCGTCTCCCATCTTTTTTTCCCCTTCTCTTTTGCCTGCTCTCTTACTCAGCTCTCCCACTGACCATGTTGTCCACCAATAGCTCTGACTTCGAGTTGATTGTTCGCCAGCAACCGGAGCGGGCACGGGTCGCCGGGGGGAAGGAGAAAGGTACGTCTTTTCCCCCTCTTTCTCGCTGGCTTTCTTCTTTTTCTTCTTCTCCTTCTTTTTTTCCCTTCTTCAACCCAGGAAGATAGAAATCTTCCTGGTCAGGTGAATCTGTTCCAGGCTGAGAAAAAGTAATCCTGCAGAGCGCAAGCCGGTTGATCCACCTCCCATCATTCAACTCAAAGTTCGAGAGGATTGTCAGAATACCTATCTGGCCCAGTAAGTTTCCTGGACCTATTCTTTCGATCTGGTGGACCCGGTGAGCGCTCACAGCTGCAGGCATTATCTTCAGAGTCCCTATTATTTTATGTGCTGTAGCCTGTACGATGCACACGAGGATCGTCCAGTGCCTGTACAGCCGTCCACCGCATTGGCAGGCACCCTTGTGTCGTCTCTTCATCGGCTGAAAGATGTCGACAACACTGGTGAGTCCTGTCTGGTGCGGAAAAAAGTCATCTTGGATCAGTGCTGACCGGGCTCGTCCCGTTTTGGGGGCTTTTAAGATGGCGGGTTCTTCGTCTTTGGAGACTTGTCCATCAAGATCGAGGGCGAGTTTCGTCTGAAATTCACGTTGTTTGAGATGCGAAAGTACGACGAGTCCCTCCGAGGCAAATGGTGCTCATCAGACGGGGGAAGCTGACCGTTCACTTAGGGACACGGTCACCAGTCTGAAGTCGATCATTTCGGATCGGTTTCAAGGTGAGGCCCTTTTCTCTCTCTCGCTCTGTCATCATGGTCGATGAAGCGTCTGTCTTGTTGACCTGGTGATAGTATTGCCTCCAAAAAATTTTCCAGGAATGGCGGAGTCCACGTTCCTGTCACGGTCCTTTGCAGACCAGGGAGTGAAGTTGAGAATCAGGAAGGAAGCTCGGAATATGATGTGAGTTCAATCGGTTTCCTTCCAGAAAAGAGTACTGACGATGAACCCCAAAAATCAAGGAAACGAGCCGGTCCTCGGCCTGAAGACTTCCAGAATATCCCTCGATCGCCTGATCGCACGGCGATTCCGCAGATGCCCAATCCGGCTTTCGGGGGTTATCCTACAACTGGGAGAGAATACAGTACCTACTATGGGGGGCCGGCGGTGAAGCGTCAGCGGACCTCTGTGGATATGGGAACTCGAGGCCTCTACGATAATGATGGCCGGTTTGCCCAGACCTATCCACAGACGGCGTTGTATACGAACCCGCCAGCAGGAGGTTACCAGAATCCCATGTTCCCAGGGTATTCCACGGGCCAGACAGGCTTGCCCGACTATGCGGTTCGTCAGCCACAGCCCGTATCCAACGCGGGGTCCTCATACGGCCCTTCTGAAGATCCCATGCTGGCAATGAGATCTCCAGGCGGCGCTGGGTACATGACTCCGCAGCGTTATCCTGCTTACACTGGGGCACAGATTTCTTACGGTCTCCCATCGGCTCAAATGCCTCAACTCTCGGATTCCCAGAGAAATGCACAGGCGACTCTACAACCGCTTGTCACAGGCCAGGCTGTGAATCCGCAAACAACTGTATGATTCTTGTTCCCCTCTGCGATCAAAAAAAGTCCAAAGCACCCAAATCCTCCCGATTAAGATCGCTAAGAATGATGATTTCCGGGCCAGGCATCTGATTCTGCAGCCTCAATGATGCCACAAGTCTATCCGCGCTCACAGTTTCAGACCAGTTCGACCATCTTGCCTCCCCTTCAGCGCAATCGCAACTTTCCGCAGGTGACGAACGGCACTTCAGCTCGAGGATATTTTGATCAATCTTCCCAGGCAGCTACCCCAATCCTTCCTTCTCAACCTATCCCTACCACGGATGGCGACCGCTATGGCGCTGCCACTGTTGGCCAGAGTGCATTCGATCCAGGCTCATCGAACGGAACTCCGCGATGAGTTCGTTGGCTGTCGACTGTCTCTGTTGTCGTCTATGGCGTTGGACGTTTCAGCCTGAATTCGCTTTTTTTTTTTGTCTTTTTCTTCCAGTGTATTGCTATGGATTCGTTTTATTGGATAGATTGCAGGCGGCGGTGGTGTTTCACGGGGTCTAGGTCACACGGGTTTTCTCATATCGGGCGCCTCGGGACAAAAAATGGATGGCTGGAATAAGACGGACGGGTAAAAGTTGGGTTTTTATTCAGCTGTACATATTCTGTTCCTAAAATAAAATTGTGACAGGTGAGATGCCTGGAACTTGAGTTGCTTACTGGGATAGTTCTTGTGTGCGTCGTCAAGCGTCGTATCCAATTGGTCCTCATGGCTGATGACTTCCAGTGATATCCATGAGATGCCAGATTAAAATAAGGCCAACATGGTGCAATCTATGTGCAGCATTCAATCCCAAGACCAAAGAAGATCTAAGATCTAGTGACTGCAATGGTGGATTTATGCGTAAGACCAATCTCTGTGGCCTGTATTCATCCATTCACTGTTTGGTGGCAGTTGCCAGAAGTTTGTGGCTATTTCCTTTCCAGGAAGGGCGCTCCTTCTCAACCAGAAATCACATGTAGTAGGCAGGCACCTTCGCTTACTCGTATCCCCTTCTCTCTCGCCCTACCAACACTCTTGGACCTCCCATCCATTCCTGAATCAAATCCTGTGAGAACACTTGGTGGGATCTCGTTAAAGAATCTATTGTCTCGTCATTAACAGTCCTACGGGACGTGCCTACAAGAATGCCTCTCCAATTAGCGCCCAGAAACTTCGAAATCTACGCAAAATGGGATGGAGATGTCAAACACGCTGTCGAAATCAGCGTGTCAGTTGAAGTAAGTCTGTCAAACTATCTTCCAGTATCATATCTAGTTTTGCCAACCAGTCCCCTAACATTGCTGGTGCCCTGCTGTCAGGTCGAGAGTGAGCCTGACACACAGCTTCGCCTTCTCGATGCCAGAGCTCCATCCGTTTCGTTGAAGCAGTCGTTCTTGTGGCGACTGCCACAATCCGACCAAGGACACGGTCATCCGGATGCGGAGGCTGTGGACGATACTTGCTCCAGATACTTTTCTTTTGAGGATGGAACCAGCATCAAGCGACAGCAGAAAGACGATAATGATGTACCAAGGACGCCTTATACGAAAGATATGGAGCTTCCATCTTCCCAGCCAAGTAGGATCTTCCCTCCAAGTCCAGCAAGTGCTGAGAAGGACGTCAAATCTCCTCATCGCGTGCCATCTGAGCAGTGCCACGAGCATACACCTGCAGCCGGAACCGTCATAAAAATTACTTCATTTAATCTCGACGAAGAGATAGCTCATAGCGACCGCTCTCTGAGTAAGCGTTGTGACCCAGGTGATGATGTTAAGTCAACAAAATCCGAGCAGCCAATGAACCCCGGATCTTCTTCAACATGTGATCTCCTACATTTTTCGGATCAAGGATCTAATGAACAGGACACAGAGGCCCAGGGTCTTGCGGACAAAGACACAATCATCTCGGATGATGCTGCTGCTGCATTGTCATTTGCTGCTTCACTGCCCTCAGACGCGGACCACCTCAATGCACCACCTTCTCGATCGCCAAATCCTCCATCTTCACAGGTTTTGTCGAGGATATCCTTGAGGGTTGTCAAACGTGACGAAAGGACCAGCATTCGACTCATGCGTAAGCGCACTGCCAAAGACGCAGGCCTTAGCGACTCGGGATCCAACTCTCCTAATGGACATCACATTGACATTGAAGGGAGCGCAACCCACAATGAAGTCCCATCTCAGGATCTCGATCCAAGTCTCCCGAATACTCCTGATCTGGCGCTCCAGAAAACGGGATCAGTCAAAAGACTTCAGCCTGTCAAAATACCTGTAGGAACCCCCATACGCACCAATAGACGGAGCTTGATTCCCAGACGTGCTGCTCAATGCGAAAATCCTATTTCAGAGCCTTGCATTTCACCGACGAAGCTTTGTGAGCCTTCAGATTTGTTGTCTCAGCAGCTAATAATCTCAAAGGAAGAAGAACCATCAGATGAATGTGATTTGGCAGAAAAGCCTTTTTATTCTGGGCAGGATGACGTCTTCAGCGAGAGGGACGTCGTCAGTCCTAAGCTTTCTCCACACATCATGCCTTTAGTACCTCCTGTTACACCAGGTATGAGAAAATTTCCCTTGAATTGGCTTCTGAGGAAACCTGACTGATCTGGAATTGCAGTTGAGGAGACATATGAAGACGAAACCATCGGTAAAGATGTTCCGAAAGACGACGCAGACGCTACAGAGTACCAGGAAGCTAGTATCGACGATCTGAGCCTTCCCCCTAGTCCAAGCCCGTCTTCCCAGGATATTATGCCGTGGAAGTCAACATCAGAACTTTTGGACTGTCCAAAATCTGAAACTGATCACGATCAAGAGGACAAGGCGTATGGATCAGAATACTCCGATCGGTCTGAGGAAGACCCCGAGGTTGTGCTAGAGCATGGACATCTGCTCTTGCGAAATGGTAGTGCCGTTAGACGAGCCCTTTACAAAGTCACGTTCAATGCCTCCATCCTGCTAAAGCCGGGGAGCGATGGGTGGCTAAGCCTGCTCATTCCAGGGTTGCCGAAGACGTCCAACGGCGATCATGGAGCTCTGTCCTTCGACATACCCCCAGATCGAGGGATCGAGTTCAGGACTTCAGGTCTCCATGCGTCGAAGATTGACCATCATTGCTTTCAAGCTCGATTCCCGATCGTAGAGCGCCTCGACTTGTCTTTTCGTCTCGTGGATTGGAAGAGGTACACCCTTCCGTCTTTCGAGATGGAGCAAGAAATAAGAGCCGACAGCATGACGGTTAAGAACAAGCTACAACCGGATAGATCGCAATTGTGGGTATCGTATCATGCACTATGTTCGTTACAGGTACACGAAGTTTGTTTTTGGGCAGAAAAATGCTCCTTTGCCGTCCACGTAGACGGCGGCCCTCAAGGACAATTTCAATGTGAACTCGAGCCGCGACCGGGGCTTCAGGTAATCCGCTTGGATGCAAAAGGCGAACGACCAATCGGAGTATCTCACCTTGAAGTCGTGTGCGCTCCAAGCAGTCTGGAATCGTTTGGCATCACTTGGTCTGTCAAACTGGAAAGCAGCAAGTCATCCACCTGGTTACCTAGGATTTATCCGGCGCTCTCGACCACCTATGCGCGGGAGGGAAACCATCTTCGCCGAATGTTCGATAATGTCGAGGCTATAACGCTTACTGACGACGAGGATCCACACGAATTCGTAACGTATAAGGATGAGGATGTCCAGTCCACGAGCTCTTCTGAGATGGTGATGTACCCTCAAGATGATACGTCCGCGGCGGAGATTGTTCCCGTCGTCCGCAGGAGCCCGTTCGACAGGATTACCGCTGCATGGGAGGATCTGATTCTTAACCTCAGGCGTGAGCCACTGGTGGCCGAAAGACCTACTCCTATACAAAAAGCCGTAGCGCTTCTGGTGTTCATCTTCTACTTCCTTGCTGGCCTCAGCCGGATGCAAGGAAACCTCGGCTATTCGCCATGGAGTCTGGAGAATATGACTGCTGGGGCGTTTTTCGGCGTCGACAACAGTCAGCAGACGTTTCGAGACCGATTCATGAACTTCAGCATCGGCACCGAACGTCTCCGGGAAGCTGTCCTTGGGAATATCTGCAAAGGTGCTGGAAATATTCCCGATGGCGAACATACCCATGTAGCCTCTGAGACAAATGTCAAACAGGGAGAGCCGGAGAACGACGAATCTTCGGCCAATACTCTATCAAGAAACCAGATGGAAATGGACGCTGCCAAAGAGCCGTCTTCTACGGATGAAGTTGGCATTATGCCTGTCGGGGATGCCGCATTAACAGAAAGGGAGAGTAACGTGCTCGACACGGTCATAGGGTCAAACGAAGCTTCGCAACCGACATGGTCGCTCCGAGATAAAATGGACTACTTCCTGGGATGGAGGGGTCCTGTGGACGCGTAAGGTTACTTGTCAGGGGATGCGACTGGTCGACACGTTGTCATTGCTTGTTCTTGCTAAGTTGTCTTCACGGAATCATCATGACGGATCCATCGAGGATAGAAAAGTAAGTACGCGTGGTTTGCTACAGGTTTATTGACATGGATCGTGGTGGTCTGCTGGTTCGAGCTTACACAATGTATCTTAGTCTGGGGGCTTCCAATCTTTTGCTCCTGTCTGCTATGTAGCTAATAATGAAAAAAGAGGATATTTTTCTGAAGCATGGACTGCCCATTGCGAGTTCTCTGCTCCTGCCAAGTGATCATAGCTGGTGAGCATACGGAGGGCATGCTGCTACTTGACTCATACCAGGACGATGGCTTATTGGCCAGATACAGGCGAAGTCGATGCGGTGTGACCAAGACTAGTTACTGATTACGTAGTAGCCTGGATCTGGGCGTGTCTGTGGCTGCATGTCAGTTGGTAGACTCGAGGACGAGAACTTGATGATAACCCCGATAAGCGGAGCGGGTCGCTTAGAAACGGTTAGCCTGGTCGATCGAATCCCTCAACGATGCTAGTTTATCGCACATTGGCGTCCGCCTGGATCCGGACGTCACTGAATGGCCTCAACACGACGCGACACGACCCTTTTTTGTCCGTCGAGCTGAAACAGTCGCATTCGACGCACGTCCGCTGTGCCGTCTTCTATTGGTGCGTCTTCCCCACAGCCCCAAGGGGCAGCCGGCCTGATCCTTCGAGCGCTTCAGAAGTTTAGGATATAAGAACAACCTGGAGCGACATCAACAGTCTTGCTGTTTTTCTCATTCAGAAGAGATCGATCTCTCCTACGACTGCAGCGCCTCGACACACACTCATGTACTTTGGCTGGTGGACTCCGTTTGCTGTTCGTTGGTTCTAGTACAATTCGGACTGTGAACCATGGCTACGCAAGGTACGCCCTAAACGCATTCCTTCTCTTTCTTGGCTCTCAGCGCCGAAGTTGCGTGTGCTGGGCGCTGAACCGCTCGCTGCATATTTGCTGCTGTGCTGTGTCCTATCGTCATCCCGACAACCATCCTCAGCTTTTGCACCTTTCTTGGCCCTGTCCTGTTGCTGTCTCTGCCAAGAGCAGGTTCTGGCTCTTTGTCAGACATCTTGGCCTGGGCATTCTCGCCCAAGACTCCCTGGGGGGTTGCGTTGATGTATTATTATTATTATATAGTGCCATTGGGGAGGAGGAGGGACGTTGTTTTTTTCCATCATGAAATCCACCCGGTTTCTTTGCCATCCCTCCCGTTCTTTTCAGAGGATCGGGCGTTGTCACAATCACAATATGTATCTGCAGTTGCTTCCGCAGCCCTTGGGCCAAGGACAGGACCACCACAATCATTCCTTGACGAGCGGTGCAATCAGCGCTATCAAGAGCACATCATCCTCCCACACTGCCCCTCTGTCCACCCGTGCGCCAGATAAGCTGAACCGTTGCACGAGTCCATCTGCTGATTCGAATGGTCAATGTGCAACAGACAAATTCGCGACCGGTCTGGTTCAGAACAAGGAATGGGCGGCCAAATACCCCGAGCTCTTCCCGTCCCTCGCCTTCGGCCAGCAGCCTGAGATTCTGTGGATCGGCTGCTCCGACTCGCGCTGCCCCGAGACGGCCATCCTGGGGCTCAAGCCGGGCGATGTGTTTGTGCACCGCAACATCGCCAACATCATCCACTACAGCGACCTCAACGCGGCGTGCGTGATCGAGTATGCAGTCTCCCATCTCAAGGTCAAGCACATCGTGCTGTGCGGACACACCGCCTGCGGAGGCGTCAGCGCAGCGCTGGGCAACAAGAAACTGGGCATCCTCGACGCGTGGCTGATGCCGCTCCGGCGCCTGCGTCAGCAGCACCTGGGCCTGCTGCAGGGCCTGGAGCATCAGGAGGCGATCGTCAAGCTGTCCGAGTTGAACATTCTGGAAGGCGTGGCGCGGCTGAAGGAGAACAGTGTCGTTTTGAACGCGATCGAGGAGCGTGGCCTGCAGGTGCACGGCCTCATTTATGACGTTGCCAGTGGTCTGTTGAGGGAGTTGGAGGGGGGTGAGTCGCACGAGGTGATCAAGGCTCGACTGACGGCGTTCAAGACGCAGGACTAGACGATATGAGTTGTATTTATTAGGCTGTCGATGTATAGGAGTAGGTTAGTATAAATTATCTTACAAGAAAGGAGAAGAAGAGAAAGAAGCAGAAATTAAGAATTTGTATGCTTAGTCTCGCCTTCAAGGTACTCACTGGACTTAAAATGATACCTTGGTAGTTGTATCAGGTAGCTGTACGGAGTACTTGTGAGGGAAGAAAACTCCCAATCGACCAATGGAACAATTCAAAAAAAAAAAAAAAGAGACAGCAGCAATAATAGCAATCTGGCCTTCCCATTCAACTACACGAGTATCTCTACCTGGGTGCAGTAAATGTAATTCATTCAATTGACTAGTACTCTACCCAGTCCATCGGGGATAAGGTATCCATCCTCCTTAATCCCGAGCGCGGAGACTTGGATAATAACTCCCGACCTCCGGAGCCGGGTTGAGTGGATTATTGGATTGATTATTTGATGTCAGTGCTATTCGGCAAGTTTCAACGGAAAAGCAATCAATCAAGCTTAGGAAAGCAGGTGGGGTAATTAAGTAGGTAGCTACCTAGGTAATGTATGGACATGGGTCTCAATCGAAAAAAAAAGCAGCATTGGAGTACAAGCTTTTTTCTTATTGATTGACGACCTGCCTAGTGACGTATTGTGCGGAGATTTATTATTAATTACTAATTATTTATTTATTGTGCTGGTAGAGCAGTCAACAATATTATATTACTGTTACTCCGCACTGAGCTGCTTCTTCTATAAGAACCCCGCAGCTAGGAATCCTCTCTTTTCTCCTGCACTACCTACTTGTCCTTTTTGTACTGTACAGTGAGGGATATTATCTATATTCATCTGTCGACTTGCTGAAAACGAATTCTCCTGCAGTCAGTCACCATGGCGGACGTTCCCCCGATGGAATATGTCAAGTACGTGGACTCCCTTCTCTCAGTACAACAATACTTTATGTTATGCAGTGCAATTGCTGATGGTCTTTAGCCTCGGCAAGTCCGGGCTCAAGATCTCCAAGATCGTCCTGGGCGCCATGTCCTACGGCACCTCGGCGTGGCAGGAGTGGGTGCTGAACGAGGAGGAGGCTCTGCCTCTGCTGGAGCATGCCTATAAGCGGGGGATCAACACGTGGGATACTGTAAGAAAATTCCTGCCTTTCATATCTATATGCAATGCTAAAGTTAAATGATGATTACGACTACAGGCCGACGTCTACTCCCACGGCAAATCCGAAGAGATAATCGGCAAAGCGCTGAAAAAGTACAACATCCCGCGCAACCGCGTCGTCATCCTAACAAAATGCTACTTCGGCGTCGACGACGAGGGCAACCAGCCGCCCATTGCCGCCACGGGCACCAACGACGGCGCCTGGGTCAACCGCGTCGGCCTGTCGCGCAAACACATCTTCGACGCTGTCGACGCCAGTGTCCAGCGTCTGGGCACCTACATTGATGTCCTGCAGATTCACCGCTTGGATCGCCAGACGCCGCGCGAGGAGATCATGAGGGCGCTGAATGATGTTGTCAATAGTGGGAAGGTTCGGTATATTGGTGCGAGTTCGGTATGTACTGACTCTAAGCATTGAGATGCCCTGCAAGAATGATGTACGCTTACTAACCTGACGACGTACTAGATGGCTGCATGGGAATTCCAGACACTGCAAAACATCGCCGCCCGCAACGGCTGGCACCAGTTCATCTCGATGCAGAACTACCACAATCTGCTCGCACGCGAGGAGGAGCGCGAGATGATCCCGTACTGCCAGGACACGGGCGTGGGCCTGATCCCCTGGTCACCGCTGGCACGAGGCGCGCTGGCCCGCCCCTGGAACAGCCGCAACACGACGCGCGAGAACACGGACCGGGCGCTCAACGTGCTGGTGAGGTCGCGCGAGAGCGAGGCCGACAAGGCCATCATCGACCGCGTCGAGGAGCTGGCTAAGAAGAAGGGCGTCAGCATGGCGCAGATCGCCACCGCTTGGTCGCTCAGCCACCCGGGTATCAACCCCATTATCGGCATGAACAGTAAAGAGCGCATCGATGAGGCTGTCGCTGCTATCAAGATCAAGCTCACGGACGAGGAGATCAAGTACCTCGAGGAGCCGTATGTGCCGAAGCCGATATCGCCGATGGAGCGGTGATTATTTCGTTCAATTTGACTTGCAAGAAGAGGATAATTTTTTGTTTCAGATGTATATACAGTATGGTACATACAGAGGAAAGGAGCTTTGATCTGATATCCCAATTCTAACTCCAATTCTAATTCATGCCAACGCCAACGCCATGCCAATTCCAATGCTAATGCATAGTATAACAACGTTCAGTTCACTATCGTTCGTCATCACAGGCATAACTTCGTCGGTCAGATGAGATGCAAGATGTAAGAGGAAAGACACGAGGCATCTGATTGATTTTTCTGTCTGGCACTGCCAAGACAGATCAGTGTCTCTTCTTCCCAAATATTGCGCTGAGTCGGTGCCATCGCTTGCCCTTTGTTTTTGTCTCTTTATCTTTCTTTCTATCGCCATTCCCCTCAGGGGCGTGGGTGTTGCTGGTTTCCTGACCGCGCACGCTTCGCCTTGTATCCGACGGGCTGGTTTCTGTCAGATGTTGTGGGTCAGTATCGGTAGATGTCTGGCCATCCTCTCTCAGATCAGTCCACTTCAGATCATTAGGGACTGTCTTGTTGGACCAGTCGGAAAGATATGCCGACGCACTGCGGCGGTCGGCTCGCTTTTGGGAAGTGTGTGAAGCGGACGACAACGACCGCAACCTCTGTGAAGGGAGGGTTAGAGACCGGTTGATTGACAACGGCTGTCGCGAAGAAGTCGAGCTTCTGAGCCTTCGCCCTTCCGCTGCTGTCGTGTCCTTTTCCTGTCCTGAGACCGTGGATGACTGTTGTTTCGGAGACACTGGCGAACTAACCGAACTGTCACTCCGCGGTGACGCGTCGCTGTAGGAGAAATTCTTCGACCAGCCCTCCCTGAACGCTATCCAGACACCGGTGACGACAATGAGCGTCCGAAGGTCATCTTCCATATTGATCAATTCCCGCTCTGTCTCGCCGTTGCCGCCGACAGATTCAGCGAGTGATACGGGGGACGTGACTTCCTCGCTCGGGGATACCGGCGAATACTGTTCGTACACGTCGATGCTGTTGCGAGTCATCGAGGCAATGACCGGATGGCGCCGCGTATTCGGGTTGATCATGCTGAAGGTGAACCGTTTGGACGGCTCGCCAGATTCGGAAACCCCCGACCCCGAGGTTCGACGACTTCCCCGGTTCCGCAAGACCCACCGGGCTTTGCGAGATTGCTGCTCGCCTTTCGAGATGAATTCATACGAGCCATTGGGCAGAGGCGTCCCCTCCCACGACACGCCCGAATTCAGGCGGATTTCGATCTGCCCGTTGCGGATGGCATCCTCCCTGAGAGGCTGGCAGATGGTGGCAACCGCTTCCCTCTGATCTTGGCCGTATTCCTCGGACGACACACTCCTGTCATCGTCCCCCGAATTGGGTGGTTCGTACGAGTCGCTGGTGAGGACGATGAGGTCCCGCGGACCTAGGCGATGGACGGCTCCGAAAAGCTTGGGGAATTTGCACGCCAACCGGGGCGATATCGCGGCGGGGAGCACGTCGAACGCGGGCACGGGACGAGAGGTCGGGCCGACCTGCTGCAATTGAAGGAGCAATCTGGGTCGTAGTCTCCATCGCCAGTGGCGGGGATTGCCGGGGGGATGCGCGAGCTGGAAGGTGGTCTTGGTCTTGGATCGGGCAGAGCGCTTTGGGATGGCGACGGAGGGTCTGGTGGGGACGAATGCGCTGGTAGTATTGTCATCGCCATCGCTGTCGCTGGAAGAATAGAGACTACTGGGGCGCGAGGATTGGGTTGACAAGGGAGGTTGCCCGCTGGCGGGCATGCTATCGTCTACCGACTTGGAGGAAGAGGGACCGAACGGGGAGTTGATCGTAATGGTCGGTAGCGCGGGGAGAGCAAAAGGCAAGCGCTGTCGCTTCTCTTCCGGTTTCTCCTCCGCCTGGGGAGAGAATTCGTGACGATGGGCAGCGGCCGCATCCGCTGTCAGGCCGAGATTAAACAGCATCGACTCTAGCAGACCGGCAGATGAGACAGCAGCATGAAGAAGAACCGTAGGAAATGAACCTTGGGTGGAGTGAAAAGACTGGCCTGCCAGGAAAGGACAGTAGGTGATGTCGTATTGTGTGGTGGTATCCGAGAATCCGTCTATATAGGGAGGAGGACGTCAGTAAGGGATACGCGACATGGCGGGAGGAGGCGTTACACATACCTGGCAGTGGATGGGATGCTTGTCCTCGCGTCTGCCAAGGCAGGACGAAGGAGTATATTAATGCTAAAAGGCTGCCTGAATAACTCACAAGATGCTATGCATCATAGTAGCAAGCTAAAACGGGGCCACCAGCACCATTGCCATATGGCTCCCGCCGATCCAATTAGTCGGGTTGTCAGCCAGCATCCGCCCCATGGGCATGAGACCAGGGATAATGCTGAGTCTGACAGGCGGATCCACCGTTCTCGAGCATGCCCTGTACGCACGTAGGTATCCGAAACCGAAGAGCGAGAAAACCATTCGGGGACTTGGCGACGAGTTAGGCCGTGCCCGACGGAGCTGGACGATTCCGGAGCCGAAGCTGTACAGTTGCAACTTGTGCTGGACGCCTGGAGCTTCCGCGGAGGATCCACCCAGCAGTCAATCGGTCAATCGATCAGTAGATAAAAGAAGTTAAGAACAGGACCAGTTGGTCCGCTTACTAAGTTAGTATACGATAGTCGACTCGAATAAGGATGCCTGGAGTGGCTGTGTTTGGCCCATTTCGTTCTTGGCATCCACTCCAGCAGAAAGGGAAAAAGTGACGAAAATTCTAGAGGACATGACCGCTATGCCGTGCATAGCACAGCGCAGCGAGCACGGCATCCGATGCTTGCATTGCTTGTTCATAAGAAGAATAATGTTGTGCATAGAGTTCGGTGAATCCCCGGGTGGGCCAGCCTGCGGTCTGCGGTGTCGATCCGCAAGGCAGCCACATTGCTAAGCCGATCAATCATCATCAATTTGATCATCAAATCCGATCAGATCAAGCATCTTATCACCGAGTGCCGAGGGCTGCCGCCACCCGCTGGACGAGCCAAGAACGGCGTTTCACGACCCTCTGCACCTCGCAAGTTCGCAACCATTTCTCTTTCTTCAGCAGATTTGTAAGCTTTTATTTTAGGCAGTAGCAGCCTTGAGTGACATGACATTATCAATGAACCAGTTCATGCAAAGCCTCACTGTCCAGACTGGATCCATATATGGCTTAGGGAGGCTGTGTTGGAGCAAAGAAAGATTTTTAATTTCTGGTGGAGCATTCTCTTCTTTTTTTTTCTTGTGACCCCACCATCGATTAATCAAGCAGCTATTACGGAGTATATTCTACAGAATATAGGGCTGAATGGGAGATCCACTAGGAGCCTACTCTATAGGACCATATCGAATACCTCGGTACCTCGGTTCAGTTTTCGAAGGCTAGGTAGAAGCATACCAGGCAGATATACTCCGGAGTAGGTCTTTTTTTATTATTAATAAAATTCTGGTTTTGATGGATCGATGACGGTGCCAAGAAGGGAATAATATAGTGATCATATGATAATATCCTTGTTAATGATCTAGCTATACTATGGTCTGGTATATGCTTGCTGGTAGCCAGGTATATAGATGCGAAGCATTCTAATTTCTGACAGAGAAAATGCAATGACATCAGTCTCCTTTGAGGGAGATAGTCCAGATAGGACTGGTCATAGGGGGCAAAACTTAAGAAAAGTTCATACTGATCCCGGGAGATCAGGAGACTATGCATGCATTAGAATCAGAGTTGAACACAGGGTGCAGGTAACTGGTGAATCTGATTTCTCAAGAGAGATAGAGAGAGACCAGATTGGAGTGCAAAAAAGGTCTAGTTGATAAAAACACGTCGCCTTTATTGTCTCTCGATCATGTCTGATAGAAGAACAGAGACAAAAACTGACTGTTTTAGTCATCTCGTCAGGAAAGAATATAATCTCTAGTTCTTCAGCTCCGTCAGCTGGCCAAAGAAAGTATTTATCCATACATTCAGAAAATCTCTAAATCTCCAGAATCTGTATAGCATAACAGTTATCAGAAACTTGCATTACCTTCTATTGATTCCATTATTGACGGTCCTACCTACCAGGAACCTTGGAACATTCACCCGTTGCCTAAATAATAGCTACCATTCGTCCCATGCCGCTCGACCTATACCTCATCTAGCTCCTGGATTCTTGCATTTGATCTACTTTGATTCCACTAGTAGCTCCTAGGTGTTTCTGACGACGAGTTGATCCAACTTGGTATCAAACTCGAGCCATTCCCGATCGACGATTCACAAAGCCCAACATTCTCACCACATTTCTTTGAACCGCTGGAGAGGTCAACGCTGGCATCATATCCCATTGATCATCAGCAATTGCAGACTGAACTTGACGATGATCCATACCTCCTGTACTATACGGACTTTGATGCAGCAGACGGCAAGCAATCTGGAGAGACTCCCAGCTAGACAGCGGATGGCCCTGAAGCCGTACGAGTGCACACGGGAGATTTGGCAATACATCAAGCAACAAGTTTACATAGGAAAATCATGCCGGGAGATGGATCGACTCTCATGGACCTCAGTGGTTGGGAGAGAGTCAGGTAAGTGAGATCAAATCTATCATTGCTTGTACGCCTTTCTCCAGACGCTAACGGATTCTCAATGGCATGGAGGAGAACATGGAGGATCTGCACCCTCTTCTGCGAGAAACGGAAAGTCACACTGGCCGTCTTTACGAGACAGTTGAAATGCTCGAGTGGAAAGGTTCGGGCGCAAAGGTCCCTCATCTCATCATGGTCACATGCCACGAGTTTAACAGGACTCCACGTCTTTTATATGGAGAAGTGGCACTCCTTGTGTGGGCAATGAACATTCGTCTACATCAAGAGGAGTACAGGAGGTACCACACAGCGCCGGTAGGTTTACCTCTGTCCGCATCCTTTGCCTATCAATCAATTCTAACCCCAATACCAACAGATCCTGATGTTGTCCCTGATGTGCCCCAAACATGGACGCCTCCTACACTCTCACATAGAACAGGGGATATTGAGAATTCGGTGCAGTCAGATTTACAGTTTCGAAAAGCAGACCACCGCTCCCTTTGAACTATTTTATCGCTACCACCTTAGCATCCCGGTGGGGATGACCTCCACCCCGAGAGGCACGGGAGAATCTCCTCTTTCGATTTTGTTTGGTTCCTTGGGTTTTTGACATTCTATGATGGTGATCTTTGCTAGTGCCTTCACCAGTAGCTACAGAGAGAAACATTTAAAATCTCAATAAATTGGAATCGAAAAAGCTTTGATCTTTTTATGGAGATGCCTGTATCGATACCTGGAATCCAAGAACACGGCCGATCAAGAAGAGGAGGGAAGGCACAAGCAGGCTATCCCAATTTGGAAGGAGCAACACAGGACGGGACCTACCTCAGACAGCATTATTACCATAGTTCCTTCCCTGTAGGAAAGACTCCTCTTGGCCTTCTGCGATTGATGGTAAAAGGAAGCATGCAATATACCTAGGAACCTATATTCCAGAGAGTACGGTTGTGCTGGACACTGGAACTTCGATCAATCGGTCAATCTATCAGTTGGTCATTTACTACGTTAGTATATCAAAATAAAGAGTGCCTGAACGTCGCTGTCTTGGCCTATTCCATTCTTGGCTCCACTCAAGTAAAAGAGGAAAGAGTGACAAAAATTCTAGAGGGCATGACCGATATAGCACAGATCTGATGCTCCTGTTCACAGTGCACACTTCACAATAAGATAAGTTCGATGGGTGGGCCACCTGCTGTCTGCGGTGTCGATCCGCAAGGCAGCCACATCCCTACAGGAGGCATGAGACTATACCGAACAGGGCAAGCCCCTAACATCCCGGCCCATGGATGAACAGATCCATCGTTATCACAATGACGTCCAATGATCGAACTGGCTATACAACTGAAGTTGTATCTGCAGTGCGTCAGAAGTATTTTTCATGATCGAAGCATCGGCCGGCCTGTGATGGATAATGACGCTCATCGTCGAAAACCGGGGACAGCTCTCGCTCCCTCGACTAGCGAAAAAGGACCCTCGTCCAGATATTTGTTTCTGCTCCACCCCATCAAATTCCTAACTGCGCTGTTTTTGGCATGGAAGGCCTTATTATTTCTGGTCGTTATCAACTGCCCTGGACCCGGGTATGACACATCCACCACCTTGTTGCTGGGGCCGTCCCAGTCACCAGCCTCCGTGACGGAGCTGTGGAAAGCTGCCTGGCCCTCCACCTCCACCATCTTGCGATTCGTGCGATGGGATTCCATCTACTTTGTACACATCGCCGAACGGGGTTACCTGTATGAGCAGGAATGGGCCTTTGGATATGGTTACACTAGATTGCTGTCTTATCTTACTGCTGGTATGTCTACATCTACCTCTGCTTTGGGCCACTTCCCAGCGCTGACGACGTAAAAATCAATTCTAGCCCTCCATCCAACGGACAATGGGATCGGAGCAACCGAGATCACCCAGGTGGCCGTTGGCATCTCTCATCTGAGTCATTACTTGTCTGTCCTCGTACTGTACGCTTTAACGAAGACCATCTTTGGCACGGAGACGAACACCCAGAGGGCATTCTGTCTCGTCTCAGCTGCTCTCCATATCATTTCTCCCGCTGGTGCCTTTCTCTCTGCCCCCTATGGCGAGCCTCTTTTCTCCTTTCTCAACCTCACGGGCTTCTACCTCTACTTGTCGGCAGTTCTGAACGAGGACACCGGTAGACAGATAACGCGAGATGCGAAATTTCTTGCTTCTGCTGTCCTTTTTGCGTTGGCCACGACGGTCCGCAGCAATGGCATCTTAAGTGGATGTCTATTTGCCTATGATGCCGTCTTGGGAGTCGTTCGGGTTATCACCCGCGGTTTCTCCCTCGAAACCGTGCATCGCTTGTTTGTCATCGTCCTCGGGGGCAGCATCGTCGCTCTAGGGATGGTTGGACCGCAGTACGTTGCTTTCGCGACCTATTGTACAGATCCGGATTCGTCGCGGCCTTGGTGTAAACAGCTCATTCCAAGCATATATGGCTGGGTGCAAGCACACTATTGGTGAGTTTCGTCTTTACTCTTCTCTGGTGATGTTGCGCCTGGCTGATTGATATATTATAGGAATGTGGGCTTCTTGAAATACTGGACAGTCACCAATCTCCCGCTCTTCTGTCTTGCGGCACCAATGCTGGCAGTTCTGTGTCAGTCAGCTCTCTCCGTATTGCAAAGGCCGCCCGCAGAGCAGATCTACTTGAGTTTTGCACCCGATGCTTCGTCGCAGAAGACAAGTGTTCGGCAGTCATGCTTGACTCGTCTTGCCATTTCGCAAGGTCTGTTGGCGATTACGGCTTTGACGAGCTACCATGTGCAGATTATCAACCGGATCTCGTCCGGATATCCGGTGTGGTATTGGTATTTGGCTTCATTGGCTCTGGACAAAACCAAGCCTTCGCAGCCGGCCAGATGTCTCTTCTCGGCAGCTACGCAGGGCATGGCGATGTATGGGCTTATCCAGGCGGTTCTATTCGGTTCTTTCCTCCCGCCAGCCTAGGGAGCTGATTTGTCACGTAGCGTAGCAGTCTACAATACGAATGCTAATGGTGTTAGTTTTGTGATTGCGTGTAGATGCTGCCTGGCCGGCATCGCGGTCCCGGGTCGGGCGAAGCAGACTAATCCTTTTTCGAGCAGCTAAGGCCCGACCGAGAGCTGGCCAAGCCGAATTGCTGCTGGACACTGAGCAATCGCAGACTCGGTGCTGTAAATTTCAGAAAAGAGGAAAAGCACATCCACCGGTGCACATTGCCTGGAATTGCGATTGTTGACGGCTCCCACCAGGGGGTGAGTTGTGTGTCTGGCATCCGTTACGTGGAATTATGTCATCTGCAGCTTGATACGTTCGCTGGCCGCACCTCTCGATCAGCCCTGACCAAGCATCGCGAGCGGAGCTTTGGTCACCCTACGGTCAACTCCAGGCCGTGCATCTCCCAACAGCCATCGCAGAGTCTTGAGATGGTCCCTTCTAGTCAAGTTTTCTGCAATTTCTGAGAACCTTTACTCTCTGCCAGGATTCCTAGTGTGCAACGACGGGAATTCCGCTCCAGTCAGTACTGTTGCCCGCCGCAGCGTGCTGATGCGAACAAGGCTGCGGCGCATTCTCCCGTACGTCTGCAGTCATCTGGCAAGCGGGTCTTGACGAGCTTTCCCTTCGCCATCAGACTTGGATGAAGTGCGTTCGTCGCCTTTGTCTTTTCTTTCGCATCCTGCAGTTTTTCCCAGCTACTGACATCCATCTTGCTTAAAAAGGGCTCTCTCTTCCCAACTCGCGTCCCACGTGCCCTGCCTGAGCAGAACGCCGATCCCCGGATCTTTCCGCAGCCATGGACAATCAAAATGCGAGGATCTCAGGTTCCATTTTGACAGCCGAAAACTTTCAAAATGGGAATGAGCTCTCACGGGCCACTTCTCCCGGCGGGGAGCCTGCCGAAACCAACGGAGTCAACGCAGATCCTGGCAAGAAAGCACGGGTTCGACCACGCACGTATCCTTACTTCAAGTACTTGCCATACCAGGTCGAAGACGACAGCGAGAGGGAGCGTAATCTTCATGAGATCCTGAAATGTCTGTATGTCGCGGTGAAGGCGGGCGACTTCAGCCCCGGGGCCGTACACTGGACACGCGAGCTGAGAGGATGGTTGTCGCTCAAGTTCGATCCTACGCGAGAGGAAAGGATAAAGCTGGTGAAGCTGTATTATGAGCTTTCCCTGGCTCCGGGAATCGACCCCGGTGTTTCAGAGAGATTTGCAAGCATGTTCATGCTCCTCACCAAGTAAGCATCCAGCTCCCCTCGACATGCATGCTCTCGCGCTAACCCGTACGAAAACAGGCGGAAGCATTATTTACGACCGGTGAAGGATCTGATTTTGGACTGGAGGCCTCTCTTCAAAGAACTGAAGACTTTCGTCCTACCGACGGAGTCGGGCTTGGTGCACTCGACCAATCTGAAGCGCAACATCAAGACGCTGACCAAGATGTGCGCCTTTGCTCAGCTGTATTTCGATCCATGTGAACTGCCCGCGATGCTTGAGGAGTTCCTCCCTCACTTTACCACATCCTTCTCGGAGGGCGCGTTTGTCGTGGTCGGCTTGATGAACCTGTTGCTTCCCACGTCCCCAGCACCGGAGTCCAGAGAAGATCTGCGGCCTCAGAATTATCTGCCCACTTACTTCCATATTTGGTCTCTCGTCAACCGGTCCAAGACGTTCGACATGAATTTCCTGGACCTTCTTTCTCGGCTGGCCCGAGACTCATTGCCCGTGTCGTATATTCCTTTCTCGGAGTATGGCATCTTTACCAAAGAACAGTCAGCACTCGTCTTCACCGCTATCCTACGTCTGTTGGAGATCCCGGTCGGACAGGCTACCTCCCCGTATAGCGCTGTCGTCGACATCTCCTCGGGCTTGGGTATCATGCTCGATCGCGACTCGCGTAAGCACCCCGTCACCCACCATATCGCACGGTGGATCGTGATGTCTCTATCCCCGGCATGCCTGGAAGCGGAAGATTCCGTGTTGTCCCAACTAGAAGGCCTCATCCAGGCGGTGGAGACATTCTTCCATCCTTCGAATTCAGGAAACTGGACGAAGACGCTAGCGCAACTGGTGTACTACCTCGCTGACTTCTTCGTTATGCGCTGGAACCGCGAACACAGTGGGGAGATGGAAGTGCCCCCCGAGCGAAGATTAAATGAGGCTTTGAGAAAGCGCTTCGTCCTGGCCTTGCGTGATGTGATATTTATGGGTATCTATGCTAAAAGTGGGACTGCAATGAACTTTTCCCTGTCTACCCTACAATGTCTAGCATATCTCGAGCCCCATCTCATCCTTCCAGGCGCATTGCAAAGAATCTACCCGTCTATGCATGGCCTAATCGAGGTCCATCGGACGACATCCTCCCTGAGATCACTACAGGTCTTATCCAGAATCATGGCCCGCACTAAAGGATACCGTTGTCATCTCACAACCCTCATGGGGCTTGCATTACCCGGAATCGACCCCAACGACCTGGAGAAGTCCTTGTACGCCCTGTCTTTCATCCAGTCTGTCTGTTACAATATTCCTTTAGAAGACTTGACGAAAGGACGTGACGACGTCAATTGTAATATGCTGGCGATGCAATGGGTTACTGGGGAGCTGGAAAGGATGGAAGCGGAAGGCGTGGAGGTCAAGCTGAATTACGACACCGATCTGAGCGATGAGACGGAAGAAATGATCCTTCGATCATCCACAACCGGCTTTGGAGAGTTCTTGATCTCTTTCCTTGGCCGTGTATTCACGCTCCTGGAGAACTTGCCGGATTCCACACGGGTACGGAGCGGTTCTCCCGAGGAGAACGTTGTCAACACCCTTCCGGCAACTTTCATGCCTTTACTTGCTGCCTTGTCACCCGAGCTTTACGACACAGCTCTGAACAAGATAGTAGAATTTGTCGCGAACCATGTGATCCACCAAGCTCGAGACGCGATGGCCTTCATCTGCAATGCTGTTTGCAAGGTGAATCCCGAAAAGGCTCTCAAACGTTTCATACCTATGCTAGTGCAGGCGATCCGCACTGAAATCGATGAAAACGGCGCTGCCTCCACTAGAACTACGGGCACTGATGTTCTCCCCCGGGATCGGGCTCTCGTTTGGAACGTCAGCATGCTGAGCATGTGTGTTGTCCACGTCGGAGATGCAGTTCTCAAATATAAGCAAGAACTCTTTGATATCGCCGTGTACATGCAAGAGAAGTGCAAAGGCATTCCAACGGTCCACATCTCGAATTTCATTCACCACCTGCTCCTTAACCTGACCGTTACATACACCATAGATTATTCCCTTTTTGAGCCTCAATCCGTCAAGGACGGTGTGAAGATCGAGCATTGGGGTTATAGGCAAGATCCTCAGAACCTGACAATCAAATGGCATGTGCCGAAACGCGAAGAGATCGAGTTTGCTGTCGCCCTTTTTCAGAACCAAGCAGAAACCGCTCTCGATCAACTTACCGCCTTAACCGATGGAACATCCAGTGTCAAGCGTGATGGAAGCGGGAAAGAGTGGTCCGACGAGGTGACCAGGAAACTTGTGCTACTTCGACTTATCATTTCTGGCATCTCAGTGCTCTTTGACCCCAAGGCAGCTTCCAAGGTTAACAACAACAATGGCTCATCGGGCATACCGAGCGATGTCGAAATGGTCGAAGCTAACGGGTTTTCATCTGAGAATAACAATGGAGACAACGAAGGAGATACCTCTCTTCTCGACAGCTCCGATGATGCAACCGTTAGGGAGACGTTCACCTATCCAACGGGGTACCCATTGGATGAGAATGATCCCTTATATGCTACTATACACAATATTAGGGAGCGTGCGGGCAGGGTCCTCCATGAGGTGCATCGTTTCCTGACGGAGAAACAGGAAGATGACGTACCATGCTTCAGTGCTTTGTATACAGCATATCGGTCCTGGTTTATCGATGTTGGTATGGAAAGATCGGCCCACGTACTGGATCGGGTCACGCGACTCCTTGCTGCGGACATCCAGCCATATAAGGTCAGCGGCATTCGGAAAGACTACCCGCGGCCGCTGCTCGTGCGAAGGGCCAACGTCTATCATCTGCAACGCTTGCGGCACAATGCTGCTCCCAGGCCGAGGTCTGAGCTCGACGAGAGGTTGCTTCTGGATCTTGCAGAGTCATGTGTTTCCCTCTATACAGACATCCGACGCAATGCCCAAAGTGCTGGCGAATCTGCTTTGAAGGCCGTTTGGGGCTCTCGTCTTCTCGTCATACCTCCATTAATAAAGGCTTTGCAAAAAGCTGTTGCGGAGAATGATTATCCGCGGATCAAAGGTGCAATATATTCTCTCTTGTTCGGCAGCCTCTCGAAGACCGTAGGACGGCACTGGAAGTATACCCCGGCCTTGATCAAGGCCTACATCGATGCTAGCGCAGTCGACAAGCCTTCAGTGCAGAAGTTATGCTCCTCAGCCGTTTACCTAGTCATGGACTACGGTCGTCCGATGGATAGAATGGCCGTTCTAGATCAAGATATTGTCAATTCAATTGCGCCGGCGGAAGACGTGGAAGACAAGATCGAACAGAAGCGCAAGACGATTAACCACAAGCGCATCATGATTGAGAAGAGAAAAGCTGAGCTCGCTGAAGAACTTGTGAATTTGGCTCGAGCATCTCACTGGAAAGTAGCCAGCCGGGCTGCGACGATCGTAGTGAGTATCGGTCTGAGGTTCGATTATGTTGCAAGCGAGAATTTGGTGGACCTCGTTACCCTGGGATCCATCGATAGCCATCCGGGTCTTCGCGGTATGTACTCGCAAGCGCTCATCGCTCTATTCACCATGATCGATATTCGGGCCATATGCAGTCATAATTATGAGAATTACATCCTGGGTAATCAGCACTTCCCCGCGAGGATCCAGGTCGCTACCAAACGTTATGAGAAAGGTTGGACAGAAGAGTTTCTGTCCAACTTCGCCAAACCAGAAGCCGAATATTACATCGATCATGACTTTCCAGGATGGCTTGTATGGCCCGAGAAGATGCCAGCCTACAAGGCCAACCTTACAAAAGACATCGAATACGATGAGCTGGAATGGAAAGTTCGTAGCCACATGGGCAAGCACTTCACCCGAGAATGGTTCTCGAAATTCTTCATGTATCTCAAGCAGGAGCCCCGGGACGTGTCGGCGGACAAGTTCCGGATGGCTTGCTCGATGATGCTGCTGTACGTCTTTGAACTGATGTTCCGCGATGGGCTCACGGCGGCCACATTTGATGAGGTCAAAGAAGAGATCGCGGCCGTATTCGAAGATGGAAGCGATAAACACCAGCATCGGGCAACCGCGGAGATTCTCGGGGCCTTGATTGGCTCTGTAACGGACACCGACGTGGAGAAGAGGTCGATAGTTTGGGAGTACGCGTTCCCAATGGTCCAGAAGATCTTTACCGACATGTTGACTCCGGAGAATTCTGGCTATTGGACTACCTTCCTTCACATGATTCTGCAATGTCGGGATCCGCGTCGAGCGTGGCCGTTGGTCGACTGGCTTGCGAGTTTCAGGCTAGATATGACGTCTAACGCTGCATTCAAAGAGAGCTCGAAGATCAGCCTGCTACATCAGTGCATCATCGATGCGGGTTGGCATTTCCAGCTGGAGAAGCCCATTGTTGAAGATTTCCTGGCACACCTCGATCATCCCTACAAGGGTGTCCGCGAGGCAATGGGGCATACTTTGGGATCCATCTATCGCACGAGATATCACGAGTCGCACGCCGACGTGAACAGTCTTATTCAGGCGCAGAAGTCGGCCTCTTCTATTGGCACATTCCCCTACGAGCCGTCGGAAAGTTTCGGCAAGATGATTAGGGAAGTTTTCGACAAATTAAGACAATGGCGGCATGAACGGGAGCCGGGCCAACAGACACCGTCTTCATACACATCTGGCAGCAAAACGGTATTACTCTGGCTGGACTCGACCCTTTCTTCTCACGAGTGCACCCAACTTGTGCCGTTCTTTGCGGACGTCTTTACCGAAGAGCTGCTGCACATGATGGACATCAAAGAGGATCCTGAGTTGCAATCGTTGGCCTATCATGTCTTCCGCCACTTGCCCAATATTCCCTATCCGGCTGAGCAGAACTCTCCGTTCATCGACACTCTTATCCGAATCGGGCAAACCTCGCCGTCGTGGCACCAGCGACTTCGCGTGATGATCAACATGCAAATCATCTACTTCCGCCGTCTCTTTTTGCTGTCTGCAGAGGATCGAGAGAAGTTATTTGAGTGTGTCGCCAACATGCTCCAGGATTCGCAGCATGAGGTCCGAGCCGGGGCTTCAGCGACTCTGTCCGGTATGATTCGCTGCTCGCCAGTTGCACTCCGAGACGCCGTCGTCAAGAAATTCCAGGAGCGTTTCACCAAAATCCTCATCGAAAACCCTCTCCCTAAGAAGCCAAGGAATCACGTGGGCCGGTCGTCAGCCACATCTAGTCGAACAAGCACTCCCACTCCAGAACATACTCGACTCATTATCATTCGACATGCAGCCGTGTTGGGTCTGGGTGCGCTGGTTCAGGCATTCCCGTACGCCAGTCCACCGCCGCGGTGGATGCCGGATGCCTTGGCTACACTCAGCACGAAGGCGGCAAATGATCCTGGCGTTGTTGGGCAAAGTGTCAAATCTATCATCAGTGAGTTCAAAAAGACAAGACAAGATACTTGGCATATCGACGCAAAGGTAGGCTCTCCAGCGCCACTCCAGTAACCAAGGTGACTTTATCAATAGCTAATATTTCTTCTCTTAGGCATTTACCCAGGACCAGCTCGAAGACCTATCTGGAGTCCTCTGGAAGAGCTATTTTGCCTGATCTCTACATTTTATGTGTGACTGGAATGATGACCAATCTTTGACGTGTATCATCTCAGATAGGCATTGGGAAAAGCGCTTTTTTTTTCGTGCGTGTTTTGGCATATAGCGTAGGGGGTGTTTTAACAAAAGTTGGATTCAAAGTTAGTATTTGTGTTTCTTCGATTTGTGTTTCTTCTTGGGTCGTTTCTCCAAGAAGGAAATAGCCACGAGCTAGTTCTTCTAGAGATGCTAGGTCCTGGGATTAATGCGATGTTATTGGGTAATTGGATTATGGCTGGAATCTGGACCTGTATGTCGGAAGTCAGATAGAATTACATTCATAATGGGATCATAGTAGAGTGGTTAATACTGTATCTCTGCTTTGTAGTTGATGCCTTGCACGTGATATCAGATCATGTGACCGAGTCGTCACCTGCGACGGTTCCGTGCCGCCTTGGATCATCACCGCACCTCCAACACAAGGGGAGAGCGTGTTGAAGCAGGCAGCTTGCAGTGGCTCTGCTTTTCACCGGCACTGCCTTCTCTGACCAATTTCCAACTACCATTCATTCTTTTTTTCCAACCTCGTATTGCCAGTATTTAGTTACGTGGTCGGTGAATGTGGCGCCGCAGTCGCATCTTTGACACTTTGCACTCGGGTTCGATAACACAGTAACAGCAGCCGCAGTGCGTCAGGCAGCGCCAACTGCTCTCCCACCATGGCTCCAAAGGACACCTTCTTCCGCTCGGCGGATATGAGCTTGACCCAGCTCTATATTGCGAATGAAATCGGCCGGGAAGTTGTCAGCGCCCTGGGAGAGATCGGGGAGGTGCAATTCCGAGATGTGAGTTACGAACGAACGGTCGACCCATTTTCGATGCTGGCACACAAACGATGGGGCACCCGAAGTTCAGAAATGCTGATGAAATATCGTGTGAATTGAATAGCTCAACCCCGATGTCAATGCTTTCCAGAGGACGTTCACCAAAGAGATCCGCAGGCTCGACAATGTGGAGAGACAGCTGCGTATGGAGTACCCTTTTGTTGTTCCCTCTCTCTCTTCTTTTTTTTTTCTTCGAGCAGGACTTGAAGCTGACCCGGTATTTGGGACTCCTGCAGGTTACTTCCAGTCCCAGATGGAGAAGGCGGGTATTCCGATGAGGCCGTCGTCCGAGTTTGCCAACATCCTAGCCGCTCCGTCGGCAGCGGAGATTGATGAGCTGGCCGAACGCAGTGACAGTCTTGAGCAAAGGATCGCGTCTTTGAATGACAGTTACGAAACGCTGAAGAAGAGGGAGGTCGAGCTCATTGAATGGCGATGGGTTCTGAGAGAAGCTGGTGGTTTCTTCGATCGGGTATGTGTTTCTCAATTGGTGGGAGTTGCAGCAAGCTGACTTGTTACTAGGCCCATGGCCATACGGAGGATATTCGGCAATCCTTTGACAATGACGAGGCCCCTCTGCTCCGAGATGTAGAACACCAGGTTCCCCGTGGTCAGAACGGGGACGCTCAGGGCCAACAATCATTTTCCGTCATGAACATTGGCTTCGTGGCCGGAGTCATCCCCAGAGACCGGATTGGAGCTTTTGAGCGTATCCTGTGGCGTACATTGCGAGGCAACCTTTACATGAATCAGTCAGAAATCCCGGAGCCGATTATTGATCCGACGACCAACGAGGAGGTTTACAAGAACGTCTTTGTGATCTTTGCCCACGGTAAAGAGATTTTGGTGAAGATCAGAAAGATTTCTGAATCTCTGAATGCCAGCTTGTACAGCGTCGACGAAAACAGCGAACTGAGAAGGGATCAAATCCACGAAGTCAACACGCGGCTCAGCGACGTGGAGAGCGTCCTGCGGAATACCAAGAACACCCTTGACGCCGAACTCACGCAGATTGCGCGCTCCCTCGCTGCCTGGATGATCATCGTCAAGAAGGAGAAGGCCGTTTATCATACCCTCAACAAGTTCTCCTATGACCAGGCGAGGAAGACTTTGATCGCAGAGGCGTGGTGCCCGACCAACTCTCTGCCATTGATCAAGTCTACCTTGCAGGATGTGAATGACCGCGCTGGTCTATCTGTGCCCACCATCGTCAACCAGATCAAGACGAACAAGACCCCTCCCAGCTATGTCAAGACGAACAAGTTCACCGAAGCCTTCCAAACGATCATTAACGCCTATGGTATCACGAAATATTCCGAAGTCAATCCCGGCTTGCCCACAATTATCACGTTCCCCTTCCTTTTCGCCGTTATGTTTGGTGACTTTGGCCATGGTCTCTTGATGACCCTTACTGCCGCTGCAATGATCTTCTGGGAGAAGAAACTTGCCCGAACCAAGTTGGATGAACTGACTTACATGGCATTTTATGGCCGCTACATCATGTTATTGATGGGCATCTTTTCCATGTACACGGGCTTGATCTACAACGATGTCTTCTCGTTATCGTTTACTCTCTTCCCCAGCCAGTGGAAGTGGCCTGAGAATATCCGCGAGGGACAAGCTGTCGAGGCGTCACTCAAGGATGGCTACCGTTACCCGTTCGGATTGGACTGGAACTGGCACGAGGCGGAGAATGCTCTCCTTTTCACCAACAGTTTCAAGATGAAGCTGAGTATCTTGTTGGGCTGGGCTCACGTACGTTGCCTTTCTTTTTACTCGCTCATGCATGCACTTGCTAACATGATGATTCTAGATGACATACTCTCTCTGCCTGCAGTATATCAATGCGCGACACTTCAAGTCCAAGGTTGACATTTTTGGCAATTTCATCCCTGGAATGATTTTCTTCCAGTCTATCTTTGGATATCTCGTCGTCACCATCGTTTATAAATGGTCTGTCGATTGGAACGCGCGTGGGGAATCCCCTCCTGGTCTTCTTAACATGTTGATCTTTATGTTCCTGAATCCCGGCCAAGTTGAGCAGGAACTCTATCCTGGACAGGGCGGGGTGCAGGTTATCTTGCTGCTTTTGGCTATCGTGCAGGTTCCAACTATGCTCCTCCTCAAGCCGCTTTGGCTTCGCTATGAACACAATCGCGCTCGAGCCCTCGGATATCGAGGCATTGGGGAGCAAGAAAGAGTGAGTGCGCTGGATGAGGATGGTGATCTGGACGGCCGTCCATCTGAGGGCCGCGACAGCTTGGCTAGTGATGGAGAGGGCGTTGCGATGATCGCACAGGACCTCGACGAAGGCGAGCATGAGGAATTCGATTTTGCGGATATCATGATCCATCAAGTCATCCACACTATCGGTAAGGTTTTCTCTCTAGTTTTTTACATCGTAAACACTCCCTAACACGGTGACTAGAATTCTGTCTCAACTGTATTTCCCACACCGCGTCGTACCTCCGTCTTTGGGCCCTGTCTCTCGCTCACCAGCAGCTTTCCATCGTCCTGTGGAAGATGACCCTCGGAGGCTCCTTCGAGACCGAGTCACCGGGTTTGCGGGTCGTGATGATCGTGTGCACGTTCTACCTCTGGTTCGTCCTGACCGTGTTCATCCTGTGCGTCATGGAGGGCACCAGCGCGATGTTGCACTCGCTGCGTCTGCACTGGGTCGAAGCCATGAGCAAGCATTTCATCGGCGATGGGATTCCGTTCCAGCCTTTCAGCTTTAAGACCCTCCTGGAGGAGAATCCGGTAGATTAGATTTTTAGTCTGCAACCTGTCTTTCTTTCTTTTCTTGTTTCTTGACTTGACTTATCGGTAATACATTATCCTACCATAGTCAAACGTTTGTCTGTAGAGAAATATATATTTTATATGCATATACTTCTACGAACTAGTTACTTTTCCTTTCTTTCTACTATCCATCTCTTATCTATTTCTGGTAAGGTATATAGTATATATAAGGGGAAGAAGGGAACTATGAATTCTTTTTTTTCCTTTTAATTTTTTTGCATTTCAATTTAATTTTTCTCTTCAACATACATCCACACATGCATTTGAAGGTATAAGGGAAATAAACACAATAAAAGTTAAAAAAAAAGCAGTCACGGGTCACTAACTATGCAAGGGCATGTGTGCAAGTTTGCAACAACAGTTTGCTGTGAATAAATGCTCATCTCATTGATTGATTGATTGATTCCATTTGGATGGATATCTAATTTCATTTCATTCCATTTCGTTAAGAAGAGAAATAAATAGAAGGTGGTTTTCCTCCTGGGGTTGTATCTGTATGGATTATTGATTATTATGTTCGTTTCATTTCATTTCATTTACTTATTTACCGTGGTGCTTGTTGTAGACATCGATGACCTTCTGCACCTCGTCCTTCGAGCCGAGGAAGACACCGCTGCGGTCGTGGATGTGAGTCGGCACCACGCTGAGGAGCCGCTCCATCTTCGAGTTGACGGCCAGACCGCCCGCGTTCTCGAAGATCATCGCCATGGGCGCGCACTCGTACAGGATGCGCAGCTTGCCCTTGGGGCTCTTCTTGTCCGCCGGGTAGGCGAAGATGCCGCCGTACAGCAGCGTGCGGTACGCGTCGGCCACCATGCTGCCGATGTAGCGCGCGCTGTACGGCTTCTTGCCCTCACCCGGGTACTTGAGTGAGTGGAAGTACTCGTTGACCCAGTCGTCCCAGTACTGGCTGTTGCCCTCGTTGACGGAGTAGATGGCGCGTTTGTCCGGCAGTCTCATGTTGGGGTGCGTCAGGATGAATTCTCCCAGGGAGTTCTCCATCGTGAAGCCGTTGACGGAGCCGCCCTTCATGGTGATGACCAGCTGCGCCGATGCACCGTACATGGTGAACCCAGATGCCACGAACTCAGTGCCCGGGCGGAGCAGGTCCTTGGCGGACACGGTGTTCTGCGGACCCAGGATCTCGTCGGGAAGCCTGAAGATGCCGAAGATGGTGCCGACCGAGACACCGGCGTCCAGGTTGGACGATCCATCGATCGGGTCGCAGACCACCGCGTACCTGGCGTAGGGATTCTCGTTGAACACAATCGCCTCCTCCTCTTCTTCCGAAACGAGAATGCGGACTTTGCCCGATCCCCGCATCGCGGAGACGAAGACATCGTTCCCAATCACGTCCAGCTTCTTCTGGTCATCACCGGTCGTGTTGGACGACCCTGCCAGACCGGTTAGGTTGATCAGGGTGGCACGTCGAATGTAGTAGGCGATTGACTTGAAGGCGAACTGAAGTGCGTGGCATAGCAAACTGCATCACAGACAGCCCCGTCAGTCTGGTTTATCCAAATACGCAGAGAAATGGGGATACATACGTGAAATCTCCGGTGGCCTCGGGATGTTTGGCTTGCTCTTCCGTCAGGAATCTTGTCAGGGTGATGATGTCGGTGTTGATGTTCTCCTGTCCGACAGGAGGGTGTTCGCCGTTGGTAGCCGCCATGGTGATAGTGATGGGGGGATGTGATAGAAAATAGATACAGAAAGACAGGAAGGGTTTACAGGAGGGCAATTAAAGGAGGACGACGATTCAGGGTCTCGTGCAACCTTCTACCTCGGTCCAACGGAGAGGCGAGGGGGGTAAATAGCTGAGCCCTTGGTTCGGAAGATAGGGATGCGGAGTAAGTATATCAAGTGCGGAGTGCTACCAAGCGACGAGCAAACAATAATCAGCCCGGCACTGCGACGATGTTTCCAGAGAATTCGGCAAGAACAGCAGAGGACGGAGAGCAACGATCAAGCCAGTCCATCCAGGCAATTAAATTAAAAAGGGCGGGCAGGAGGAACAAGTCTCTGCCGGGAGACAGGTGGTTAGAGTCGGGTGGATAACGAAACGTCAGTTGGCAGTCAGACATTTTCGAGGTACCTGCTGCAGAGGTATCTCGTCACCAAAAAACAGTGGCAAGGTACTTCCTGGGATGTCACTTGGGGTCTGGCCCGATTTCGTCACACGTCCACCTAAGCTCACCAGGGTCCGCTGGTTTCCCCGCGCTAGCCTCGGATTGGCAAGCGGGCCCAGGCGCTCCGAGTTTTCTTCTTGCCCGCGCCTCACGGGACCGGCTCTCTCCCCGGTCCTCCCCGCGTCTCAGGTTGCTTACCCGACTGCTGCTGTAAGACCTCCCCATTGATCATTTGCTACAAGATATCAGGAGAAGCTGTGCTCAATCGAAGGAATGGAAGAAATAGAGTTGATTCGTAGTGATGGTCCATGTGCAATTAATTGCAAACTGTAGTCTCGTCTTGGTTGCTGCCTTCCAAGATGATTCGTGTTGCGGGCGATCAAGCTTCGGTATATTTTCCGGCGAGAGTGCTTGCTCCCTGGCTACTGTCGGTCTTATCTTTCCGAGGTACTTGGTCTGCTGGCTGTGATTAGAATAGTAACACCTGAGGCACAGGTGCCGTTTCGCGGATATACCCTTTTGGTCCGAGATACCAAGTCCAAGGCAGCAAACAAGACAAACCATGATTACATAATCAGGAATACATGCCACAGCAACATCTACTGATCTAACCGCTTCGGGGCAAGCGTCTCGGTAGCCGACCATCGCTTGAAAAAGCTCGACGCGTTTCTGTTTTAATTTTTCTGCTCGTCGTGCTCACCAACCTCTGGCGATAGAATCGTCCACTGATGCTTGTGGACATTCTTGCCAGATTATTCTGATCTCTGATCGTTTGATTTTCACAATGTAGTATGACTAACTGACTTAGGGAGGGTCCTCTGAGGACTCTTGCGTGCAAATGGTAAGTCGCCTGGAAAATTTTTGATGCCTCCCTTCGAATTTTCCTCTTCCACCATGATGATTTCTCAACCGCATTTCAAACTAGAGTCTTTGACCTCAATGGAATGAAAACATTGCACACGTCAGGCTGATCTGTTGTCTTTCGCTTATTATTGATTGTTCGTGATCATTGGCTGCTTGCACACTGCTGACTGGCTCTAAGCGCAGGCTTTATCTAGCTTCACAGCTTTCAGGGCTTATCTTCTCTATAGGTGTCTGTCAACTGGTAAGCAGCTTCATATTATGTTGGCCCCTTGTATCTGTGTCCATAAATGATGATCATTAGAAACCGAAAAATATGCTGGAAATTACCGGCTGAGGCCTTCGGGCGTTTGAAGATCTTCCATGGCACTGATCTAACTTCACTTGCTCACCGCGTTTTCTGTCGACCTCTCTTCCTTTTGAATATTAGCTGACAGCTTCGAGAACTTTGGTTAGGATGACGACGGTATCTACGACGGTCACTGCATTGTAAGTCTCTTCGAACTCTTGCATCCTTCCTGAACTCCAAAGATGAAACGGCACTGGGCTCCGACGGCGTGAAAACACGTCCGGTCTTGATGGAAATGCCATTTTGCGGCAGGCCTAGAAAACCTCGCCCACTGAGACTTGTCCACATCTCGATTGATCACTCGCAAAGACTGTGGAAGTCTTTTCTAATGTCTTTTGCGATATAGGCTCCTTTCGTAGCCCATGCCTTGCTGTGGAAGCAAGGCAGCTGTCGACCTTATGTGTATTGGTTCTTGCAGGTATGGGCGTTGCATTTTATTTTACCCCAAATTCCCAAACATCGTGATGATTGTCTAGATGACGAGTCTTATTCGAGTTTTCGATGCAGAAAACATCTTTTTTTACCATTCATGCATATCTGACAATGCTTTGTTACGAATGTAGCATGACATAATATTTTAGTCTCAAGCTGACTGGTTCTGAAAATAGATCTGCCAACATCATCCTCAGACTGCAGTTGATCTCTAGATCAGTGAGAATACTCCAAGGTAGTGTATGTGCATTCTCCGATGTTTCCATCCCCTTCCAGATGATGATTCGACATCACAAAATAAAGACAAGCATATGTCCAAGCTCCCAGTAGCTAGCGAAGACGACAACTGTCAGGACTGATCTATTGGTCTTTGTCGACCCAATCGGTCGTTCTATGTTGTGCCATGTAGCTGACAGCCCGGCCACTAGATTCAGCGCTGTACAGTTCATGGACAATCGTTCTTCTGCCGAGGTAAGCACATCTCCGTCTTTTTGTTTTCTCAAAATCCTCCCCGCTTGGGTCCCCATTGTATGATGATTTACTTCATTTTTTATCACGACGGTCAACATAGTTTTACATTGATGACCACCGCCTGTGACAGGGCTTTATCTGATGCTGTTGTTCACTGCCTTTCCAAACATTCATTTACACTGGAGGTGATGAGTTGCTAACATGTCCTCCCGTCTAGTAAATTTCTTCGCAGGAAGGCCTGCAGCAGGGCCACAGAAAATGTGGCAGTCAGAATCGGCAGTCACCCAGTCTTAGCTCGAACAACGAAGCCTACAGGTACGTGACCTTCACTATTTGCTGTTCTACGTTTATGTCATGCTTCATACCGAAATCGCATGCTGGTTTGAAGCCGGCTTCCGCACATGATGTGGCCGGATCTGTCGCGGACTCGGATTACATTGTCCTTGGTAACGCTGCTGCTCATGTCCATGAGACATAGATGAGCATGGTATAGACTTTCTGTAAATTCTTCAAGACGCTAGTACCAGAACGAAGACATGATTTAATTGAGCAAAATCCGTGAAAACGTGCCCTGTGGAGATAACATCGGAACTTGGCCTCGGTTCCTGAGGCGGTAATAGACAACCGACCCTGGTAGAGCATAGATGGACCTGCCTGATTGGGTAAAATCTACTTACTGTTGGCAATATGTGACTGGCGTCTATCCATCTGCCAGATTTAGTATGTGCATACACTAAGTACGTTGGTGCAGTAGCACTGCCGTGCCTGTACTGCTTATTCCAATAGAGACGAATCCTGTTGGCATTTCTTAATTATCAGAACTGGCCAGGGCGAAAGTGTCGCCATGAACGGGATGCAGCTGAAGATCCCAAGCCACTTGGGATATAGATAGCACTTACAAAGCAATTGGGTAATCCTTCATATCTTTTAACGGAGAAATTTCTCTAGGGGTTAATAACCCGTTTGTTTCTTTTTTTTTTTACCAACGAAATGGACCGGGGATCAAGGCTATAATATTCTGCATCTCCAACTCCCACCTCCATGATTCGACATACCTATTCTGAACTGAGAAGAGCTAACTTGAAGTCTATGATCCATCGGTAAGAAGTGCCGTCTGGCCGGATAGTACTGTGGAACCTGGCACAGCATGACACAGGAGTGAGGGCGAGAAGATGGATGATGGTTATACAATCTGCCTGAATGTTGATATCACATGAAAAGAAGGGCACGAGAGGCGGCGTCTGTCCCTTCAGACTTACCTAGGTATCTATGTTCATAGTGTGCTATATTGTATCGAAGTATTTTGCGCCTATTTCGATTGCAGTTCTACTATCTTCGACTGCTAGTATATGATCTTGTGAGCTAATCTATTTTAATCCTGATCTAAATCAATGCCATACTGAAAAGGGAAAGTATGTCGGCATCCTCTCCACATCAAGTACCGGAGCACCTGCGGAGGACCAACGAGTCCTTAAATTAGAAACTTTAAACTTATTCCTCTTTGATCCTTGGCTCGTGTCGATCATCGCCGGTTCAGGCCTGACTTGTGAGCATTCCCCAAGCAGGTCAGCGATGCGACCTGGCTGGTGCTGCTGCACGCCATTCTGGCCAGGATGCCTGGCGGCATGGCAGCAGCCGTGATTGGCGACGGCCGGGCTGTACGCGCCCAGCGGGAAGGAGGCACAGTAGCGCGCTGTGACAAGTCGAGGCAGGTGCAGCTTGCATCGCCCTAGCCTCGCCAACGCCCGCTCGCGGCCCTCATTTGCCCCCCGCAGCTGGCCGTCGCCTCTCGAACGGGCGTCCGTCTGAACGCCATCATGCTGGCAAGCGTAGCCTTGGCCCTATCAGATCCGGGCCCTCCAACCCCTGCTAGTCTTCCATCATGAAGAATCCCACGTCGCGGCTCCTAACCCAACGCTGGCGCCTGTTGCAAGAATAGAAACTCGCCGCGAGTTTTTCTCTTCTGGTCTTCAGACGCGACAGAACTCATCACTTCTTCCGTTTGACAACTCAACACCAATGACCGCTTGCCGTGGCATCTGGCCTGTTGAACCTGACTCGTCTACTTTCTAGATCACCTATCATATGCCGCGACAGCGGTGATGGAGACTTAATAAGAGTGATGGCGCCTTGTCCCTGGATACGGGAACCAATATGAATAGGTGCGCTGGTCCCCGTCTGTGGCCGGCCGGAGTTTTTCTTCTCTCTGGTTTTGGGAGGAAGAGAATAACTGACTAGCTGGGTGGCTTCCAGTAATAATACTGCCGCTGGTGGACAGTCCCCAGCACTGTCGTCGACGAGTCCTCATCTCGCCGCGGGCCTGTCACCGTCGCCTGTCGGCTCTGCACACCAGCTTCCACTGCGCCGTCGAGAAAATGTGGTCCAGCCGCCAGCTTTGACAACATCCTTGAGCGGTCCTCACCACTTGGGCGGTGTTGGAGTCGGGAGTGCATATACTCCGACTCCCACCACCTCGCTTTCCAGCCCGTTCTCGCAGTCCCAGTCTCCCTATCTGCCTTCTCCTGGAGGCGCAGCCAGAGGCTCGTCCCCAATGGCTCTGAGAGCGCCGTCTTCCTCTCCGTATACCGCTCCCTACAACCCTCAAGAATGGGGTCCTGTAGGTGGTGGCAGCTCACCCCAGCTTGGACAAGTCGCCTATGCGCAGTCGAACAATGGAGCCCGTCTGATGCAGCCTCCGCCTCCGCCGCGGCCTTCAGGTCTGTGACTGACGTCTTCTATGTGTATTATGGATTCATTACCTTGCAATGTGCCTGAGAAACCCCATGATGAGATAGAACCTGTGAGACGGAGCACACCTGTCTAACGTCCTGACTACAGATACCCCGTCATCACCACCTCCGCCATATTCACCTCCTGGTCAGCGCCCACCATCGCAGCCCAATGCGCCGAATCAGACAACCTCGCCGTCAGAAACAGCGTCCTTTGCAGCAGCACCATTTCCTCAGTATGGCAGTCATACCAGCACGGCACCTGGGTTCTCTAGACCGCTTTCGATGGTACAAATGGGCGATTCTGGTGTCTCGTTTCTTCCTCCCCCGCCGCCTCCTCCCCCAGGAGGTCCAGGCTCCCGTTCCTCTTCCCGTTCCCGGAACGGACATCATCATGGTGCCTTTGAGCCCACTGGTGCTCCTCGTCAATCACCCCCCTCCATATATCACCAGTCCGGGAACATTGGTCAGAACGACCCGTCCTTGCGTCCTCCATCTTCCAGGAGGGCAGCGTCCACGGGAGCTATCCACAGTGACAGCTCATCGAGGGCAACAAGCACATCACATAGCCGGTCACCGCCGAGACGGAGTTGGGAGCCTGGAATGCCCCTACCACCGCCTCCTCCAGGGCCCCCTCCCACAACCAGATCGCAAAGCGTGCGTGTTTCGTCAGAGACATCTTCGAGGCCTGTTGCACACCCTGTTCCTTTATCACAGGGCCGGCGGCATCCAGTCCTAGGGACGGGACTCGACCGCGTTCCACCAACGCCAGCTGGCTGGGTGGTTGAAGACCCGCCCTCAACCAGAGACGGAGCATCCAGCAGCTCCCATGCGGTAACAGAGACGCAGTCTCAGCCGTCGGGCGATTCTTCTTCCGCTGCCTACAAGCCTACGACTGGTGGGCTCTTTCGTAGCCCAGCAATTAGAGACACCGGTATCAAAGGTATACGCGAGAGACGAGTCGAAAGCAGACATAGGAGACTTCAAGCCTCTGAGGACCTCAGCCCTGGTTCTGCAAGCAGTAATCCGTGGGCAGATGCATTGGAGCGGGTGACCCCGTCAAATCTCGTTCTTGCTGCAGCCGAAGAAACCGGTGACGGCACGAGCAATCGTCGTCGTGCAGTGCCCAAGCCTTCTCCGCTGAGCGCCCGCAGTGCTGCGTCGGATGGTCCGCTGGAAACAGGCCGATCAAGAGCCTCTTCTGGGCTCTTTTCCAATCGATCGTCATTTTCCACTCCCAGGCCCGAGCCCCAAGCTGTGCTTTCTCGCCATGAAATCGCGCATACCCCTCCTTTTTCTCCGGGCAGGGAGCAACATTCCCCAACCTTCGCCAAGGAAGGGTCGCATGGTGTGCCTCCAAAGGCTCTTCCAACGCCACCGCCGCAATTCGCCCAGGATTTGAGACCCCCATCCCACTTGGCAGCCAAACAAGGTGAGGATCGCCCAGTGTCTCATTTACTTCATCTGCCTAATGATCCGGTACCGATGCCGGCGCCCCTCTCACCGCGACGCGTCCCGACGCAACAGCCCTCGTCTTCCGATTCTGCTATTCGGCGGGGCCCCGATTTTTTGCGCGAGGCCCTGCAGAGATATCAGGAAGTACTTGAGAAAGAAGCATCTGCTTCAAGCGACGCGGAAGCGTTGAAGATTTTTGCAGAATTTGTTATCTCTGAGTCGAGCCTCCGGCGTGAATGGTATTCCGATGCATTCGTTGCCAACTCTTTGGATGTTGAAGAAGTGGGCAAGAGACTATTTGAGCTTCCAGTGAAAAAGTCTGATCAGCCTGAGCCTCCTCGTCTAGACACCTCGCTCCGAGCTTCGATTCATTCTTTGAGCGGGGACAGCAGTGCCGGTGGAGTAGCACCTTCACGTCCTGAGTCTGCCTGGTGGAGCAGCTATCAGCCTTGCCTCTCTCCAATTGCAAGCATCAGTATTGACACCGAGATGAGTTCTAGAGGCCGTCCCCCAAGCCGTTGGTGGGAGTCCAAAACCTCTAGCAGCGAGGGCGGCGAACGCAAAGTGCAACGGTCAAAACGGGAATCCAAGTACATGGGGGTCTCGCGTGAACTGCGCGAGGCCATGCAACGGGGATATAATGAGACTCTGGTGGAAGCAGAGGAAGAAAACCACGCTGGAGCCTCCAAGTCTCAAGCTTTCAACTATGGACCAAACGAGTATCCACCCGAAAAAGTTGGATGGCACGAGCCAGAGCCACAGTCTCATCAGTCGACAGGTGCGACCATAGCAACCCCCAGCCTTTCTTCGCAGCCGCAGAAGATGGATATCTCCAGACTCATCACTCTTCCGCCACCATATCCGCGGCACTATCCTGCTGTGAACAACAGTCATCCAGACCTGATCACTTATCGGACAACCGTCAGGTCCATCAGTGATCTCTCTGAGATCAGGGCGACGAGACATCGTCACCAGGTCCACATAGATCAGCTGCAGCAGGAGCACCAAGCCAAGATTCAAGAGGGTCGTCGACAGTTCAAATCCAACATCCAGCAGCAGATCGAGCAAGGAAGCATCACATTCGCGGAAGCCGCTGAGGCCGAAGCTGCCCTTGGAGTTGACGAGAAACGACTGGAAAAGGAATTGGTGCAAGCTGAGTTCGATTCTTATCAGGAAACGGTGCTGAAACCAATGCACGCTATCCTGACTGATCGGGTGAAGAGGGCAACTGAGTGCATCGATGAGCTTAGCAGCAAGCTCGCCGACGCCGCGCAGCACAATACGCCGGATCAAACCCAAGAGGAGGGTGATGAAGAGCCGGAATTATTAGAGAAGCTCACACAACTTAAATGGCTATTCGAGGCGCGCGAGCAGCTTTATCGTGAGATTTACGAGCTCCTCAGTGAGAGTAACGAGAAGTACCGGGCCGTCGTTACGCTGCCGTATAAGCAGAGCAAGAATGAAGACAAGATCCGGGAGACCGATCACTTCTTTATCAAGGACGCGATGGATCGCCGGGTTCAGTACGAGGCAGACGCTCTTGCTCGCCTGGAGACGTTTATGGATGTGGTGGAGGAAAACGTCAAGCGCGGAGTCGAGACGCATCTCTCAGCATTCTGGGACATTGCGCCATCTCTCCTTGTCCTGGTGCAGCAGATTCCGGAGAACCTTCAAGGCTTTCAGGTCCAGATCCCGGCTAGCGAATACGAGGAGAACCCCAGCTATCACCAGTTCCCTCTCCAGTACTTGTACTCGCTCCTCACACACGCGGAAAAATCGTCCTACCAGCTTATCGAGTCACAAACGAACCTGCTCTGCCTTCTTCACGAGGTCAAGTCCGCTGTCATGAGTGCGAATTGCAAATTGATGGAGGCGCAGCGCATCCGCCATGGGGAGCCTGAAGACGTGGTCCGACGTGAGATGCAAGACTGGCGTGCCCAAGAGGAGCGTGAGCTGACGGCCGATCTGAAAGATCGCGTAGCGACTGTAGAAGGGCAGTGGACGGAGGCTCTGGGAAGCCAGATTCAAGCCCTCCGGGAGCGGGTGAAGGACCAGCTTATTGCCGAAGGTGGCTGGGAAGAGATGGAACAGCTGGTGTAGAAGGGACATTTATACATGTGTACATGATGTTTACGATATCAGCTTTGTTTTAAGACTTTGTAGAGATACCCACGGTCGTTATCTGATGTCAATGACGTGATTGATTTATATGGCGTTGCTTTATAGCTTACGACAAAACAACAGAGGAAATAAGGGTCCAGACGGTAAATAAATGATGGAGAAAAATTCCATACATCCCATATCCATAATCAGCAACTGGACTTGTCAAATAATTGATGACTTTATTTCGGAGTGAATACGGAGTAATAATAATAGTCGGAAATGCCGTTCCTGACGATCAGCGTATCACGTGACTGCATCATGGCCGCCTGCGCCGCCTTCTAGAGCTTTCCTTACGGATCTCCAAAGCTCTCGATCGTTTGGTCGGCTGGGAAGATAACTTCCCCCCTTCCCCCACCATCATCGCAACAGGATCGACTCTGTTGGCATTTCCCGACTCCTTACCGGCTGGAGAGCGCTTTCTCGACCTTCTTCTTCATACGTTCTTGTTTTCTCTTTTAGGACAACTGTAAGTGACGACCAATTCTCTCTTTCATCTTATGATTGATTCCCTTGGAAATATGGAAAGTTCCTCCGAGCTTGTCGCCGACACTGGCGATGTCTTCTGTGACGGGAACTGTCCAGATTTATGGTTCAATCAATTCAGTTTAATTTCAACATGATGAGTCATATGCTGGCACCAGGCCCGAGAAGACTTGTACTCTGTATGGTGCGGAGATGCTGCAGACGGTCACTGTTAGTGGCCAGAAGCTCTGACTTTAGTTTCTGTCTTCTTCGTTACCAGCAATTGGATCTGCTTATTCTACTGAGACTGTGTTTGCTAACTTCGTACTCGTGAGACAGGAGGATAGCTTTATTTTTTTTTGCCCGGGAGACCGATCACAGCTCCTTTCCCTTGCCGAGCGCCTGCCTGTGTAGCGGGTACACGGGATTTTTGCCGTCCTTTTATTGTTCATAACTTCATTCTTTTAATACCTGCGTAGTGTACGAAAGGACGAGTAGTCCTTTAGGATCTTGTCACAATGGTCCTCCACAACCCGAACAATTGGCACTGGGTGAACAAGGATGTTTCGGCGTGGACCCGGGATTATCTGGAAGAGAAGCTGTCCACCATCTCTGCAGAAGAGGATGGTGTCTCAGCAAAGGTCGAGAGACTGCTGAGCATGGACGGCGATGTAGACGTCAGCCAGCGCAAGGGCAAGGTTATTACCCTTTTTGACGTGAAGATTCAATTAGAGTACGAAGGTACATTGTTCTCCGCAGCTCAAGACAAGCAACAGGTAATACTGATGATTATCTAGGCAAGACAAAGGACGACGAGAACGTGAGCGGTACCATTACCATTCCTGAGGTGGCACACGACACCGACCCAGATGAGTATGTCGTACGTCCCCTTCATCCTCTTGACAAGTGTTTCTACGATCAAGTAGAGATGCTCACACACTGTGAATAAATAGTTTGAGATCGATGCCTATTCCGACAATGCCTCGAAGCAACCCGTGAAGGACCTTGTTCGCAGCAAGATTGTGCCGCAACTGCGAGAGGAGCTGGCGAAGCTCGGTCCATCCTTGATCGCGCAGCACGGTAAGGATATTCAGCACCAGCCCGGCGAGAACCCGTCCAGCGGATTCGCGACCCCGACGTACCATCCGCAGAAGGCGAAGACGCCAGCCGAATCAAAGCCTACGACCACTCAGACCACTACCACTACCACTACAACCACCACCGGCAAGGTCTCAGTCAACACCGTCACTGTGACCGCCCAGGATGAGTTCCGCACGACGGCGGAGGAGATGTACACGACGTTCACGGACCCTCAGCGCATTGCGGCCTTCACACGCGGCGCGCCTCGCCAGTTTGATGGAGCCCACGTTGGCGGCAAGTTCTGCATCTTTGACGGCAACGTCACGGGCGAGTACGTCACGCTGGAGCCGCCCAAGCGCATTGTGCAGAAGTGGCGCCTTGCGCAGTGGCCCGAGGGCCATTTCAGCACGCAGGAGATTTTCTTCGACCAGAACGACGTGGACCGTGTGACCACGATGCGGGTCACCTGGACCGGTGTGCCGGTCGGCCAGGAGGAAGTCGTCCAGCGGAATTGGGACGGCTATTATGTTCGCAGCATTAAGCAGACTTTCGGGTATGCACCAGAATCAGTGTGGTTATCAGCAATCTCCAAGCACAAAACACCTTCCTCCTCATCATCATCGAATTCTGCTTCTGCTTCTGCTTCTGCTTCTGCTTCTGCTTCTTCTCGTCAGTCTCACACTTTTCCATGGATACAAGTGCTGACGTTTCTCCTTCTCTTTCTTCTTGCTGTAGGTTTGGAACGATACTCTGATCAACTACCCCTCCCATCACAATTTCTTATAAAGATAAAAAACAGATGAAAGAACACCCGTCAATAGTCAGCGGAGTTATAGGGAAAAAAGAAATAAAGGGGAGAGAGAGGCGTCTCTTATCTTCTTCTTTTCTGGGAATAAATAACATAACCGGTCAGGTCACAGCATTGCATCCTCTCGTACCAGCAATCAAATATCTTGCGACAAGAAAAAAGAAAAGAAAAGAAGAAAGGATTTTTTTAAAACTCCTTTTTTGTTTTCTTTTATTTTTGGGTAACATTCCTGATTTTGCCGACCCATATCGACCCGTGACCGTATGCATTCGATCTCATAGCGATTTTCTCTACGATGGAATGATAGAAAGATACATAAATGAATAAACAAACAGAAATAAAATAACGAGAAGAATGAATAGATAAAATAAAATAAGACAAAGTAGTGATTATTCGCATCGCTCGCTTCTTTCATTTTGCTTGTTTCATTTCGTCGTATAAGTAGTTCCTCTACCTAATCCTCTTTGTTTTTCAGGGAAAAAAACTTTTTATTTGTATGCGACTCTTACTCGAGAGTATTTATTCTGAATCTTTTTTTTAAATCCATTAGATAGTCTTCTCAATCAGCTCGATTCCGTATTCCTCCTTCAGGGTCTTGATGAGCGGCGCGCAAATGTCCATGGTCATCGGGGCGAGGATGCCCTTCCCGCTAATCGTCCCATCGAGAACCATCTTCACTGCCACACCGCACGGCACACCGACCAGCTTGGCCATGGCCGAGTAGCCGTTGGGATCGCCGTACTCGCACAGCGTGCTGGTGCGCGTCTCGCGCGTGCCGTCCTTGTGCTCGATCTCGAACTTGTGCTGCAGCATGACCATGTCCCGCTCTCCGGGGCCGTACTGCATCTTCTGCTCGAGCGTCGCGCACAGCGTGTCGAGCGGGTTGCCCCGCGGGATGATGGGCTCCTCGGAGAAGAGGCCGATCCAGCGCAGACCCGCGACGATGCGGTCGCGCTCGTCGTTGTCCTCGAACGCCGTCTTGGACGAGATCGCCCACAGCAGGTCCGTCTCCTTCTCCGAGGTCGCGCCCAGAATCCGCTTCGTCGCCTCCCGCCACGGGATCGGCGTCTTCAGGAAGTCCTGCTCCGCGTCGCTCAGGAAGCCAATGTCAACCAGGACGCGGATCATCTGCGGGAAGCCCTGGTAGCGGAGCGTGCCGCGGATGACCGTCTGCGCCTCGGGGATCTGGTACCGTTCCCGGAACGGCGTCGAGTCGCGGTTCGGGTACGCGACGAACGCGAAGCCCGGGTAGATGAAGTACGGCTTGGCCGTGCCCATGAGCTCGGTGCCCGGCACGCTGAAGACCTGGCCGTCCTTGTAGAACTTGGCGTCATTGCGCAGCGCTAGCAGCACACCCCGGCTGGACCAGGAGAACTTGTAGCCCAGTGGGTTGTCCGAGTCTTCGGGAGCGGGGAGACCACCGCAGTAGGAGAGGAAGGAAATGATCTTGCCTCCGGCGTTGTGCACCTAGAATCCGATCAGCAATACACTATAAACGACCGATTGGTTGCAAAGCCTGATATCAGATAGCATACCTCGGTGATCGTCTTGACGGCGTACAAATGGTCAATACCCTACAAATATCCAAATCAAATCCATCGTCAGAATCAGAATCCCCGTATACAAACGACACAGATTTTTAAAATTGTGGTGCAAGTGTAACCCACCGGGTCCAATCCGATCTCGTTCATGACCGTAATACCAGCCTTCTTGCAGTCCTCCTCGAGCTCCTTCATCGCCGGGGAGACGTACGACGTCGTGACGACATTCTTCTTGGTCCGGATGGCAGCCTTGATGACCTGGGCATGGTAGGTGTACGGGATCAGGGAGATGACGAGGTCGACCTGCTCGAGCGCCTTGTCGAGGGCGGCCGCATCGTTCACGTCGAGGGAGATGGCCTTGGTGTGCTTGAATCCTTCGGCGAGCTTCTTTGCGCTCTCGAGCGTTCGGCAGGCTGTGTGTGGAATCCCCCATGGAGGTTAATTATTGTGCATCGTCCATATATTCTCATCCCGAACTTTCCTCCCTCCCCACGACGGCAAACCGGCACATTGACCAAATTGGATGGTTACATACCAACAGTGACCTCAACGTCAGCCTTCGACAGGACCTCAACCGTGGGCTTGGCGACTGCAAATCGGGTCAATCGTGAGCAAGTGAACTCTGCAGTTTATACAGCGATAATTTTCTTCAATGCGGGGCAGTGACAGCCCCGCGGTCGTAGAAAAAGTTGCTAAAGGGGGCTAGATGTCCTTACCGAAGCCAGAACCCAGAAGGAGGACCTTAGAACCAGCAATTTGCTTGACCATCTTGGCAGGTGTTTTCTGCTGGAAAGAGAAAGATAACTCAATTGCAAGATACTGCTTTTTTTTTGGGCTTGTCACGCAGAAGGCAGAATATGCTCCGATATGCGGAGATACCAAGTGTGGTGAGTCATCAATCATGTGACAAGGAACTATGCGGAGAGCACCAATGAGAATGGACACAGTTGGAGAATCAACGAGAATGGATAACAGCTTGGATGGATTATGTACCTATATTATGTACCTATACTTGTGTGTGCTCTCGAATGAAGTCTACCACGAGAAATGGAAAAAGAAAGTAGCCATGCCAGGTTGAACCCATACAACTCCGTATCCCATACTCTAAATGTGACAGAGGTTTGCTTTTTCTCTTCCCGGTGAAACAAAATTATAGCTATGCACCCTTCGCTGCAGCGCTGGCTCGAAGTGCAGACACATTGATGTCGTCCGCGTTCCACTCATCTGAGTCACTATCGGTCTCTCCCTCCATTCCAAGGTTCTTCTTCTTCGACTTGGTGACTCTTCTTTGCCATCTCCATACCACAGGCAGGAAGTGCCACAGGTCGAATTCGGGCCAGAGAACATCCAAGAATACAATTTCCGTATTCTCATGGCACTGCCAAAGCATAAAGTCGCTCAGGCGCTCCACACCAGAGGTTCGGATAAGAAGGTCCAGAGGTGGGTTATCATGGGTGAACATGTGATCGGTGAGGGTCTGGGGGGTAATTGTCTCCGGCGACAGAAATACGGGATTCTCGTGATCAGCCGGCTTTACTAGCGGTGAATCCTTGACAGACGTCTCCTCCTGCTGACCAGCCAGATGGAGTGTGGTAGACGAAGAGAAGGATGATGGTGACTCGTACACGGTGTTCTCAGGACGGTCGCGTGGCACACCTTCCTCATCTGGTGATGATGAATCCGAGGCAGACTCGGAATCGCTGTTCTGCTCCTCAACCTTGGTATTAAGGGACTGGGCCCGAATGTTGGATGCGATATGTGACTCTGAGAATGGGTTCCGAACGTTGTTGGACCGCGAGGTCCCCAGCGGCTTGCTGTAGTCGATTACCGTATTCCGAATTGCCGTAGTAATCTCATCTCTCGACGTGTAAGGGCAGCAAATATTCAAAATCCGGTCGCCGTTCCGGCTTGTCAGTTCAACAGCACGATCCACCGCCGCGGCCACATCGGGCTTGAGCAGTTCTTTTCGACCCAGGACGCGCACACTAGCACCGTAGCGATCTAGCAGGTCCCCATGCTGCGCCAATTGAGACAGTTTCACCTTAGCCATATCCATAAGAGCGTCCACCTCAAACTTCGACCGATGGAAATTCTCGATGCTGAATGCGTAGATGGTCACCACCTTCACGCCGCTCTTATAGCAAACCTCTAGTATCTGCACGCATAATCGTTAGCGCTTGGCAGCCAAAATTCAAATCCTAAACCATGACGAAAAGCTGAAGTTCTCAACCCGTCCGTCATGTTCGCCACCCAGCCAGCATGAAATCGAACTTGGGAAGAATGCCTACCCTTGCCAATGCCTCGAATCCCAAATTGTGTCCTTCGACGGTCTCTATGCCATGACTCCGTGCAAAACGTCTGTTCCCATCCATAACGAACGCGACATGCTGCGGTATGGGGCCTTGCCTAAGAGCCCCAATCAACAATTCCCGGAGACGAGAGATAATGAACTCGACAGGCGGAGACGCGGCGACCCATTTTCGGAGATGTGACAGGTGCATCGATGTCGCCATTGTTGTCTAATGGGTAGAAAAAAATGTGACTATAGCCGCCCAAAAACACAATGCTGCGAAGCTGAATATCGGAAAGAGCGCGTGTGGAAAGGAAAGAAAAGAGCGACGCGGCCGTCTCACGGTTTCGGGCCCGGAAGAAGTTTCGTATGCAATAGTAAGACTCGTAGGAAAACAGGCCACGGCGCTATAAAGTTGGTGAAGGACAATGCCGTGCTCCTGGAAGGTCGGACAAAATCAGACGAAATGAGAGCTCCAAGCAACAATTAGACGAGCTGTGCCTGGAGCGTAGTTGTAGGAAAGAAAACTGAAATTAGTCTCTAAAAAGAAAAAAAAGAAAAGAAAAAGAGTAATGGACGATCTCCACAGGAGCTTCTTTTACCCCAAGAATCAGCGGTGATCATGAGCCGGGAGGTGGATGATGTATCCGCTTGCCACGGAGCTTCCGGTGTACGTGTACTTACTTCCGCCATCCGTCCGAGGCAGCAGCCTCCTGCATCGCCTCAACCATGCCTCAGCATTCCACCCTCCACCAATCTTACCTGGGTTGCAGTTGTTGAGAGACCCTCGTGGTTAGGTAGGCTTTGATGGGTGACAGATGACTCGAAGCAACAGTTGGCTGGATCAGCCTCTAACTCTCAGCAAAAATTACTTGTGCAGTGTCCAAACTGCAGGGACAGAAGCATGGACATAAGCATTTAATTTCTGTGTTTTGTAATCTCCAGTCATTTGAAACCTGTAACCCGACTAAAATGACAAGTGTTCAGGGGTATAATTTCACAGTACACAGAGGTATCAAAGCTATATACAGTATTCTCGTGTTTGTCAAATTCATCCATACACATAAAAAAAAAGCAATATAACTGAAACGCTTAACTCCTCCGACCAATACCGATTAACAAAAACAAATTCCTCTGTTCCGGGGAAAACGAAAGGCCAAATTGGTAGGCTACTGATCCTTCTTTCCTTCCTCGCTCGGAGGAGTTATAGAGCCGGTACTCGCTAGCTCCCAGTTCACGTCCTCGCCGCGTCTTCGTCGTTCCTGGCCACGCTCTCTCATCGCGCCACGGATCCTTTTGCTGACTTCTTCAAAACTATCCTTGGAATTTATCTGGCTGAAGGCCTTCAATGGAAGTCCAGCGGAGCCAGGGAGGCCGCCGCTCGAGTTGCTTCGGCTATGGCTCCGGCTCCGACTCGACGGCCGCGTAGAGAAGAAGCCAAGATTTGCCCAATCATGGGTGTGTTCGTTCGGGGGAAGAGGTTCCTTGGTTTTGAAGTCGCCGTGACCATGACTTGTGCTGATCTGTCTCGTCTCGCCGTTGACCTTGTCGCCCTCTCCATGGTTCGACTCACGGAAAGGATCTGCAACAATACGAGTCGAATCAAAGTCGGGGAACAGCTCGGGACCAAGGGTGTTGATGACTTCGGTGACTTCATGGGAGAGTTTTTCACGGCGCTCTCGTAATTTCACGAGGGTGTTGGCCGAAGAAGGGTTGAGCGATAGAATGAGAGGCCTGAGAGACTTGAGAATATCCATGCCAATTTCGCCAATTCGCAGAGCTGCAAAGGTGATGGAAGGGAATAGGACGACACCCAGCAAGACGACCATCCATAACGGTACCCACTCAGGGACATATCCTTGGATGCGGTTGAAATACGTCCAATATGTGAACATGATTATATAAAACGTGTAGAGGGCCGGTGCGAACGCCAGAGCGACAAGTAGTTTCCATGTCGCCATGACGTCGCGGCCTTGCAACTTGACCGTGGAGGCAGCCAAGGCCTCCTGAGACTTCTTCTTCGAAATCACCTTGGTGGCAACAAAAACCGGTGCAAAGAGAAGGAGACCCGGCAACGTTCCGATGGCCATGACAGTGAGTTTAGACAGGCGATATATCAGAGTACACACAACCTGTAAGATCGAAAATCTGGCGTACTCAACTTGGTGATCGCGGATGCCAAGCAACCGAAGTTGCTTGTTGTAGTCTGCCACCGAACTCTTGAGTTTGACAATTCTCGGATCGTCCTTGAAGTGTGTATATCCCTGCACCAGGCGCCGGTTGAGCTCGACAACCATCGGAAGTGGGAGCTTCTTTCCCTTCGTGTTGTACAAACGGCGTGCTGCTTGAATGACCTGCAAGATGTGTTAACAGGCGTTATTGCACAAATGACAAAGTGGAAGAACCAACCATGAGAGTTTCGTAGTCAGGCGCATTCACGGTAACAGCCAGAAGGGCATGATAGATGGTGTCCAGTAATGCTCCGACTGCCTCCCGTCTCTCACCACGCTTATACTGCTCTACCAGCTCCATTGGGACTTCAATGGGGTTCCCAAACTCGACGACTGCCCTGGATCGGAATTTGTGAGCATGGAAGTAGTTCATCCCACAGGGCACAATCTTTAAGCCGGAATTCGGATTCTCCGCCAATGAACCAAGAGCCATAATCGCCACGCCAGCTGCAGGGTTTCGAAAGTCAGCCAAGGAAGAGCAGATAGACGAGATCAAGGGCAATGCCATACCTTTCAGAGGAAGCAATTCCGGGCGGTCATGACTGCCACCCTCGGGAAAGATACCGATACAACCACCGGTGCTGAGTCTCCCGAAAACCGCCTTATACACTGCGGATTGATCCACATGGGGGGCGTATTTGAACTTGGAGCCGTTGAAACCACTGAGATCCTGATCGGAGACATCGCCGGTGAACTTGCCGTCATCTGTGATATCCGTCCTCCCTGTTAGCTGATAGAGGGCATCTCTAGCCTTGAAAGGCTTCTTGAGAATGAGCTCCTCGGGGCCGCGAATCTCGGCGATGGTGGTGCTATGTGAAGTGCCATTAATTGTAGGCAAGGCTATAGTGCCATCGGGCTCAAATTTCTCAAAGTTGGTACCGATTCCGCGCAGAAGTGTGGGCTGGTTGACTGGGTCGGGAAGGTAAATAGTGCCCTCTCCAGGCTTCATGTTGTCCATTGCTCGCGCCACAGGCACCGCCCCTATGCCCCTCGCCAACAGTCCAATGAATTTCCGGTGGAAGGATTTCTCCGCGATAAGCCATGAAATGCGACGTCGGACTTCGGTGCGGATCACACGCATCAGAATCAGCGAGTCCACAAACTAGAGCGGAGGTCATGGTCAGCGAATGTCGATCCGAAAAAGAGGAATGATGTGTATTGCGGACGAAGTAAAGAGCGTCCCCATTGCCATGGAAGTCGTATTTTCCTACCTGATTTGCGTGAGGTGCAGCTACAATGATCATCGGACCTCTTCTGGGAACCTTCCACGAGCCACGCGGGTGCACCTCCCGGAAGAAGAGATCCACCAGAACAGAGAACGTCCAGAGGACGAGGTCGTACAACCACCCGATCAGGGGTGGGATATACGTTTTCTTCGCCATTTGGAGATTTGACTTGGACCAAGAATTCAGCGATACAGCGTGATTGCCCGCCTCGCAGGCGGCGCCCCTCCGACACAGAGAATGTTGCCGTTGATTTCAATTGGTGGTTTCAATTTCAGTCGAAGAAGGAAAGTTGCGATTCAGCTGTGTCTGGGCAACGCAGAAGGTGGTTGTGACGGGTTGCACGAGGCATTAGATCTCAGTTCTGAAGCTACACGATAAGCGTAGTTCACGTTTGGTCGCAGGCCTGGGACAACAACGTATATGGTGTGGACTTACGCAGGAAGCGAGTAACAGAGTCGGAGACAGGTTCACATCGAGTCGTGGCCGACGAGGAAAACACGAGCGTTGACGAGGAGAGGTATTTGGCACAAAAGTGAAAAAATGGCAGTTTACGAGGCTAGGATGGAGACGGAGGGGGCAGCCGACGCAGCCGCCTATCCGCGCGCGATCGTTGCGACGCTTCTAGAATCAGAAACTTCCCAAAGCGGGCCTGACACGCTCGCATCCCACGTTGGCAGCATTCAGGCAAACAAAAAGCACTCGACTGGGAGTGACGTAAGCTGGGTTGAACTGGTTGGGGCAAAGTTGCAATCACCAGTAGACGTGAATAGATGGCAAGCCACAGCTGGCAGAGCTTGGACGCATTGCCTGTCGTTTTGCTCCGTACTACTCCGTCCGGATCGTCGAGTCTATCTGGAAACTGGCATTATTGGACCACCACTCGCCGGACATTTATTCGGGGCGCGATGGGGCAGTCCAGCACCGCCGTCCTGTTGGGAAACTTTATGAGTTCTCTCATGCGGGGAAGATCCATAACGAGCCCGAGTTAACCAATGAGTTGGCGATAGCAAACGACGCACAAGAGCGAGGCAGCTTAATGTGGCTTCGATCTGTCAAAAGACCGCCAATCCAATGGTCTAACTTGGATGGATCTGCGTGAAGTGACCCGACCACGCACGAGACTCTCTGCTTTTTCCGGCATACTGCTCCCAAGCCCAGCCGGATGGTCATATCTTGATCCCACGCAAATCCTCGATGGTGAAATCCGTCTGTACAACTCCTATCATACACTTAGTTTGTCTCATTGAGACGCTCGCGGTCATGGTCGATGGTTCGAATCCAGAACACGAAATAGATACGGGGATGGTTCTCCCTATAGAACCCTCTTCGACGTACAGAGCTCTGCAGGAAACAAGGTTCTTGTCTGGAGTTTGTGTAAAATGAGGGTTTAACTGGGCTATCTACTCCGGAGTAGAATTCTATTAGGCCAGCATGGTAACATGGGTTAAGAGAAATGTTTAGCATTCTCTAAAACCCATTGCATCTTAATCCACTGGATCCTATAAAGGTCAGCGAAGTTATGGCTCGATCTTTAGCATCACTGTCATATCACAGGCCTACGATCCTGTGAAAGGGATGTTTTAGTGGCTACGAGCGCAATGCCACAGTCTTACTGCCCATGTGGCTGGACACTGAACAGAAAGCAGAAATTCTTGAGTAGCTCAGAAATGTATCACAACCATTACTTCACAGATTGAACGTACACAAGCGATTGTCTTGATATCCGAATCAATAGGAAAGGGCCCTTATTAGTAATCGCCAGAGGAGTTATTAGTATTAGGTAAAGAAAACCTGTATGATGCCGCAGCATGTAGCAATTACTAAAGGTAGTACAAGCCCGGCATCTCATTCTTGCAGTAGCTAGAACCAACGTATTCTGTGACTAGTAGGGAGATAATCACATTGTCTGGCTTGCAAACGTCTTCATTCACAGTTGGCTTCGAAGACAGATATTGATGGTTGATACAGACTACAAGCAATGCCAGAAATAGCGCATTATCCAGAAGACAATCCTCTGGAGTGTCTGTATCAACTTCTTGGCCAATAGAACGAATAGAATGAATAAGAACGAAAGGCAATCGATGGGAGCCTGGACTAGACCCCAGCTATTGTCGTCGCTAACTGCGGGCGGTGGAAGCGTGGGGGAGCGTCGCAACACGCGGTTCCTGACGACAACGAACCCACGTCGAGACCCGCCAGCGTTAATCAATCGATCAATCAATCAATCAGTCTGCCATCGCCATCGCTTCTCTAGCTGGGTTTGGTCCACTCAGCGCGGTCTCTAAGCACTCCAGTCGACTCGCATCCTCTTTCTGCTTAGTCCTGTGTCGTGCTGATGGTTATTGCCGCCGTTGCCGCTCTGATCGCTGGATTTTCGGCGGCTTTCCAGGACAGACCATCGGCTTCTCGACTCGATCCATCCCCGCTGTCCCGCAAGCAGGCAATAAGCCGTCTGTGCCCTTCTTTTTGTTTTTGCCCCCCTTCTTCTCTGTTCCCGAGTAATCGACGCGAGCGCTAGAGCTAGCTGACCGGTCGTCTTTCTGGCCACTAAGGCTCTCGGACGCTCTTGTTCCTCTTCGCCCCTCCCTTCCCCCCGCCTCGCGGCGCCAAACGAACACCATTTGGGCTGGAGTCGACAACCGCCTCTTCGTGCCTGTGTCGCATCCCGTCCGGTCCATACGTTGTGATTCGTGCACACCCCGGTCGTGTCTGCAGTTTGTATGCTCTCCACACTCGAGGTCGAATCAGAGAGCGTCTCGCGAAGCTAGAAAGCCTCCAGAACAGTCGATCGAGGTCACGATTCACCTGGTTTCGTGCTGGTTTCTCTCGAGTCTGCAGAGCACCGGGTGATCCGCCCTGACCGCTCCCTGATATTGCCTGCTCGTTTCAAGCCTCTTGTTGTCTAGCCTCAGTCCAGCGCCACGTTGATCTCTCGTGGGCCCTCTCTGCTTTCAACATGTCCATAAAGTACGTGCCTTCCTCCCCTGCAGATCCCCGATTGCACTAGGACATGACTCTTTCACGATAGCCGTGTGGGACCATCTCCTGCTCGCTTCGTTGTTTTATCGTCACAGGACCATGGGAGAGAAAAAACGGAGTATTCTTTACTGACTAAACTTCGTTCCTTCTCAAACAGTTGGGTGATGCTCTCTGAGACGGAGGGCTTCGTCCGTCTTCCCAATGAGCATCTCATCTACACATCTCCGCCACGTACGAGCCTGTCGTTAAAGCCGCCCAGTTCATATTCCGGAAAGGAATCATTTTCCATAAGCAGCAGTTCAGGCTGCATATACCTCACAAACCAACGAGTTAGTCTCCTGGCAATCCCTCCCTGAGAGTACACTTTCAGGCGCTGACAGCTTCGTCTGCTTCTAGATAGTCTATCTTCCCTCTCAGCCAAGTGACCAGTTTCAGTCGTTCACAGCTCCCCTCCTCAACATCCACGATAGTCATGTTTCGGCCCCTTTCTTCGGACCCAATGTATGGACGGCGATCGTCCAACCAGTATCTGGCGGCGGAATTCCACCTTCACTACCGGTCGTCGAGCTTAAAGTGACCTTTAAAGAAGGAGGTGCTTTTGACTTCCATTCAAATTTCGAGCGGATCAAGGACCGTCTGCACCAGGCTGTCGAGCATGCGAGGGAGAGTGGCTTGATGACTGGAAACGGCCCTGCCGGGGTCGATTACACCAATGTCCATCTAGACGAACTACCAGCCTACGAAGGTCCCAGTGACGCTCCACCGTACCCGGGGACATCTCATGACACAGAATTTGGGGTCCCTCCGGAGGGCGCTTCGAAGCCACCGCCTCCACTCGGCGAAGAGACAGAGAGTTCCGCGTTTGAACCTCCTACGGAACCACCTCCAGGATACGAGGAGGTTCAACAGCAGAGTGTGGCCAACGAGCTAGAAAACCGATTGCGCCAAGCTAGCTAGCACTGGGTGATGGATGATTGGGTCTCATGAGAAGGCGTCCAACTGGGGGTTTCTTTTCTTACTGCACATATAACGATTTGTCCATCAATAATGGATTATTCCCTGTAATTTTAGTAATGACTGATACGGTAGCGTCATGCGATCATGCAGAGCAAAGCGACGGGCTTAATAGGGATTAGATTTTGCATTACAGCATCTAATGCGCAGATGACCAACGAAGATGAGAAGTCTTTTTTTTTAAAGGCGCCTGAATGCCTGTTCAAATGTCCGCATTCGCATTCTCGTGCATTTCGGGTTGTTCGGGCAAGAACGGCATCCGGCCAATCACGTGTGGGGGAATTGCAGCCAGTCATGGCCGGCCAACCTGACCGGGGCGTTCCGTTTTTCCTGGACAAGAGGAAGCTTCTCCAACATCATCACAATCCCATCTACGCTCGTTGTTCGTCGCATTCGAACCCCCCGCTACCGAACCCTCCCCCTAGACCCCTCCAATTGCATCCATTGAACCGCTCAGAACCGTCAGGATGGGTCTCTCCGAGCTTTTCTCCGAAATGATCTCCTCCCTCGGCTTCGCTGAAGCCCAGGCTGAGGCTCCTCCGGCGGAAGACACGGACAGCGGCAGCGCCGAGCCTGAGCAGGAGGAGAAGACCGCATCCGAGGAGGCAGGCAGCGAAGAAGGAGACAGTGAGGGTGCTTCTGAGGAACCCGAGCAGGAGGAGGAAGAAGAGGAGCCGGAAGAAGAGGAACAGGAGGCTGTGGACCCCAAGCCCAAGCTCGAGCAGGGTGAGTTTCCCGCTATTGCGGCCTCCCTGCAGGCCGACATAGTCGCTATTGTGATATTCTAGCGATCGGTGACCGCAATCGACCCTTCCTTACACAATTGAGCCTTGCCCTTCTCTCCGAGCTCTTCGCGCACCGTCGTTGGCAGTTACTAACAATTGATGTGCAGAATGCGCCAACTCTGCTCAGTGTGCGCCTGTCAAGCACCACTTCGATGAGTGCGTGGAGCGTGTGACCCGGCAGCAGGAGGACCCCGACTACAAGGGACCCAAGGAAGACTGTGTCGAGGAGTGTAAGTTGGCCAATACTTGATCTGAACACATTGCAACACCTCCCACCCTCCTTCGAGGTCACTGCGTTAAACAAGTCCATGGCCATTGAGTTATGAACTATGTGGCTATGGGATAATGGATCGCTGTCATTTGCTTGCGCCTGGTGTGGACTCTTGGGTACTGACGTTTCTGCCAGTTTTCCACCTCCAGCACTGCGCTGCCCAGTGTGCCGCCCCCAAGCTTTGGAAGATCCTGAAATAAAGGGCTCGCTTCTCTCCAAGGATCTGTCTCATTCTGCAGTCATCCGCTGATCACTCAATATCACATGCATATGGGGTCATGATATTTTGAGGTCATATGGATGAAGGAAAGACACCTGTGAGAATGGGAAGATCTTTTTGCAAATGATTTGATGGCTGAGTTGCCCTTCCTGATGTTCAGCCTGCCGCTCTCGATTATGTACCATCATCATCAAGCTTGCATGATGTGTTCGAACTCGATTTTCGTCCATCACGCTGGCCTTTCAAGGAAAACAACCCATCATCGGCATCATGTACAGATAGTTAGTGACTGTCTCCTACGCTACCTCTCTATAGCTGTGAGTTTACGTTTCATTTTATTTCATTATGTCTTAGACCGGTTTCCCATGCTAGAACTCTACCTATATTATACTGTATATCTACCTGGACAAGAAAACTTTAGAGCCAATTATCATAACCCGTCGAGTTGCACCTACATGTTTCCAAGTGTGATTATTCGTATTGGAGCAAGTTTACTTACCTATCCTACTAGCTTGCCGAAATATGGCAAGAAATATGATACACCGTGCCCTCCCTAGTAAGGGATCTGGCCTGAATGACAAGAAATATACTACGAAATATGGTCTATTGGCGAGAACTAACTACACAGAATTTCTTCATGTCCAGAAAGAAGTCTTATGTACGGTATGTAATGTGTACTGTACATACATACGTACTGTCATGTCAAGCGTGAGAACTAACGCAAACACATTCCAACAGAAACCAACAATGCTCATGAGTCATCACACTAATTCGTCAGTTTGAAACCTCAGACCTCTGTCGTCCTGCGATCAACGATGTCTGTTTCGGCCTCGAGCCGGCGATGGACCACCTCCCGACCAAACAGACCCAACGACAACGGGAAGGGGACCGCAACCGCCGCAACAACCGCCGAAAAGATCAGAGCGTTCTGCATGTTCTCCGGTGGGCTGGCGTCGGGTCCGGCCGTGAGCGCGGTCTGGATGATTGTGAAGATTGCGCCCAAGACCTGCCCGCCTGACCAGCAGAGCGTGCTCCCGATCTCGGGCGAGAACGGGTACGTGATTTCGACGAGCAGCTCCAAGGCAACGGGGAGCAGGCTGAAGGAAGAGGCGCCGAGAAGGGCACACACAACGAAAGTCGGTGCGATTCCGGCGACACTCGGCGGCGCGAAGATGAGCGCGATATAGAGCACGGCCAGGACGGGGACGCAGATCCGCACCACTGCCAGGTAGTGCTTGAAGCGGTCGGTGAGCGGGGAGACGATGGCGGACGACGCGAGACCGACGAGGATCAGAAGCCCACCGGCGATGCCGGCTTGGGTTTCGGAGAAGCCGTACGGATAGAGGATCTGGTTCAGCAGGGCGGATACGCTGTTGAAGAAGCCGACGTAGATGGAGAAAGGGATGAAGATCAGCCAGAACTCGACGACGCGGACGATCTGCCGGACGGACTCGATGAAAGGGGTCTTTTGGACTTCGGATGATGCGCTTGGAGGGGTGGGCGGACGCGCGGGGATGAAGAAGGACGGGATACAGGCGACGCTGGACTGTGACACAAATGCAGAGGTCAGTTACTTTACCTCGACTTGTGATCTTGTGGTGCCCAACTTACAATGATGGCGATATACAAGACCATATTCGGGACATCGCTGGGCTGGAGCACCACCAGCGAGTCCACCAATTCACCCAAGGCCGCTCCCAGCGGGTTCGCCAACGTCGTCAGAGCCGTTGCGCTGGTCCGGCCACGGTCTGAGAACCAGAGATCGCTGTATCGCGTCGGCGCCGTCAGACAGAACGGTTGCGCCAGGCCGATGAGGATCTGCCCGAAGGCGACGAGGCCGAAGATGCCGCCGTCTGCGCGGGCGCCGGCATATCGTATCCAATTGCCCACGAGGGTCAGGACGGATGCTGCGACGATGGCATGCTTGGGTCCGCCTTTGTTGAGGGTGTACATGACGATCCTTTTTTTGTCAGCACATACATATGCAGAACCTCCTTGACGGTTATCTTTTTGCAAGAGAGGCGAGACCTACGGAGTCGCAACGCAAAAGGCAAAGAGGGTCGCCGTGCTCAGCCAGTTCACCGCGCTCTCCGAGACGCTGAAATACTCGGCGGTTGAGGTCGAGATGGAAGCGAAGGTGAGCCACTGTTGTCATCAGTCAGTCTACCAAACCATTTTACGTTGTCGATGAGAGAGGATTATTCTTTTTTGTGGGTACAGTACATACTCCCCAGCTAATCACCAGATTCAGCAACGCCAGCTGCACGAGTCCCCAGAACCGCCTCTTGTAGACTTTGTAGGTTGTTGTGGACGTAACTGTGGTCGTCATCATCATCATCGTTGGTCCTTGATTTCTTTCACCCTGACCGTCGCCGCCATGATGAGCGGCCTTTTCGACGTCAACGTCACGGTGGTGGTTGGAAGAGGAAGACGGCGAGGGTGATGGTGATGCGATGGTAAGAGAGGTCTTGTCATTGCTGTTCTTCTTATTATTATTATCATCGTCGTCGTTGACACTGCCAAGCTTCATTGTGATGATGTCTGTCGACATCCCCCGCCAGCATTCTTATCGCTGGCCATGGGGAGACTCATTCACTCATCTATCCATCCATTCATTGACAAGAGAGAAAGCAAGCCAGCGAGCAAGATGGAAGAAGTAGGTAGATAGATAGATAGCAGACAATGCGTAATTAAGGTGAAGTGTTGGTCTAGTTATCAGTTAGTACTGTGTAGGTCCGAACTACGCCCGTCTGTAAGACTCTAACTAAACTAATACACTAGCTACTACTATAGCGGTACTACATTAATTAATTACATCCTACGGAGTAGTATTCTCTGCTGCGGACTCTTTCAACGAACGAAAAAGATGTGCGGGGGCGCCGGCAAAATCGGAGAATTGGATTCAATCGATTGATTGATTAGTCTGATAAGCGGGAAAGGAATCTTCAATCGGCAGAATCGGAACGGGACTTGGCGGCAGCTATTTCTTACAGTCTTACCCAAGTGAGCATAGCAGCATAGCGAGCGGTGGCACAGTTACATACATGCCCGAGTCAGATGGACACTTGAGCGTTTAACGAGCTTGGCGTCTTGTCCAAGACTCCAGAGTCGGGATTGTTCCGTACGGAGTACGGAGTAGTACTCTGGATTTATTTGGTCACGGACAAGACAAGCAGGTAGGAAGAACCTACCTACTTAGGATCTATCTATAGTCGTACAGTACAGCACGACGCGTAAATGGTTACTTTGGAAGAAGTTGATCAGATGGAATTAGAATTCATGACGATGTCCTCCTGTATGTACCTGCGCGGGTACATACATAGCTGATGTTTCTTGACAGATGCGGGGTTGCATTGTTAATTTCGCTGAGGCAGCCTATCCAAATCATCCACTAATTAGCAGCCATTTACATTTACCTAGGTAATTAGATAGACTTGACATGCATCTGGCATCTGCATGTGCTTTTATCATAGTTATACAGAGTAGCTGGAAGGAAGTCACTATTACCTTTGAGTATAACTTTAGTAATATTAAAAATCATTGATGCTGGTGTTCCACAGGCGGATGCTCCTTTTTCCTAAATCTACGGTAGATTGATGATTTTATTACCATGTGACACAGACTGTAGGACAGTACCTACAGTACTAGGTAGGTAAGATAAGACAGTTTCTGGTGGCACAGCGTGCTACCCAACGGACACCTACAATGATCGAGCAGAATCGATGATGATGCGCACTACGAACTATTACTACTCCTTACGTACGGTGGAATAATCCGTGCGCTGTGCTCGTTGAAATGCTTAGAAGACAATCATTAAAGATCAAAATCCCCGCATACATGTATCGCCCGTTGAATCCTTTTCTTCACGGAAACGTCGCTTGCGGATTGGCCCCCTAGCCGATCGGGTGTGTCGATTCGGCTTACTCGCCGATATGACGGACCGTGAATAATAGAGATGGACGGACGCATGTCATGGTCGATTGGCAGGATCAATAAATAGTGATTTGGGTCCGACTCGTCGGGTCGGGAGCAGAAGCATGGACTGCCAATCGGGAGGCACGATGCGACGCGACGCCTGTCAGAGGTTGAGTTTGTCATGGAGAAGATGGGACAAAGAGTTATAACAAGCTTTGATCCCATGTGTTGCCAGCGAATCTACTTGAACGGGCAGTCTTTCATCGCCGCCTTCTCTTCCTCATCCAAATTATCACCATCAATTGAATGAACATTGAAAGTACAGTACAATGGCGTCAACTTCCCGTCCATATCCCCCGGGAATCCACGTGCCCGCCTTGACTTGGTTCCGCGACGACGCCCACCAGGACATCGATTGGGAGGTGCAAGAGAAGCACTTGGAGTTTCTGATCTCCTCGGGGCTGCACGGGAGTGAGTGTTCCCACGACATACATGACAGGAAGGAAATCATCTAACTACGATCGACAGTCGTCCTTGCGGGCACCAACGGCGAGGCTGTCTCTCTCTCCGTGGATGAGAGATGCGAGCTCGTCCGTCAGACTCGACAGATCGCCCGCAGACTCGGCCGGGCTGACATTCCCATCACGCTGGGCTGCAACGCAGGATGCACGCGGGACGTCATCGATGCCACCATCGCCGCGAAGAATGCCGGCGCCGACTTCGCCCTGGTCCTGATCCCGAGTTTCTTCCACTTCGCCATCGACAACGAGGCCATTATCTCGTTCTTCAAAGAGGTCGCCGACGCCAGCCCCATCCCTGTCGTCATGTACAACTACCCGGCCGTGGCAGGAGGTCTGGACATCACCTCCGACGTCATTGATGCCCTGGGAAGCCACCCCAATATCGTAGGTGTCAAGTTCACCTGCGGTGGCATCGCCAAGGTGGCTCGGGCTGCTGCAGCATTTCCTCCGGAGCAATTCAGCGCCTTTGCTGGCCAGGGCGACTGGTTGATTCCCGCTCTGACGGTTGGAGGCCAGGGTTGTATTACTGGCCTGGCCAATTTGTACCCGAAGGTGAGTATTAACATCTGATCTCGTTCTGTTCCCCTCCAGGGCCTTTTTTGATTGACCACTATTTGCTTGACCAGACTTGTGTCGAGTTGTTCGATTTGTACCGCTCCGGCAAGGTCGAGGAGGCCCAGAAACTCCAACTCCAAGTCTCAGCCGCCGAGGTTGGGCTCGGAAAGGGCGGCATCAACGGCACCAAGTGGGTGGTGGCCAAATTCCTGGGATACCCCGAATTCAGCGCCGTCTGTCGGAGACCGTATCCGCGGTTCACTGACCCGGCAAAGCGGGAGATGATCACGAGCAAGATGCTTCTGCTGCAGGATGTCGAAGCTCGTCTGACGAAGAGGGGGTAGCGATGGTACAGAGACGATCCATGTCCAATTCCCCCTTCATCATTTCCGCGTATATATCTTTATTTTTTTTTCGAGAATTGTTTGATCATGACGTATAGATACTGTCGATTGATTCACAGACATTAATGTACTGTACATACATACATACATACATACATACAGTATTCGTGGTATTTCGAATCGCAGCAAATAGACAGAAACGACCATTGGCCATCTGACATGTCAAGTTGTTCTGTATGTTGCTCTAGTTGTTCTGCGAGCATCATAAGGACTAGACCAAGTCAACAAATCCAATCTTCTAACACACGCTTTTTTCCAAGCCACTAAGCTCGCTGCATATGATGCCTGACAAAGACCGATTGTTTTTTTTTCTGTTGCTGCCTCGTATGTGGAGTTCGAAGTTATCGTCGTCAGCCCGGTGGGCACTGCCATCGTCATCTTTACCGTCAGGGGTAAGAGAATATTCTCGAGTGCGGGGCGCAATAATAAGGAGTGCGTAGTTAAGCAGCCTTGAAGGGCTCTGGACCTAAAGCTTTGCCGGGTCCTCCTCCATCGTCCATCCAGAGTCCTTTTTCCTCTCTGTATACGGAGTGCTCCCGTAGAAACTGGACACGAGTCTACCAGTGGACGACAGCAGCAAACCCACGGGGAAAAGACAGTGCTCGGAATAAATAATAAAGCAGGAGAAGGGATTTAAGGAACAGTCCTACTAAAAAAAGACAGACAGCAGACTAAGATCGCGATGAGGACTGTGCCTGAGCTAACTCGAGTTAGCCCGTCCGCTAACGCTCCCAGACTGCCGGGATTGGGAAGTCACTGCTGTTAGCCCGATTCCTTTTTCCTCCGGGCTGCCTGGTGGATTTACTTTATTTAATTCTAAGAAGCACCCCTGCCGACCTCTTTCTCTGGGACGACGGACGGGCTTCGCCTCTTGCTTTGCTGTGTACCGGGGAGTCGAGGATCATCTCTTGGTATGCTGCTGTCGACCCTCAGCAGTTGCAGTCTCCCCCGCCGAGAAAAATCCCCCAGCCTCACTCATTATACCTCCGACAGCTCGAGACTCGCATTGCGCGTGTTTGCTCTGACCCCAGTCGATCCTTTGCTATATTCGATGATAATGTCTTCTTCGTGAATACTGCCCTGGAGTTTCTTTCTATTCCTTAGTGACTCTTTCCTTTTGCAATTAATTACCTTGATCTTCCACCGGGATGAACGTCGATAGCCTCCGTTCCAGCCGCTCCTCCTACGGCGACCCCCGGTACCTGTCTGCCTACTCCAATGGCGTCTCCTCGCTCCCGTCCAAGGTGCTGGTGGACGGCTATCGAGGGACCTCGGACCTTTCCAACGATGACAGATCCCAGTACAGTACGGTATGTGTGTGTTTGCGCGCTGGTCCTGCACTGGTGAGCCCACGCTGACTATCGTTCCTTCGAACTTTACAGGTCAGCCCGAATCCCCAGCGGGGTCCGCTATCGATCGATGTTACCGACCCAGTCCTAATGCACTTGTTGACCGAAACTGCCATTGGCGACAGCATCGGGTACGAGATCCTGCCTTTCGAAGAAGTCGAGGATTTGAAAAGAGAATATGCCTTCTTGTCGAACCGCATCGAGGCAACCAAGCGGAAACTGGCTCTGGAGACGAAACTCCGGGATGCTGCTCAGTCGCTTCGCCGCCTACACCGTCCCAAGAGTACCCGCAATGGCACTGAGCCTTATCTCAACGGACATACAAATGGCGTGATACCCGAGCCGGACGAGGATGCCGACGATGAGTTCGCCGTGAGCTCCCGAAAGTGCGAGGAATTGGCGCAGGAGTTATGGAAGCTGGAGCGCCGGGCTCAGCATGTCCACAGACGAATCCTCGAACACACTGCCGGAATCTTACAGTTGACGCACAAGGGTCTTAAGAAAAATGTCAACCAGAACGGCGCGAACCAGAGCACAAATGGGGTTTCTCGTGGGAGCGTTGACTTTGACGATCGCAGTCTGTACAAGACGGTGGACAGCCTGGACGACTTCGGACCCGACGGCCGAAGAGTTGCTCAAAACGGCATCGACGTCAATGTGATTCGTAACACTGAGCAGAAGCTTGAGGAACTCAATGGCCGTCTACGTGATCTGATCTTACGGGGCCAGGAGGATTTTGATCTTGACCCTCTTCCTCAGAGTTCAAACGATGGCGATGCCGTGAAATCTCCAGCATTGGTACAAGCGCATCTGGCATACCTCGAGAATAGCCTAAATACGCTCGAGACTCGGGGACTCCAGGTCGGAGGGGTAGGGGGTTCTGCTGGTGAGATAGAGGCGCAACTCAGTGAAATCAACAACCGACTACATTCCCTTCTGGGGCAAGCTGGATCTGTGCTTTCCCCGTCTCATCCTCCTCCCCCAAGCCCGTCTGGGGAGTACCTGCACACTCACATGGACTATCTGCGGTCCGGATTTGAAGATCTACAGCGGCGAGTTCAGGATCTCCAAGAGCAAAAAAGCATCCTGACGACCCAGATCCAGCAACAACGAGAGCTGAATTCAAAATCAGATGCCGAACGAGACGCGCACGTGGCCGATTTGACCCAGCAGCTCGTTGAGGCCAGAAAGCGGTCCGAATTGTCAGAACAGGAGGTCCAGGGTCTCAGGGATGAGCTGGCGATAGTAATGGAGCAGCTCGACGCTGCACGACAAGAACAGAGCCTGCAAGAGCAACAGCGGCAACAAGAAGAATCTGCGGCATTGAATGCTGAAAGGCAGGCGCGTGAGAGAGCCGAAGAGGAAGTGTCACGATTACAGCAGGCTGTGCAACAGGCATCGGCAGCCCGTTCGCAAGCCGAAGAGCAAGTCTCACAGTTACAGCAAGCCGTGCAAGAGGCAACGGTGGAACGCTCGCAAGCTGAAGAACAAGTCTCACAATTACAGCAGGCTGTGCAACAGGCAACCGAGGCACGCTCTCAAGCCGAAGAGGAGGCTAAACGGCTGCAGAATGAGTTGTCAGAAATGGAAAGGGAGGTTGCCAGAGCTCAGACCGAGCTCACTGTGGTCAAAGCCGAGCTTGATGGCGCTTATGGAACCCGAGCAGAGAGGGCTGCTGAAGTTGCTGCCAACCCTGTCATTCAGAAGGAAATCGAGGATCTCCGTACGAAAAACACCAGCCTCGCGGAGGAGCTCGCAGCATTGAAGGAGCAACAAAGTAATCAACCGAACGCTGCCGAGCTTCAGGAACGGGTGCAAACTCTGGAGAAAGAGCTCCGTGATACGATTGAAGATTATGAAGTCATGACCAAGGCGAGCATTGAATTCGAAAAGGAACGAGAGAAATACGAGAGCATCATTGATGGTTTGCGCGATCGTTGTGAAAACCTCGAGACGCAGCTCAGCGAGGAGCGCATTACCTGGATGGGAGTCAACAGTCCAACTGCTGTTCGGGATGGTGCGTCTGAGACGACGGTGTCGATGATGGTCCTCAAGAATGAATTCAAGAAGATGATGCGGGAAACGCGGGCGGAGAACATGAAACTCTTGAAGGCAAGTCTTCCCTACTTTGTCATTTCATCATTTTATGTCAACCCCTTACTAACGGTGGTCTTATCATAGGCGGAGCAAGAGGAACGAAGGAGACTGGAAGCCCTGGTGCGCAGCCTCAAAAAGGAGCAAGCCATGGGCAAGTCGAGTATCAGCCAGAGCACCGCTGCCTCATGATCATCATCACGATCGCCATGATGTCCTGCTGTATAGAAAGTCGACACTACGTTTTTTTTTCTTCGTACATACCACGCACCAGCCTTTTTTTTTCTCCTCAAAATCCTTCAATGTGGCATCTGGAACGCAATAACCCTCGTCATGACATCGAATGTACATACATAGATGGCTTTTATTTCCATTTTTTTTCATGGAGTCGAGCGTTGTTTCCTTCTGGTTTTACGCCCGGAGTGGTGTCTGAGTGGTGTCTCCAGATTCTCAGTGATGGCTCACAGGATGAGCACTTCCTACTGTGAACAAGCCAGCACGAGGACCCAAATACAATGAAGGTGTGATAATGTTAGCTCCCCTTGACTGGCAGGATTTTGCGTGAAAGCGGCCCTATGCATTGTATCCATGTTGGGTTGGTTCTGTTTGTTTTTCTTTTCGGGCTGTCAACTTGGGCGAATTGGCATGGCTCCTTCCCTGACAACGAACGCTGTATGTACCTACTGTACTGTACAATAATACATTCCTGGAAACTGCAAGCACGACTCAAACCACTGCCTTGATTCACGGGCAGAGCATCATCTTTTGTCTATCCCATTCCACCGTTAATGCCTCTCTTAAGAATTAAGAACTGTCGTTCTTTTCATTTTTAACCCCCCACAGACACACTTGTCAGTCGTTATGGATTCATGTTACCATGATCAGGGTACAGCAGAGAATCTGGTCGACCATGAGAAGCACTCGAATCAGCCACGGTCTACTATGGATGAAAACAGACCCAATCTACCCAACCCGCGTCGTGTCGCTTCCTTGGCTGCTTTCGACCGAGACCTCGATTCATCCGAGTCTATTCCAAGCGACCATAGCTCCCTATACGATGCTGCTAGAGCAAGCTTTGCGCTTGAAGACGAGGATCAGACTCTCAGTCATGGTGTAAAACAGGACAGCGAGGTTAGAGGTGGGAAGGCCGCCAATGCTCGGTCTTTGGATTCGTCTGCATTATCACCGTCGCATTTAAGGTCGAATGGACCTCCTCATCCCCTGGAGACGATCACTGAACAGCAAAGCTCGTCGACGCTACGGCGTTCCCGTTCGGTTTCGCAGGCTCATGAGAGTCATGCTGGGAGTGATTCGCCATCAAAGGAACCCAGGCGGTCGAGCTTTGCCGCTGCCGATCGAGTGCGACGCCGCAAAAACGTCTCCTTCGATGAGAGTGGCAGTGACTTTGGGGCTTCGAATTGGCAGCAGGGCAACTATTCCCCTGCACTTCCTACTCAACCTGTATATCCTCCTCCTGCCCGATCCCCAACTCCGCCTGGACTGCCGTCTTTCGGCTCTATTGAGGCTCTCAATTACTCTTCTCGCTTCACAATTGAATCCAGTCCGACGAGTCAAGGTAGACAACGTCAACGAAGCCCCGGGTCCACAGATGGGTTCTTTCGGAGGAGGAGTCAGGGCGGAGCACTACGAAGATTCTTAGGTTCCCTGCCACCATCAGGCTCTTCAACGACACTTCCGATGCATGCCATTGCCAGAGCAGATGATGGAACCGCTGTCCGTGGGCGCTTTCCATACCGGCAGAGTGGTCATGGTGTGGACTTGACGAGGTCGCTTGATCGACATCCCTTTCACAGAAGCCATCTGCCCGTCGCCACACCTATACATCCAGATTCAGTGTCTCGCACTGGTGAATCCAGAAGATCAAAAAGCGGCGACAGCCATGAGGGATTCAGACCTCCCGTTGACTCGCAGGTACAAACTGTTGGGTCGTCTCCATCTAATCCTACTGCAGAACGCCCTGAGACAGCCGAGCCACGGACAGTGACTGTGACATCTGGGGTCGGGGAACGACCTTTATCATCATCTCAGCATATCTTTGAAGCCCATGTGCCACAAGGATACAACAGAGTTTGTCCTCCTAGCGGCAATGCGAGCCGTAACACTCCTGTGGTTCCAAGCGTTGGTGCGGAGGCATTAAATCCAGTCACATTGCCAGTAGCAAGTCCAGGGATGGCAACCACGGACGGGACGTCAGAGACGACAGGTGATAACCACCGGAAGGCCACAAGTTTTTGGATAGGAGTATGGAAGAACATTACTGACGCGTTTTGCTGTGTGGCGGAAGAGGAGGAAGAGGAGGACACGACCAGAGCGTTATATAGGGACGGGAACCAAGCATCATTGTCATCCACAGCACTGGCTGGTCCACAATCGCGCACTCGCGGAAGCGAGGTCAGCCAGGCCGGACGTCGATATTCTGGCCCGTGGAGACCAGCGTATGGATTTCATCCGGGGGAGACGTCTGCCAGTTCGGTACTGTAGTTTAGGTGGGATGTTCAGGACTTGGGTACCATCGTACCGCCACGACGCATCCTTAGATCATCAATCAAAACAGGAGTACTTCCTAGAGTGTTCACTTGCACCGCACATGACCATGTAGTATATTCTTAGTCGAATAGATCGATATTGTGACCATTTCAGAACTGGATCCTCAAGTTCGCTCACAGGAGGTCTTTTGACCCATGGAGAAATAGAAACCATATCCTAGACAAACTCACTAGCATGTTAGGTATATGTACTGACAGTCCAGTCAGTACAGACAAGACAGACAGACAGTCGGTGTATGTACTGTACGGACAGGACGTACTGTAGTATACCATAGTCATGCTATAGTATAGTATACTATAGCTTAGTATTAATTACTAAGTACTACAGTAAGAAGATCCAAAGAAGAAGAAGAAGTCCTTCAAATCCAAAAGTGAACTGAACTGAACTGAACTAACTTATCATATTTGTCTGCTTTTAGAAACAAGACAAGAAAAGAAAGAAAATAGAGAAACAACAACGAAAGGAAGTAAAGTAAAGGGGAAAAAAAAAGAAAACTAAAGAAAGAGAAAGAGAAGAAAGGCAGGCAGTAGGTATATGGTATGGTATGTTCTCAATTGTATATAGACAGGCAGGCAATATAATAGACATAGGCAAGATGAATGGGAAAGAGAAAAAAAAACAAAAGAATGCTTTACACACACAGAGTCCGAAAAGAAAAGGGGAAAAAAAGGGGAAAGAGGAGAAAAGAGGAGAAAAGAGAAGAGAACAGCAGAGCAGAGAAAAAAAATGACCTATCCTTATCCTTCCTTATCCGGATATCCGTATTCCATCGCTATAAGGAAAAAAGAGAAACCGCTCAGAAATAGAAAAGTTTAAAAGAGGACTAAAGGGAAGAAAAAAAATACAAAGATGAAACAATCAAATAATAGTAATAATAATGAACAGCTCCCTCCAATGCCACACATTCAACAATATAAAAACAAAAGACTCCGACTTTCCATGCAAGTTATGTCCATCATCCTCGTCGTCACAAATAGCAATGATATATTACTGCAACCGCAAGCAAGCAAGCAAGCAAGCAGGCAACTCGGTATAATCAGATGGAAGCACGCCTCGACCTGCCGTCCAAGATGCCATCAACGATGATGATGATGATGATGATGCAAAATAGCAGAGGTGAATAAGCACAGAATCCTCCGGAGGGAAATGTCGGCAGATCGCTCCTTTTTTTACTTAATTCGCTTGTTTCGGGTATATCGACGGTCAAATCGGAATCATCTTGTATAAGATGCAGTTAATATGAACAGTTGAGACAGGGGAATCAACTCCCCAGCTATTGCTCATTACAATCCCGTGAAGAACTGACATGCTTCAATGATTTCCTCGTCCCCACATGCAAAATCCCATCCGACAATCCTTGGATCCTGACTGGCACAGATGATCTTCCGCGCATCGAACTGCAGTTTAAAGATCCTGGATGTCGGTGGCATACCCGGGTTGACAAATGGCCGAGCAAAGGCGTGGTGACCGTGAGCATGAGCCTGGGTTAATGCCTGCGCCTGTGCCTGCAACGGTGCCTGCCAGGGTGGCAAGGCCGCGAATGCATTGGGAGAAGGTGTGTTGGCAGGAATCTGTGCCGAAGGCTGATGAGGCGTTGCATGAGCCGCCGGGTTGCCTTGCTGTCCAGTCGGAGGGCCAGAATTGCCTGCAACTGCATTCCACGACGAGCCTTGTTCACCACCATGTCCAATATTGACTGGTGCGGTGGGGTTGTTGGTAGGATTCGTTGCAGCAGCATTCGGAGGGTTGGGAGGGACAGTGGCGCCGGTAGCGGTCTGGTGTCCCATGTGCAGCGGTCGATGTTGCTGCGCCGGCGGCACAGTGCGATTCATCACGTTTGCTGCCTCGCGTGCGGCCTGACTACGGTGATACGCCATTGAGGCATTCATGACAGCTTCGTCTTGGCGCAGCCGGTGGCCAACCACCCATTTCCCTTCCCGATCCTTTCTCCAGATGATGATGGTCTCATCATACGAGCCCGACACGATCCTCCCCCATATACTCCCACCTCCACCGGGAGGGATCCGCGTGCCCAGCGCCATCACGTCCTTTGGATTCTTAGATCCCGGGTTTCGATTGGGAGCGGAGCGCTTGCGGCTACCGTTCGGCTGGGCGTCGGGAACGACGCCGGCACGCCTGGCATCCCAGTAGTCGCTGTCGACTGCGAGGGCTTCGAGTCGAAGAGCCTCTTCGGCTCCTGGAGGATCACCAAAACCAGCCTGGACGGTTCGGACTAGGCTGCGGTGACCTTGCAGGCAGGCAACCTCAGCCCCCGAGGCATGATCGTAGATTCGAATCGTGTCATCATTGCTTCCACTGACAACCCGTCGACTGTCAAACTGGACGCAAGCAATGCCCTTCTGATGACCCATGAGGGTCTTGAGGCACGCCCCATTGTGGATGCTCCAGATCTTGATCAGTCGGTCTCCAGACGCGGAGACTATCTCATCGTCATTGATCTGGATGGCATTCACGGCGGCTCCGTGCCCATCCAGGGTCATCAAAAGGGAGTACGGTGCCAAAGGCTTGATGTGGCGGCTGGCGAGCTGCGCCTCCAGCAAGGACGGAGGCACATCGCTCGTGTCGATGATATACGAGGGATATTTGACGCCGGGGCCCTTGAAGACGGAAGGATAGTCCTTGTCCAGGGGAGTCAGCTCGTGACGGGTCCAGACCTTGATCAGCTTATCCTTCGAACACGTGACCAGGTACCGTTTGTCGAACTTGAGGTTCAGCACGGAGTCTTCGTGCGCCGAAACCAGTTCTTGAAGCTTCTGGCCGGTAGAAAAGCGCCAAATGATGACGTTCCTATCACTGCTGCCGGTCATGATGATATCTTCGGACGGATCCGGGTCAAACTGGAGGCAAAGGACCGACTTGGTATGCCCGAGCAGAGGCGGGTACCACAACCGCCTTGTTTCCAGGTCCCAGACGCGGACTGTTTTGTCGCGACTGCCGCTGACCAGCCATCGGCCGGAGAACTGGATGGCGTAGACGCATTCCTGGTGTGCTTCTTCGAGATGGGCGGGATCGGGCAGTTGGAAATTGATGAAGCGGCCCTTTAACCAGTTTTCCTCCAGGCGCCTCCGTTGCTTGTACAAATAAGGCCAATTGATCTTCGCGGCCCCGTTTGGTAGCCTGACCAACAAGGAAGACGACTTCGCTGTAGTACTGGTAGATGGCCCCGACAGCTTTGAAGACGGAGTCCAATTCGGACCGTTTCTGCGTCCCCGAGACGGAGACGGCTGGCCATCTGAAGCAACATCGTGCATTTCCCGATCTCCCTCCGCATCGTGAGGAGAAGTCGGCCCATCCGCTTCCACCAGACCATGTTGCTCGCTCCACGGCGGCTGGATCTCAGATTCTGGACTTAGTGCGCTGAAGCCTGCCGGAGGGACGCGCCTCTTGAGCTGGGGTTCGCTCACATCTGAGTCCGCATGCCTCGTTCGGGACTTGCGATTCTGCGAGAAGGGCGGTTCCGAGTGCTGCTGCTCGAACTTCCGAATGGCGTCGATGTCGAGGCCCCAACCCTCTCTGATATAGAGCTCTCTCCAGAGCCGGGAATCCAAGATGCGCTCTCTCCACGCCCGCGAAGCTAGGGAAGCCGTCAGCAGGGTCGCCGGGTCGAGGTAGGAGAAGATCTCGGCGGTGATCTCAGGCGGGAGTTTGGCGACGGGATCCATGTGAAGAAGCGGCGTGAGCCTGTCCACGACGGAGGCGATGGTGCTCGTGCGCAGGGTGCGCAATATGGAGTAAGCAAGCTCTGCGACGGCAGGTCAGTGTGAAGCCATACCTTTGCGCCTCCGTCAGACCAACATACCGGCCCTTTCCGCTTCACTGTGCGCAAGTATCCACTCTGGCAGAGGCATGGAAGAATCGGTCGACTTGAGGCTCGACTCATTGTCTGGCTGACTCTTCGTCTCGTCGGAATATCCTTCGTCGAGCTTGAAGGAAGCTGCCAACGGCGGAGCGGCGAAACCGGAGCGATAGTTGCCTCGCAGGAGAGGAGGGATGCCAGCTTCAGCGGCAGAATCCCTTTCCATGGATGCTGGCAGCTGGACGCTGTTCTGGGAAAGGCGTGGGGGGGGGGGGGGGGTATCGAACCAGACTTGGCCGTGATAGCTCCACGGTCCGATGAACAGTCACCGCCCCAAACAAACGGTACGCCAGCCACGATCTGATCGGGTGTTGGCCCTGGTGCGCGCTGGCAAAGGGGGAATCCGTGCAGACACCAGATTGCGGCTCACCGAGCTAGGCTGGACAACGATGAGCCGGGGATCGTGGATGGAGAGGCTGGAGTCTGGATCCCACTACATGGCCGGGGGGGAGTGATAGTGATGGGTTAGGTAGTTACCTAGTACGGCGGCGGTGGTGATGTTGCTGCTCGCTGTCAGGTGTCTGTCTATCCTCAGGCCGCAAGGCAGCAACGTCGCGTGATTGTGGATTAGTAATGCCCTGAGGCGCCATCCCTGACCAGCGATCACTACTCCGTACTGTCACTGGGCGAGACTGCTGCCAGGCAATCAACCGCTACTCTGATATACGGCATCCTCTGTGCTGCCCTCTTCAGCAGTCTGCATGCTGCCTGCTGGGCGCGCTGTTTGCTCACTTTTTGTGACTGCTCAGCGCAGGCACTCAGCTGCCATACTAGCTGGGCGTTTGCAAGCTCGCTGGTACGGAAGAGCCACGGGTCGTGGGCCGGGCGAACGAGCGCTGGGCCCTTGGATAAGCGGCGCAGCAGCGGATTGGCCCCGTGGGAGCGTGCCAGCGGGCTCCCGGAAAAGCGTCGCCGTTCCCCTCCCGGCTGGCATCCCTATCCCATTCATTCATTCCCGTTCTCTCCCTTCCTGCCCCAGCGGCAGTCCGGCCAGGTCGAACGCGCTATTGCTATTAGTTAGCGGTGCCACCCGAAACACACTACTCGCTCCTTCCTGCTACACGCCTGCCCACTCCTCGTCCATCTCCCTCTCCTGATCGCGACTGCCGTATTCCCTCCTCCCTCCGCCCGGCCTGCTCCTTCCTCAACGCTTCGATAGCGTTCTGTTGCCCTCGACTCTGCTGCGCCGCCCAGTCTATTCCTCGTCCAGTCCCCTGTGTCGAGCTGTGAGCGCTCTCCTGGCCCCCTCTCCACTGTCGAACGAACCCCCCACCATTTCCAACACCCCCTGCTGACTAGCCCTGCTAGACCAGGGGCCCAGCGACAGAAAATCTCTGCCCAAATTTCTGGTGTCGATTTCGATTTCCATCTCTACTGTACCCGGTGTCCAGTCTGCTTCCACGACGGCGGATCCTCCCTTGATTTCTGTTAGTTTCAGTCGACTTACGCCTGGCTCTCTCGGCTGCCAGGGTCCTGCTCACCCCCTGAGGCCCAATCAGGGTCTTCGTTTCGTTTACGGAGGGCGGTCGAAAGAGGTCCTGAGGAAACGAGAGGCGAGAGGACCGTTGAGCTGGTTCTCACTGCGTTGGTGTCTGATCGAATCGACCATTTCCAAGTGCCTTCATCCGATCGCGCCTCGTTGCGCCCATTGCTATCTTTCCTGGCCGCATTGATTTGCGGAGTCGGCAGGGAGATCGATGGTCCATGGTTCATCCTCCCGACCAGGTACGCTGGCTGGAACAGTTACTTGTGTGATTTTCTCCCGGGGCACGCTGCTTCTCTGAAGTAGCGCATCAGGAACAGTTTTCGCGAGGATGGAGACTCCGGTGAACAATGGAGGCCCGGTGGCTGAGGACAATATCATCAACCGGCGGGGTGGCGAGTCCATCTACCAGAGTTGTGTGAATCTGAAGGCCAGACTGGCGGAGGTCCCTGGGTTTGAGCCTCATCTGGCTGAAATGGAGGAGATGGAGCGGGCTCAGGGTGTCTCCGATCCAGTCGCCTCCCTGTGGAATTGTTTTCGGAGCGGTTATCCCCTCATGACCATCTTCAATGCTTCCAACCCGGATGATCCCCTGGAGATCGACCCCGAAAAAGTTCCCGAGGCGAAACGGCCCAAGGCGGCCACTTTCAAATTCCTTCAAGCCTGCCTGCAGGACATGGCTTTTCCCCAGCAGGACTGTTTTTTGATCACCGATTTGTACGGTGACAACACGACTGGGTTTATCAAGGTGATCAAAATGGTCAATCGCGTCCTGGACATCCTGGAGATCCAGGGTCAGCTGAACAGACCCTCTGGAGCCGCATCTGGTTCCAAGAACGACAAAGGCGGCGCTGTCAAGCTTACTAGGAGACAGCATATCTTAAAGGAACTTCTCGAGACCGAGCGGGATTACGTGCATCATCTTCAGAATCTGCAGGCTCTCAAGAAAGAGCTGGAGGAAACGGGTGCCTTGACGGGTGATGAGAGTCATCAGATCTTCCTCAACTTGAATAATCTGTTGGACTTTGCGCAACGCTTTCTGATTCGCATGGAACAACACTACGCCCTGCCGGAGGAAAAACAAAACTGGGGTCATCTCTTTATCTGTCACGAGGAGGCTCTCCGCCAGTATGAGCCCTTCATCGCCAACCAGCTGCGCTGTGATGAAGTCTGCCTGCGTGAATGGGACAAAATCAAGGCTGCTCCGCGCTCCCCGGATCTTCAGCAGATGGTTGCGCTGCCCTCCACGCTTAATGGATTCTTTGTCAAGCCATTCCAGCGGTTAACCAAATATCCCCTTATGCTCTCGGTGGGTTTCCCCCGCGATGTCGACCGGAAAGACTGGAATTTGTTGACTGGAGTGTGTAGGAACTTCGCAAGCAGACGGAAAGCGAGGAATTGCAGGCCGAGATCACTAAAGCTATCGATATGATCCAGTCGGTGCTGGACTCGGCCAACGACGCCATTGACAAGGAGCATCTCGCCTCTGCCGTGGTAGATCTGGCGAATCGGGTGGATGACTGGAAGTCGCTCAAAGTTGAAGGATTTGGTGATCTCCTTCGGTTTGGCACGTTTACCGTGTTGAAAGGGGATAGTACCAAGGATACCGAAAGAGAGGTGGGCTCCCTTTCCGTCCTTGTGTCCCATAACGGTTTTAATCTTATGTTCTTCCGAGAGAATGAGTCCTGCTAACATCGGCGTATGGGCAATAGTACCACATCTATCTTTTTGAGCGCATCCTACTCTGTTGCAAAGACATCAATCCCAACAAGCAGAAATCCAAACTCATTGGCAACAAGGACAAGCCCACGTCAACCGTGAAGGGAAAGCCGCGTCTCCAGCTTAAGGGCCGAATCTACATGGCCAACGTGACAGACATCGTGTTACTTCAGAAACCTGGTATGAGACGTCATTCCCTTGTTTCAACATGTCTGTACTAATACGTTTTTTTCTTTCTTCTGTAGGCTCTTACCGGATCCAGATTTTTTGGAAAGGTGATCCCGGTGTCGTCGATAACTTCATCATCCGCTACCAGAATGAAGATGTCATGAAGAAGTGGTACAAGGATCTCGATGCTCAAAGAGCAGCGCACGCGCAACGTAATGTTCGACACACAGGCACTTCAGACTCTGAATTCACATACATGAAGAGTGTCTCGTCGAACCTGCAGAACCCATACCAACAGGAGTACGAAGCGGAAGAGGATCCGGCAATCCAATCGGCGACTTTCTCAGAATTCCCGGTCAGCAGGAACGCGTCCAGTACGAGCCTCCGAGCCAGGTCTGCCACGGGAGGCAGTGGAGGGTCTGGTCCCCTCTCCGCCGGTCGACCACCGCGATTCCCTATGCCGGAGCCACCGCATGCACTGCATACTCAATTGTCCAATGGCAGCCTGTCCCCTGGAGAACGTGTTGGCAATTCTTACTTTTCCCCGGTCACTGAGGCTCCTCCGTCCACCCGGTCTAGTTCCCAGTCGGCATATACCGCCTATTCTCGGCAGGTCACGCCAACCAATACGTGGAACGAAGAGTCCAACCGGTATACCGCACCAGCCTTGTCGAGGGTGGTATCGAGGGATAGTACTAACATCAATCCTTATTTCAGCAACAGCAGTGGCAGTGGCAGTGGCAATGGACGTGTGCAGCGGCCGTCTCTGCCCCCGCTTTCGGCTCAAGGGCAGGCATCGAACCCCATGGCTCAACGGATGCGGTCGGCCAGTAGCCCGGACATTCATCATCATCATGCTGGCATCCCCGAATCTCGTCGGTACATGAACGGTCATGCCATGCAGACAATAGACAACGTCCCCGTCCCGCCAATCCCGCCTCAACTTGCGACTGGGAGGCCGCCTCTCAACCGTAGCCAGAGCAACTCACCCGCGAACGGTGCTCTGCCCATCCGATCCGCCACCCAAACCTCTGGGGGAATGCCACGGCATGTACACTCCGGTCCTTACCATGAGCACCCGTATCCCGATCGGGCTCCTGCATTTACTCCCAGTCAGTCCTCTTTGACTGATCAACCTCTGTCGGAGTCTCCGAGCGAGGAGGCCGAACCTCATCATACCGAACCTCAGCCCGAACCTCAGCCCGAACCTGAGCAAGAACCTGAGCAAGAACCTGAGCCCGAACCCGAGCCGGAACCAGAGCCACAACCCCAGCAGACCTCCCTGCAGGATGATCCCATCATGCCCAGTCAGATAAAGGCGAAAGTGAATTTTGATGACAACTACGTGACTCTAGTAGTCGCCAGCAACATTCTCTTCCGATCCCTGACTGATCGGGTTGATGCCAAGCTGGCCAGGTTCACGGATCGGTCGATTGGAAACAACTCTGTGAGATTACGTTATAAGGATGAAGATGGTGATTTCGTTACCATTGACAGTGACGAAGCCGTCCAACTGGCCTTTATGGAATGGCGTGACCAGCATCGAGAGAGTCTTGCTAAGGGCCAGGTGGATGAAATTCAACTCTTCTGCCAGGCGGTGGAGAATTAGTAGCTAGACACCTCCGGTGCCGTTCTGGGGTCCTTTGACCCTTTTGTTTCTATTTCTTTTTATATATCCACAGAGAGCTGAACGCTACCTCTATGATGATTTTGGTCAACGTTTGTATCCGGTTTGTGCTCTAATCTCTTTTGCATTCCCCGGCAGTTTGGCGTTTTCAATGGCGTTGTCTTGGATTTTACCCCCAACAGCTTAGGCCTGGAAATTATCCTTGCTCTCGTTCTTCTTAGGTCGCTCGCGCAACCCCTCCCTCTGTTATCTGGCCTAAGAGGAACCGGTTCGGCAGCCAACTCCCCAAGTGGGAGGGCTATGGTGCTACTGGAGATTGTTTTTGAATCTGATCTCTTGTTGGTTTGACCGCGTGCATCATGGTCCCAGGCGCAGGGTTCCCGTCAAGAGAAAGCATTTGCTCCGCGAGGAGCCCGGTTGATGTTGCTTTCCTCCATGATGACTGCGGCGGTCGGACTCATTGTGGCTGTTGATATGATCGTCTGTTTTCTGTCTCTCGATATCCATGACCGTTTCAATGACCGTATGATGTATGTAACGTGCTCCCTGTTTTGATTTGTGTGTTCTCTAGTCGCCAGGCCTGTAGACAATATCCGTTGGACACAATGTACCGTAGGTAGATGTAACGCTATCGTTTATTTCAAAAAAACTGCTGCGCCATCACTCTTTGCCTCTGAATTTTTTTTTCTCCCATCCCTTTTTAGCTGTGGTGACATTTACCGACCGCGGGTTCCGGATGATTTTCTTCGCATCGTGCGACCAGTTGCTTTTTTCCGTTAGAGATGCTGCTACTTAGGGAAGCAAAGCTCTCCACTGGGTTGCAGCTGGGGCCGTCGGGCAGAAAGGGGGCGGGATTTTTTTTTCGGAGACGGGGGAATCCCTAGGGCCAGACTTAGATCGGTAGTTTGTTCTTTGATTAGAAAAAAAAAGGACTGATCATAATGATGATGATGATAATCGCGCAATAATCGCCTTGTGGGTTACAGGGACTGCGAAAGCCAGTCAGGAACAGAGGGTGAGCAGAGGCGCATTGCCTTCGCAGACACTCCTCTGAGCGATTTTTCTAGCGATGAATTCCGCATTTTAACAAGTCAACTGTCAGTTTGAGTGATTTCTTCTGTTACATAAGGTTGTTGTCTTTTAACGCTTTTTGGCGCTGGAGCGTTGTTGCCCCGCCACTATTGGGTCAGACATAAATTGTCTGGGAGAACAAATAGGCGATCGCATACGTGGCTCCCGATCGTGAGACACGGCGAAGAGCCATTCTTAAGGCAAACGGAGCGCCGAGTCAAACGGGCTCGCTCTCAACTGCCCAGTACCCTAGTCCGGAGGACGAAGGACAGAAAGTGAGGAGGACAGTTCATTCACCTGGTGATTATTGTTCTATCTATTATTGGTACTCCGGATTCCCCAGAGCTGCACGACATCAAAAGCCAAGAAATCCAGCGATCCACACAAACAGCAGAGATAGCAGCACATCGATCGCAGCACAGCAGCCAAGATGTCGTTCTCGGGACGTCGCGTCAGCATCCTGCGTCCGTCGGACAGCAGGCGATTCTCCACGAACAAAGAACTGTCCGAGAACGGTGTGTATTGACCGGTTGTGGTTACCACTCCTTGAATAGCGCAGTGCCTATCTACTTCCTCACGTCGTGTGCCCCTCCAAAAGCAGATCGAACAAAGATCCAACATTCTATGGGTCAATTGATGACATTCGAGACTGACTCCGACCTCTTCGAATACTGCAGAGAAGAACTCCGAAACCCACCGTGATTTCCGTGCCGCCCACGAAGGTCACCGTCCCCACGCTGGCCTGGACGCTTCTCGTGCCTCCACCGGTGTCATCTGGTGTACTGAGCGTGCCAATGAGCACGGTTTCCAAGACGACCCATCGTCCTGGGCGAACCTGGGCCAGGGTGCCCCAGAGGTCGACGATGAGATCGAGGGAAGCTTCCACCGTCCGACCACGATCCCTATCGAGTCCGCCGCCCGAGAATACGGTCCCACGGCCGGAATCAAGTCTCTGCGTGCTGCCGTTGCCCGGCTGTACAATGAGCATTATCGCAAGGGGAAGGAGAGCCAATACACCTGGGAGAATGTGTGCATTGTGCCCGGTGGACGAGCCGGACTGATCCGGATTGCGGCCATTCTGGGGAACTCATACTTGTCGTTCCCTATCCCTGATTACACGGCCTATTCGGAGATGTTGTCTCTGTTCAAGAACGTGAGTCTGGCGCGAGGAGCAATTCGCAACATGTGCAGGAGTTTCAACACTCCGATTACTGCAAGCAAGGACTGATGTATGGTGCAACTACACGGACAGTTTTCACCCATCCCGATCCCTCTAGCCGAAGAAGACCACTATCACATCCATCCGGACAAGATCGCCGAAGAGATCGCACGAGGCACCTCGGTGATCCTGACCTCGAATCCCCGCAACCCCACCGGCCATGTCGTGTCGAACCCCGAGCTGGCTCGCATTCAGGACATCTGCCGAGGCCGTGCCACATTGATCTTGGACGAGTTCTATGGAGGCTACAACTACGCCACGGGCTGTGACGGCACGACCATAAGTGGTGCGGAGAACGTCGTGGATGTCGATAAAGACGGTGTGTGATCCCACCCGCAATCTACTCGCACTGAACTGGTCAACGTCCGAAAATGGATCTCTTTACTGACTCCTAAAAAGATGTGCTCCTGATTGACGGTCTTACAAAGCGGTTCCGCCTCCCTGGCTGGCGTATTGCTTGGGTTGTTGGGCCCAAAGAATTTATCAACGCCCTCGCCTCCGCGGGCTCCTACCTCGACGGTGGTGCAAACGTGCCATTCCAAGAAGCGGCCGTACCCATGCTCGAGCCGTCCCTGGTGCGTGCGGAGATGAAGGCGCTCCAGGTCCACTTCCGAAAGAAGCGTGACTACGTCTTGTCTCGCCTGCACGAGATAGGCTTCCGCATCAAGGATGTGCCGCAGGCGACTTTCTACATCTGGCTGGACCTGACGTCCCTTGAGCCGCCGCTGCCTCCGGAGGCGAACATCTCGGATGGTCTGAACTTCTTCAACGCTCTTCTGAAGGAGAAGACCATCGTCGTGCCCGGAATCTTCTTCGATCTGAACCCGGCGAAGCGACGAGACCTTTTCGACAGCCCTTGCCACCATTTCGTGCGGCTGAGCTATGGCCCCAAGATGGACGTCTTGAAGAGGGGTCTGGACGGCATTGAGCGGGTTGTCCGTCGCGCAAGAGGTGAAAATGTCGGTCCGACCTTGGAAGACGAGGTCGCGATCGAGGACTAGATATGGCGATGATTTTTTGGACACTATTTTCAATGTCGATTTTGGATAAAGATTTATTGGCAGGCGGTCTTTGTAGTTAGGTTTACCGTCCTTACCTCCGAGTTCAGGTCAGACCCTTTAGTCTGGATTTGCGTCCAGCCAAGATTTATGCAATGGATTAACTAGGGTGGGTTTCATCTGGGAGTAGGATCTGGATCGTCATGTAGGTAGTTTGAGACTCATAGATGCCCATATTTCATCAACAACGTAGCATCTAGTAGTTGATGAGCGTCCTAGCCATTGACTGAATCGAGTTTATGCCCAAAAGAAAATCTCGAGCATGTGAGGGCATGTTCTGAACGAAAATTGGAATGCCTGAGATTCGAGGTTATCTCTGCGTCTAGTTTGGATATGATAGCTTGGAACCCGCAACACGTGATGCTGCGTCACGTCGATCTCCCTTCTCCGCAAGCTGCTTCCACCTCCACCCTGCAACAATAAACATCAATATCTGTGTTTCGTTTCTACTACTGACGAGCCGGCTGGGTAAATCACCCACCTGAGCTCCAAGCTCAAAGCAGGGACAGCTTGTCCTGCGCATTACGATGCATCCGTTACGATGACCATTAATCTCCTCCGCATCCTTAGCTCGACCATCCATGCCGTCCTCTGCGTCGTCCTTCTCTGCCTTACTCTCCTTACGCCGGGGGATTTTATCTACCAATGCTACAAAAACCACCGGCTAACCAACATCTTCATCGTCACGGGCGCGTATATTATCACCGTGGCACTGGCGCTTTTCTTCTACGCGAGTCGCATCTATACCAATCGCACGGCCCTGGGCGGCATCCCGAAGGCATGGATACCGGTCGAGAAGGGGGACGTGGACAAGACTGTGCGACGGCTGGTGGTGGAGGGTCTTGCTCGGAGCGCGATCATCGCATACCAGGCACGCCCGAGGGACTTGTCGGACGAAGCACATGAGCCTGTACATGATAAGACGCTCTCGGTGAACCGCGACCGGCCTCCTTGGGGCGTGATCTCCCACCCTGGCTGGTCTTCTCCTGCGTCTCCGGATCTCCCTGACTTGCAATACCAGTCGGTGATCCGAGAACTGCCTCACCTGATTGAGGCCAAGGCGGTCTCACTCGCACCGCCCGATCCGGTCTTCTCCCAATCGAATGGTCTCTTGGACCCCTTTGGTCCCCATTCCCCGGAAGAACAACAGTCGATTCCCGACCCGCGCGTGGTGGAGATCCTGCAGCGGCCTGCAACGATGGGTTTACGGGAGTACATCGGGCATCTGACGGCGCTGAATCTGATCAACCCGCCAGAGCTGGGGACCGACTTCCTCGCAATCTACGAGCGGGCCCGATTCTCTGCACATCCGTTGCATGAAGATGAATTCCGGACGTTGATGGGCATCTTTGCGGGAATCCTCCGGGGTATGAAGGCTGTCGACCCACAACTGCTGCAGGAAATCCGTGGAGATAGTTCTCGCGCGGACAGCGAATCGTTTATCGGTCCGTCTGACGAGGAAGGCGAAACGGATACTGTGGATACCGAGGGAGTTGGTGAGCCTCTCGCTCGAGGTCGGAGCAACAATTCATGGGGGAGTAGCCTGCGGTCTGTTCGCACCGCGCCCATGGTGCAGAGCAACAGCTCACCGTCTCTGTCGAGGACCACCGAACGCCGCGCGTTGGGGGTTCGCCAGAGTCCGTCGATGAATTCGCTCCAACGGGTGCGGTCGACTAATTCGAGGAGTTCGAGTGGTAGTGTTATTCGCCTTGCGGAGGCGCGCAACCCTTTGGATCTGCCTTATACTATAGACCTTCCGGGGAAGAGGAAGCGGTAGACTTGGATACACCAGATAGATTTGGGGGTTTTGGTATAGGTTTTGGATGGCGTTTGTTCTCAGCAATTCGCAGTGTTGGATTACTGCGCATTGACTTTTACTAATCAGGTCAGACATGGCCAATTTTCGTTCCTACTCGCGTGCTTCCCATTTTATACGTTATCGTCCCAGAGGACTGATAGTAGATGCACGGAGTACGTGGAGTTATCCAGGCGGAGTCGAATTAAATCCGAATTACTGTAGATAATAATCAATAATAGACTCATTCCTACAGGAGAACTGCCCCACACTGGACCATTATGCACTTACTTATATACTCCGTAAAGTACAGAGTACTGTACAATTAACAATGGCGCGGATTTGACCGCCGGGATATTTCTTTAGCCGTCGACAAGGCGGGCAGCAATTTCAATTACAAATCCGGAGAAACGGCCCAGTTTGTCAACTGTTGATTGACATTCATTTTCATTTATCTCCAGTCATCTGCTTTTTGGAAATTGTGTCTCCTGTGCTGAGTCCGAGTAGGCCTGTCGAGTTAGCTGTGTACTATATAGCTAGGATTTAGGTCTCGGAATTCGGCACACGCCACGCTCGTGCATAAACGCGCGTGGATCAGATAAGATATCGATCGATCGATAAATCGAAGATCTTGAACAATATCTCCGAAAACACCACCCCTCCCCCTCGCCCCCGCCATCAGTCAGGAAGAGAGAAGAGAAGAGAAAAAGAATCTGTCTCTGGGCGGACAGATAAGCTTAGGTCTTGTCTGATCTGACAGGCAAAATGCAGGCGATCCTCCGCCGCGGGGCACAGTTTCTGTCATCCTCGAAAGACAGTAGTACTAGTACTGCTGCTGCTGACGGCAGCTTCCGATCCGTCTCGTCGCACGATGCGCTCTTCCCCAAGGTCGACCCCGTGGTCGATGGCGAGGACTGTGATCGCGACTGCGCCAGCTGCACGGTGCATTACCCGGCCAGGTTCGACGTCAATCTCACAGACAAGCTGTACGGCAATGTCAATGCGTGGGCGACGCATGTGCTCGTCGCGACGGGCAAGACGGACTGGGTGAGGGATGTGACGGACGAGAAGGGGAGTGTCATGGAGGCGATTGGCAAGGGGGGGATTGAGCCGAGCAATGGGGTGTGTTTGCAGGAAGATATTAATTGAACAGGAGAAACTGACTCTGTCTAGAAACTCAAGCTTTCTGCCTCCAACATCCCCGTTCCGGACGAGTACCATCACCACGAGGATGGCTCTCCGTCTCGCCCGACAACGGTGCTTCTCCTGCCTGCTTTTACCTTCATCGACCACGTCACGCCCGCCCTGGTCCCGGATCTGATCAAATACTTTGTCAACCCGTCCGTGACGACGACGACGCCGTTACACTCGCAGAAGAAGGACGATGCAAGCTCGGCGACGAATACCGCTGACATCTCCTCGCTTACCCCTCTGCGCTCCCGGCTCTGTCCGCACGCGGCCGTCATTCTGCTCTGCTCGCAACGCACCCGGGATGCTCGCTGCGGCATATCTGCGCCGCTGCTCAAGCGCGAGTTCGAGCGGCACCTGCGCACGTACGGACTTTATCGCGACGCAGACGACGAGCGGCCCGGAGGCGTGGGCATCTACTTCATCAGCCACGTGGGGGGGCATAAATACGCGGCGAACGTGATCGTATACCGACGGAGAGATTTCGAGTGGTACAAGAAGAAAAGCAGCAGCGAAGAAGAGGAGAAGAAGCGGGCGGAAGAACAGGAGGCAGAGGGTGCGACGCAGGGTATCTGGCTGGCAAGGGTCCGGCCGGAGGAGTGCGAGAACATTGTCAAGTTTACGGTCTTGCAGGGCAAAGTCGTCAAGCCGAAGGACCAGTTGCGAGGGGGGTTTGATAGGGAGAGGGGGGTCACCAGTTGGTAGGGAAATGCCTCTTATCAATGCTCCTATGGCGTGCCAGCCAGGATGTATTGTCCATGGCTAGCATGTGTCAGTCTGATCAGCCGAGCTTCACAGTCCACGAAAAGAAGAGAAAGATGAGGGAGGAAAGGAATGGTCAGCGCGCGTGCAGATATTCTCGATCTGCCAACCTCCGCTCACTGAGCTCAATACACGGAAGGGATACGAAAGTACATGCCTGAAAAGCGCCTTACTGGCTGTACATACATATATCTGATGAATGTTCAACATATACCTATATACCTACAGGCTATATATATCCCATTCTGATAGACAGCGTAGACAAGGCAAGGCAGACTCAAACTGAAAATCTGGATATGAATGAAACAACGGCACATGCAAGGGCATTCAGTAAATGTCATCATCTCTCTCATCTCTGTATCAGACAGCAAATACCCTTTCTTAATCTTAGAGTTGAATTGAAATCGTCATGTATTTCTTGGTGTTATAGAGAATGGAATTGAGCAATAGCAAGAGTAATAACTGAATAGTACAGGAAGAATGGATGATCTCACCGTCTTTCTAACTAGCTGTTACTAGCAGCCGCTAGGGCCATCTCTTGAAGCATTGTTACTATCTATGATCTCCTCTTCTCTTTCTTCTGCTTTTCTCTTCTGTCTTCGGTGTTGATGGGATGCTATTACCATCCTGGTGTATCTAATCTCCTACTGTCCTCTCCTGTCACATCGTATCCAATTCAATTAGTTCAATTCAATTCCGCTCTGTTGAGTTCAGCCCTGTTCAATGTAATTCAAACAGGAGTCTCTAAGAGATTGGCAGACAGGCAGACCAGAGGTATGCACAGTATGCACATAATAAGCGCTGCTGCTGATAGCAGAGTCTAGCATTGAACATATACAGAACATACACAATCAGACATAAATAGTAATGTTCATATCTGCTTAGCTCTGCTCTGCTCTGCTGACATTCTTTGAAGTTCATTACTGCAACGGTAGGTAGATGAAGATAGATAGATAGATAATCTACAACTACCATCGTGTTTGTCTCAAGAAGAGACAGACAGGTACAAACAACTAACAGGGATAACAGCTTATCATTGATTGATGACTATCTGTAATAATCTGTAAAAGAAGAAGAACATGTTATTTATACGAGAGATAGCCGTCATCAGACATATCTATCTAGGAGCTCGGATTCTACAGATTCAAACTTCTTTCCTCTTTTTTTATTTGGGATCGAGGATTAAGTATCGAGTTAGCGTGTACATTACATACATACCACAGAACATTATTAATTTAATCCACAGTGTTTTGTGTTTTAAAAATCAAGTGTATAGTCACTGTTCACGTTCTTCAGAAGCCGTGCTCACAGCGAATGCGATCGATCCTCATTTCTTTTCCCAAGTCTGCAAGGAAGAACCTTGCCTTACTGTCTGGTTGTCCATTATATAAGAAGATATAATACGCTCTCTTTTCTTGGGTGCTGTATCGTGATGAAAGAGTCCACGAAGGGGGGGGGGGAAAAAAGATTCTACGGAAATGCGCAATCAATGATTTGCCTCGCATATCCATTCGCTTTCTTATATCGTGTCTGATGTGATATCAGCTCAGGCCGTATCCTATCTAGGCAGTATGCATGAGCAGAAAAAATTTCTCTCTTCTCATACATAGATCCGTACATATAGCCCGTAGTTTTTTTTTCTTCTCCAAGGATTTTGGTTAGTTAGTTACCTAGGGCAGTGCCAATCCAGACTCATAGACTCAACTTGCAAGTGAATAAAAATAAACATGGCAAACCTTGCTCAAGATTATCATCTATCCTCACACGTAGGATGTAAGTTAAGTATATTATTGTCCTACGCATATGCTTTAGCAAGTAGGTAAGTACTGCACGTAAAATCCATTCATTGCCAATAACATAATAAAAATTATTGGTCTACGACTCTTCTCGTTCGTTCAAATTACAGCAGAACCAAAATGAATTCCTTCATTATTGCATCCATTACTAATTAATATCATATGGAGTAGTAATATTAATATTATTCTGATGTTGAACATGTACCTTCTCCCGCCCGGCAAAATAATTACCTACCTGGGTAGGTATTACCTCATACGTATATCCATGCCTAGTATCAGCCAGCATGATTCACGAACAAACGAACGAACGAACGAACTAATGAATGAATGAATGCGCTACTCTAGCGACAGTTATAACGAACGCTAGAGAGACAACATTATTACTTGCAATCCAATCCAATTCAATTCAATTCAACTCAATTCATCATCATTATTATTATTACCTAGCGCAGCCTCCGAGTATGCCGTACCCTACTCGAGGACCTAACATTCGGACCACAGGATGTATGTCGTTAGTGGTAGTCATGCAGGTACAGTAGTGCCCACGACGACGACGACAATATCATGATCTTCATCGGCCCACGACACTTACGTACGGAATACTCCTTACTCCGTACGAAGTCAACGATCACAACGTGAGACAGGGGGAGGCAAAACTACCAAACTAACAAACTAACAAGCTAGCGACTCCATCCATACTCCGTACTCTGTTGTAGGCAGGTAGGTAGATGATATCTTGGCAAGGCCTTGGCATTAAGCCCACCTTGGAACAGAGTGCAGGTACAGAGTTCACCATACGCAGTCTTCAGGTACCTATGTATCTCCAGTAATAGTTACTATTAACTAACCTCTGTGGATCACTGGGACACGGGCAACTGGGAACTGGGAACTGGGACACTGGGGACCCTACTAATAATAAAATAATAATAATTTTTTTTAGGAAAAGTTAAATAATAAAATAAAATACGGAGAGTACCGTCGATACTTATAAAACAGCAGTAAGTAGTAATAAACCCGAGCAGTCATCGGAAATTACAGGTTAATACCTCCTGAATTGTGAAATCAATGCCGAGGACATCATCATAATCCCGAGGGTGCTCGGGGTAGGCGGTAGGTAATAATAGAGGGTACCGTCCACGGTACTGCGTCCGGTGCTCCGGACCGTAAGTCGCCAAGAATCTTGGCACCTTTGCACCTTGGAGCCTAGTGAATAGACAAATATGGTTTAGCGTGTAATAAATTTAGTAGTAGATTACTAGTTGATACGGTACATATAAACCTGGTACCTGTCTGTATGGAGCACACTGTACGGAGTAGAACGACTAGGTACTACCTAGTAGGTAGAGTACCTAGTACTCCATACTCTATACTTCTACCATGGAATGAAGATGATACCCACCTACCTAGGTACCTACCTAAGTACCTACCTAGCTACGTAAGGACAAGGTAGGTGCCTGACGGGTAGATCATTTTAACCAATTCCTCTTAGTAAGGAGAAATACGTGAAATTAGCATGACAAACTCGCAGCCTGACTTTATTATTAATATATATCAAATGAAATAAATTTGCGGGTAGGAGACTAGTCCTATCCCGTAATAATAATGTCGATCACGGGATGCGCTTCCAGGGGTTTAGCTCGAAGGTAGTTAGTTTTTTGTTGGCCCTAGGTGATAATTGACCACCTTATGACGTCCTTATCACCACAGTTCTTTCCCGTCTAAAGTTGCCCCTTTCAAGTGATCACTGCTGACGTTAACCTGTACAGGTAACTGCGTCGAATCCTGATAGATGCCAAGCTCGCCCTAGGCCAAGAAAGGATGGTGTCCCGGCATTTGGAGCAAAGTCAGCGCCAGAGCCTATCAACCGTTCGAACGGGTTCAAAAAGTCACAAGTTTCAACGCACACTCCCATCCGCGCCCCCCATGATCATTGAATCTAAATCTACGATCTGTCGTGGCCGGTGCGGTAGCATGCGCATAGATCAACAAGGAATCCGTACTTCGTCTTTGTACATTTTGATGAATTTGGTTGTTGCCTACACCGTACCAAGGTACGGAGTGCTCCGTACAATACGCGTACTGTACGGTTCGTCTCCCTCGCGGGTACAGTACCCGGTAACGTATTTTCTCGACCAGCCTACCTACCTAGGTAGTAGGCAGGTACTAATTGCATCCAGTACGCAGTCAAGTTTCGACGTTTCCTCATCGGTTCCTTGGTAACTAAATTAGCATGCAGCGTTTATTATCGGATAGCAACTCATATCACGCCTGGCCATCCGGAGAACCTCGGGCGAAGCACGTTGTCTCTGTCACGTCGGGCTGGCCGTTTCAGATTGACCTTCCCCTTCGGGAATGGCCTCTCCACGGGTAACCCCAGTTTTCGGTGGATGCCCCCCGGGACCGTCTGGCAAATCACAATCGGATCGTCGCGCGTGTTTCGCTGCTTAGCAGACCCACCCGCGTTGACAACTGTACTGCTGATCTGCAGTTAGAAGAACAGAACAGAACAGAAAAAAAAATCACTCAGCGGCAGCTGGATACGGAGTAGACGTTGACATTGAGAAGGTGGGATGGCTCGTGCGATCAGCGTCCAGACTCCAGAACCCCCATGCCGCCATGCGCTCAATCGATTGGAAGGGACCGAACTATCCAGATCGCTGGGTATAGTTGGGATCTACGGTCCTGCCACCGTTGTTAGCTACCGCGAGGTCGCGGCGCACTTCTCTTTTGGGATATCGTGTCCTTTCCTCCATCCTTCCCACTGGATGAGGTCAAAATATGATTTCGAAGGAGTAGATTGAGTTGGTTTTCCGGTCTGTTGATCTCCGACAGCTCACAAAGCCAAATATTGCCGAAGTAAACATCTCGACAGCATAGAATTCAACCCCCACGAACTGCCGCGTGGCGGACAAGCTTTGCCGGTGGGCTTGGGAGAGTTCTCCAGATAATAGTGTAATTTGGAGGACTCCGTAGGACTAGGCCGTGTGGCCCGACGAGATTGAGAATCCACATGGCCGCACATCTCCCGAAGCTTCAAGATCCATCTTAATTACAGCCTCCGCCAAAACAGGGAGGTCGTCGACGGCTGACCAGGGCCAGGCTGCACCTGTAGCCAGTCGATACGAATCACCATCGTTGATAGGCCGATCGAGACGGAACACCATCACAATTCACGATCAGAGTCAAATCCCGACCAAGTCGATCATGATTGGCTTGTCATGCTCTTCCTTGAGTTTCGAGAAGCAAGCCCGGCGCTGCAGAGCTGTCAAACTCAAACAAGTAATTGGCTAAATGCAGATTACTGGCCTTTTTTTTTCGCCAAGCCACCATCAGGCGGAGAAGCTGTATCACTATCGGCCTTCTCTCCCTAGTAGTAGAGTCCTGATACGAGTCCGCTAATATGGATGGAGATCGATAGCCGCCTCGTGCCAATTCATCTCCTTGTCCATCGGCCACAGTGATGCAAACAGGACATATCATCCTCCCTCAGACTAATTCTACAGCGGAGCCGGCTCTTGGAGAGTCGAAATCTGATCGGTGATGGATCCTCATTCATGTTGACGGCCTGTAAGGGGCCCCATGACGTTGCAGCGGGTCAGTCAATCTGTGTACTTCCTCTTGTGAAAAAAGCAACGTCATTCTTGGTATCTTCTCCGAGGCATGACTCTGTCTCCCGTTTGATATTGACATAGCCGGGATACCTTGTTGGGCATGCAGTCTGAAGGTCTGACGGGCTCCATCATTAGATGCCGAAAGGAGCCTTGAGAGGGCAAAGACTGTGTCAAACTTGATCCAACACGCTCATCGTTATAATTTCTCCGGCCATGTGCTGCACAATAAAGGACTAATCATGCATGCCCAGCCTACCAGTGCCCACCCCGGAATGATCCGCGGAGAGGAGAGGCGGTAATCATCTGTATCTGCCCCCAGTCAACTTGTTCCAACTCTTGTGATCAGTACAAGTTTGCCCAGCACAGTGCTGCAGCGTAGAGAAGGAGTGATTTTGCGGGTGGCTGTATGCAAGATGCAAGATAAGATGTGACCGATGATTGTCATGCCCGCTGGTCACGGCCAAAAGGAAGCAGACAGCGAAGAAATCCTGATAGCAACTCGCGAATAACACGTCTGGGAAAGGATAAAAAGAGAAACTATATGATCATCGTTATTAACTCTGGCGGTCTCCCATGTGCACACGAAGGGGGAAAAAAAGCATACTTCCTGGCCCCGCTCCATAGTAGGCTATACAAAGTGGAGCAAAAAAACAAGACTGATCCTCGGATGCTTGGGCCATTCAGGCACAAGCTTAAGCTCTCTTGACACTAACCCTGTTGGTAAGTTGACTTTCATTCCTCAGTAGCCTTTTTTTTACCGCCCCATGTTGCAGTCTATTAAAAGACTCAAGAGATGTGGGTAGGTTAGTCCACTAATCGGGTCCAACCAGGTCCTTCCTGATTCTGCCGAGAATGATATGGATTGGATCCTGGTCAATGTGGCCCAGCTGCAGGATTGATTGGTAGGTACATGGGAAAACAAAAAGAAAAAAGAAAAAAAAACAAACTTACAGAGAAGGGGTGGCAAACAAACTAGCAGCTGCAGCAAAATAATACAATCATAAAATAATGGTTATTAAACAATAATATGACTGGGGTATCAATTGCTATTGAGACAGAGCAAGTAGGAACACTGCAGACCCCGCATCCTCGACAACTCCGCGGCCAAAGAGCATCGCCACCGGTGCGAGACTGTATACAAGGATTAGACCCTGCTAGTCCAGGCCAGACGTTCAGAGGGACCCGCCCGTCCCGAGTGTTCCGAGAACAAGGAAATCTGCCCAGAATGTATCCTCTCAAATCGACAGAAGAGAGATCTGGTTTCCCCGTCCATGAAGGGGAATGGGTAAATATGTCCCAGATCGCGCCCTATTTCAAGCAAGTCGTAAATAATGTCCAAAACAACCTGCGTCCGTTCGCGACGGGCGACTGCACACTGTTGGACTGCACTGTAGACAAGAAAACCCCGCGCAGTGTAAAATGGCTCGGTGAAGAGTGTAATTCACGGATTGGGAATCCAAGGGGGGTTAAAAGTCATTTGACAGATAGAAAGAAACCAAACCGGAGAAAACGCCACCCCATATCCTTTTGGGAGATTCCAGTGGACCATGTACCAGTACCATAATTAGTCATGTCAAAGAATCGTAAGACAAACACTAAAGTCGCACAGCGCCGGGTTCCTGCTCCTGGCGTGTGCGGAAATATAAGAGGAATATCAAAAAAAAAAAGGTCCGTGATAGAATTCTCGACGTGAAAGCCTGCCAGGATCTCTGTCTGAAGGGTACCGGAGCAGTCGACCGGCGTAGATGGAACGAAGATGTCCAATTCAGCAAGCCGAAAGCGATGATCGCAGCCTCTTAACCCAACCCGAGGAAGCCCCAGTCGGTTCCTTCTGGTTGATTTAGGATCCGAGCGGCCGGCTTATATTGGAACTCGGGTTGATATGTGACCATGATGGGTTGGCCATCTGCTGCCATGGGATGATGACCGGGGTAGGGCGGCGGCGGCGGCTGCTGAAATTCTGCTGGGATGTAGTTTGGTCGTTGGCTCGGGTCATAACGCGGCTGCATCAGTTGTGCATATTGCTGCGGATCCATCGGAGGTGGTGGCGGGGGAGGAGGAGCAGCAGCTGGGACATTCTGAGGGACGATGGGTTGTGGTTCGGGAACTGGGACCTGAGCGACAGAGACAGCCTGCTGCGGTGGGTAAAAGTCGTGGTTTGGAGTTGGCGGCTGGGGATAGAATGGTTGCTGCGCCAAGATATACTGATTTGATGATATCGAGGTAACCACAGGAGTCTGGTATGTCGTTCCCTCTGGCGTTGCCTCCCCGGAGGATGGCTGAGTCGTCGCGCCAGGCCGGTGCGAACGATGCTGATGCTTCGTCAAAGTGGTTTTGCGGCAAAAGCTACGAAAGACAAAGATGAGCAAGATGGTCCCGCAAAGAAGGGGTCCTGGAAGCTCTCACCTCCGCTCACAGGCTGGCTCATTGCAAATGTAAGGCCGCTTTCCCGTGTGGATCCTGCGATGGCGAGCCAAACTCGACGACTACTCAGGCGCATCAGTATTAATCATGCCCCTCACCACCGGATATCGGTGGAGAAAGCATTGCGCACAGGAATGGGGCTACTGACATCTGAAAAGGCCTTGTGGCAGCCCTCATGATCGCAGACATGCGGTTTCTCTCCCGTATGCGTGCGGGAGTGGACTGTCAAGGCACTCCGCTGGATGAAGCTTTTGTTGCAATCCTTGACAGTGCAGTGGTAGGGACGTTCATTGGTGTGTATCCGATAATGCCGGCAGAGATCTGACTTGCGGTTGAACGACTGTTCGGGATGATGCTTATCAGCACAGGTCCACAGTGTCTAAATCAGGAAAGCACCTGGTCGAAGGCCGGCTCCTCCTCACCTTGCCGCATTTCTCCCACGAACAACTAAAATCTCGTCCTCCAGGCGCCATGAGCACCGACAGAAAGCTGGACCGGCGATGATGGCCGATCCTCGAAACAGGAACAGTCTCAAAAACACACTGGGGGGTGCGTAGATCGATAATAGGAAGATCGCGGTGAAGCTAAGAGAGCGAGCGGGGGAAATCGAGGATAAGAGCGACAATCAGACCACACCCCCGATAAAGAAAAAAAAAGAGGAGGATGACAATGGAGCGGGTGGAACAGAGGTCAGAAGGCCTGGTGGGAGGAAGAACGGGAAGCTGGCGAGGAGAGCTTGCCCGCGACGGTCCAGGGTATGGGATGGGACCAGCCTGCAGGCAGAGAAAACCAGCAGAGACGACCTGGTGGGAGGGTGGGAGGGCAGTATACAGGGCGTGGGCTGGGAGGCGTGGTAATTTAAGTCGTCGATACAAACTCGGTAAGGTTTATTAGTCGTGGATGGGGAGCTGAGACCCCGGGCTATCCACGGGGACTGCTGGGTGGACGATGGGCGGATGGGCAGGCCAAACAGAGCTAGTCCGGCTCTGACACATGGGGACCAGATGCACGCTGCCGGGCAGGAACAGCAGCGAGGGAGAGCGTTGGAAGCCAAGTCTCTGGAGGATAGTGTCCGTCATGCGTTGAGGAAATTGCAAGGTGCCTGTGGCCCTGTGGGCGTGATCCAGGAGCAGGCTGGGTCGCGCGTCTGGCGTGCTACGGGGAAAGCGAGATCGAGCTAGAAAGAAAGCCGTAAGGATCACTGCGATTCCCGTTACAGCTGGATTTGCGTGGATCGGCCGGGACAGTTCATGCCTCGACACGCAGTACGAGGCGTGGGCCGTCGTGGTTGCCGTTTTGGGACGGGCCCGGCAGTACCGTTGACTGCTCCACCGAGCGCGCCTTCCATGGGAGGACGGCCCGCAGTTCTAGCAGGCGGGAGCAGACTGCTATGGCAGGCGCTACCGTCGATTCAGTCTAGCCTGGAGGGGATCCAGTTCCCCAGCGCGCCGGGAGACCTGCCAGGCGCGCTGCGGTGGGGTCAGGGTCCTTTAGGTAGGTTCGAGGGAACGTACAGCACGGTACGGCGTGCGTACGACAGTCCAGAAGCCCCCAAAGCCAAACTCTATGCTGTTGGTCGCCGGCAGGGGGTGTTGGGGGTTCCCGGCGACCTCACTACGGCTTCCTCGGTAATTTCGATCTAGTGAGCACGGGACATGAACACTGTCATCTGTATTACCGTACAGTCACGTTCCCCGTACGGACACCTGACCGCGGAACCAGACAGCATCTGGCGCATGTTCCTGCGGCAATTGTCCTGCCTCATATGGCCTGCTCGCTGAGAAAGAGAGAAGGATCCGTGTCAGCGAAGCCATGGATTGTGTCGGCCAGAAGGCCAGGTGAGGGGACCTGGCCTTCCTCCGTCACGGCGCGCGAGGGAAGAATACAGAGTAGGCGCTAGTGACCGAAGGCCGGAACCTAAAGGCTCTCTAAGTCACACCTAAACTGCCTAGCTAACCTAACCTTAGGAAACTCCCAGTCAACACGCTCACTAATCCACCAGCAGAAGGCAGTCAGGGCAGCCACCGAATCCAACGCGCTCCGCCGTCGTTCACGCCGCATCCGATGGAACTGGTAAAGATCCTGCTGCCAAGTCACCAGCGGACCAGACCAGATACCGCTGATCCATCGACGATACGGGCTCCTCGGGTTGCCAGAACGGCCACCAGAGCCCGAGCCTGCCACTGGCTCGACCGTCTAGCCCAGGCCCACCAGCTCTGGCCTGCGCGTCCATTGTCTGCTAGCAGTCGAGCTCGATGAAAGTACTCCGTACCTACAGGAGACAACTTCTCGTGCGAGAAGTCTCTTCCCCGCATCGTCTTTCACCATGCTCATCCAGCTTTGTTAAGTCCCTGTTACAGAGGAAATCCTGGTGGAAGGATTGACACACTACAGGGCTAGCTGAATCCTTTTCTTGGACAGGTCGATAGTCCCGCGTCCACCAGACGATACTGCGAGTCCTGACTGACTATACTGGAGCAATGCGTTTTAACAGAACTTTATGGCCGCAAGGTTCTTGTCAGAGTCCATAATCGCCAAGGGACACTGGGCTCTTCTACCTGGGTACAATCGTTCAGGAGTCCCGCCGCGGCTTATGTCGTCGTGCTCCCTAAGAAGCTCGTCGAGGGTCTAATTTTTAGGTGATATTATTGCCAAGCGATCGACTTGGATGGAGAATGCAAGTCCTCTATATGGACTACCTTCTATACAGAGGACAAATCCCCCCTGAAGTAATGCATCATGGGAGCAGTCTGCAATTCCATCCTCTGATGTCGTCCAGCTGTGCGTTCTTGGTCGAGGTCTGGACTTGGCGGAGGAGCTCACTGAGAGTTCGACTCCTCGTATTTCGCTTCTCTGACTATAACTTGTAGGACGCGAACATTACAGTCAGCCACATGTATCTGTTCATCGCCAAACATCACAAGACAGCTCGTCCCGAAGAGTTCGAAAATCGGCATAGCCACGTGCAAGGCCTCTTCAAATGGACAGATGACTGTAAGATATTCTCCGGAGCTCAGGATAGCATCCATCCTGGCCGGAATGGCTAGCTCTTGATTTTTTTGGCAATTGTTATAGATATAGAGTGATTGCAGATCAAGGATCCCCTATTCCTGCCTGTCTGTATCACTCCTTTTGTGCTAAAAGGATGGTATTCTCAGACCATACCTCCGCCAATATCATAGCTCTCTTCTTGGAATGATAATCAGGCAACCAGGAGCCACTGGGGTCTATAGCCTTGATAGCATTGAATGGGTTTTTGGAGGCAATTTGTTGGACGATTGGCACAACCAAAGGGCCGGGCACTATCCAGATTTGTTCGCGGCTGAGCAAAGTACCTGGTTGATGTTGGATCTCTTGCGATGCCCGCAGGATTCGTTCGATAAGGAACATCCGTTCCATTCCTATTGCATGAGAACACCACCGTCAGTTAGTATTCCATTCGAAACGACCACGAAGATTGGCCTTGTAAACAACTCCAGAGCATCCTTCTGAAATCCCTCACTATGGCTTTCGCTAGCATGGCTGATAGCTGCAGAAGCGTGCATTTGCTTCCTGCAGCAGGCATGCAAGGACGAACAGCACCAAGGCTTCCAGGTTTCTAGAATCTCGACATAGTGCCCATGTCTCTTCTCCGTGGAAATGCATGTGGGTTGGAAACGATCAACGTCACAGGAAAGCTGCGTCGGCGTAACGAGGCCCAGCCGAACCCTGCGACACAGCCGTCCATCTTATCGGCAACTACGAATATCCTCCATATGAACCAAGAAACAGGGCCACAAATCTTCCGAATGGTCATACGAAAGACCTGCGTCCGTCAAATTCGGTTCTCCGCTCCCGTGCGCCAGTAACACTGTCCTACCTGGTTGACGGCGGCTGCATTGAAATGGAGCCCAGGAACCCGGTGGCTGGATCGGTCCTTCTACCCCTGCCCAGATGGCTCTCGCGATCGTCACACCACCCACAAGATGCGACGCAACGCAGGACGAAAATCAGTTGACCTGTTTCTTTCCCCCCTTTGACTCTACCGCGACAATGACCGCATCTTGCAGCGACACGTTGTCAAGATAGGAAATCATTGTACGACCAGAAGAAGAATGCGAAAGCTGGAAATCAGCATCGGACCAAATGCATGGGCCCGTACATTCTGACATCTCTTCCTTGGGTAATGCAGGCTAGACAGTCCCAATGAGATGGCATTTCCGCCGACCTAATCAATCCCAAACCGAAGCTTGTCAGATAGCAGGCCCGGTTGGGAACCGCACCCCCTGTCTAGGTGGGTTAGCAAAGTATCGCCGCTCGTCTACGGAAGCAAGTCATTTGCGCTGAATGTCCGTTCCTTATCACCCCGCATTCTTGGCGCCATTCATTAAGATCTTACCTGGCTGATGCCATTCTGATTAGTTATCTCGCCAGTCTAGTGCGCCTCATCGTTGGTTTCAATCCATGGGCCATTCCAACCGACAGCAGCTCGCTGATTCGTTCGATCCTGAAAGACCACGTTATTCAGCCTCACCGCATAACCTGAAGAATGGCCGGTTGTACTGCATGGTGGAGGGACGGCACACCAACATGTTGACCCAGGCACGACGCCGAGTCATGTGCTATTAATCGACGGACCGGAGAATCCCGTTAGTTCGCTTACAGTGCCTGACGTGAATCCACATCCTCGCTGACTGCGTTGGTGTACACGCACACGACAGAGGCGGCTGCAGCTTACTGGGAGGTGATGACTGTTGTTACGATCTGCTCTGAGTACTGTAAGGAGCCAAAATACTCAAAATGCGAAGCTGCTTCGGGAAGAAAACCAATCAGGTTATCCGCAGTTGACTGTCAGGTTACGGAGCATTACGGCATAAGTGCAGAAAGTGGCGAGCATCGCAGACAGGTGTCAGACGGATACGTTGGCTCATGACAAGCTAACCTTATAGCCCTACTAGCAGAGAGCTCGAAGCACATTGATTTGCCGACTCGTATCTTTCGACTCTTGGCTAAAATCGACGGACTGGATCAGCCCACCAGGTACTCCGTACATGTACTCTTTAATCGATTAGCCTCATGCAAGCTAGGAAAACAATCTGCCGCAAAGCTGCAGATTCCGATCTTCGCCGGATTATTCATCCGCGCCAATTACCATTCCCTGCATCTTTTCCCAACATGTCTACTCATGTGTAGATGGGGATTACCTGCCTGGGAAGCTGGAATATTGTCCGTGAAAGCGTCAATACGACTCGACACGAAGACAACAGGTATGTTAGCAGCCGATCATAATCAAACACCTAACATCAAATCTCTCAGAAATTCCAACGCAAAATTATTCTTCACACCAGACTCATAATGCCCTGCAAGAATCAGCTGAACTGAAAATAAACACTTTCCCAGTAGATGTTGATGATTTCCCACAAAACTTAGTTTCGTTGATTAGCGACCTTTTCGATCAGACAATTAGAGTTATCTTCGGCTTGCTGATCTATGAGCTGGCTTGACAGCTCTTCATCCCAGATCTCCACTGTCACATTTGAGACTCATTCATGATTCTGGCGAACATTGTCTGCCAGGGACAGTCTCTCAGCATGGGATTGGACTGCGAAGAAGCTTTCTCCCATTTCTTTTCATCCGTTATCGTGAACTTTTCTACTGTGGGAGTCCCAGATCAACAGAAAGAAGTGAGCGCCTAATCCAATGATGCTAGCACATCCTAACCTGTACCAAACATCATGTTTGGTAACAAGGCTGATTTCACTGCGTCCGACCTCGGAGATCTAAGAAGGAATTGTACCCTGTTTCCAATTTCAGCCATGCATGCAGATCATCTCAAACTTTATTGTCCCTTTACCCCCCTTTCCCTCAATAAGGAACATTATTCCAGGGTATACAGATGTGTACGACATGTGTTCGGTCCGAAAAGGGCCGTGATAGGTAGGACGTGGCAGATGGAGCTCGGTTGGACGAGAGGAGAATAATCTGCCTGCGACATGTGCATCATGCGCGTCATGCATGTGATGTGTAACACACCAACCAGATTGACTGCCGAGAAAGACGCATTCCTCCATAGGTAGCTTGCTTGGTGAGCAGAATTATTATCAATGCCTGCTGCCTGCAATGATACATTACTCGGAAGTTTCCGACTTTCTAACTTTTTTTTTTCAGATTTTCTCTAGTAAATCAACGATCGCATCGTCGTATTTAAACTACGTATGTACAATAAGTGGGGAGGAAGTTGTTGGTAGGTACACTTACTGTATGTTATGAACTAATTCCTATAGTTATGTACGCGTACGGAGTACATGTAACGCGCGGATTGTGCATACCAGGGTTACTTACCTATGTAGGTAAGAGAGAGGACATCTGACTTTTGTGTGTACTTCCTAAATCCCAAATGTAATTATTAATATTACTCTGAATCATTCTCCACCGATTGCCGATCAATCAAGTGGAACATGTAACCCTACCCCTACTCTTGCTTGCTTGTTTACTTGCTTGCTTCTTGCACCATGCACATAAGAAAATACAGTGCAAAACAATCAATGTTGGAGAAAATTACAATAGCGCGAGTCTAGACAGGCCCTTTTTTATAGAAGGAAAAAAAAAGAAGGAAGGAAGGAATAAGGAATATTTTACTAATACGCAGTAGAGCACCACGATGAAGGTAGTAGTAATAGCACCTCTCTTTTCGTCTTCTCTGTATGTATTAAAGAATTGCTTCTTGAAGAGAGCTCCGATTTCAAAAGTCGGTATTATTCTCGTATTCTCCATCCACACACTTTTCACTTTTTTTTTCTTCTTCTTCTTTTTCTTTTTCTTTTCTTTTCTTTTCTTTTTCTCCCACTCCCACCATTCTCTTAAGTATAATACTACAGTAGTAATATACTATATACCTACACTGCACTGTACTACCGTACTGGACATAACTTCTAATGCAAAAAGCAATCATATTGATGATATTGATGATGATGATGGTGGTGGTGGTGGTGGTGGTGGTGATTTGCTGGAACTCGTTTCCGACAAATCTTGCATGTATGCAGCAAGCAAGTGCAGAAATGGTCAAGTCATTTATTACTGGGATGTGACACTGGATCTGGATCTGGGTCTGGGTCTTAAAGAGTGCTCTAAAAAGATAATACATCTTGGGTGTATGGGTATTGTGTATCGGATAGAGGTAGAGCTGGTTGATTGATGTGTTGATCCGCATTTTGATATGGCAAGACTAGTCAATAGTATCTTACAACTTTAATCGACTGTTCTTTTTTCTAAATTATATGACAGCATATGAATTCTGTCAATGCATTGATGATATCACTCACTGCACTTAGGGTCTCATTGTTTAGTACAGAGTACTCGATGAGACATGCACATATAATGTTACACAACAGAGCTGCTACTGTGGCACAAGAATACAGAAGGGGAAGATGAACGCATGAGAACAAGGCAGTATGTCTACAAGAGCATATACCCATTTAATTCTGGTCTATCAGTACCTACATACCCAGGTAATATATAACCGAGTTCGTGGAACCTATTAGATTGGACTTCCGTACTCGGTTAGCCCCGATCGTGACATCGACCTCTTGGTTCGCTGCAACAATGTTTTTTATACTCTTAAAACTCTGGGAATTTTGTTTGGTCGCTTCTCATGAAGATATGTAATAACAATGTTGCTACGCTGCGCTCCGCAGATATAGTCCTGGATCAATCATGTTTGATTTGAGCTCCGCGACTGTAAATCGCAGCCGTCCAATCACTCTCCGCGACAGCTGCCCACTTGCTCAATTGAGTTTAAGGCTGATCAGCATGCGCCTGTCCCTGAGATCAATTATTGCCATACGGAGTACAACTTCATCTATCAGTCTATCACGCCAGGCATGGCCTCCGATCTGCCTGCCCCTGCTATGTTCTCCATTGACCCTCCCGACAAGCTCGAAAACAATGTCGTCGTGCTTGTCACGGGAGCCAACACGTGAGTTTGACAATTGCTTCGCGATCCATGGTTCCCTGACTGACTTCTCTCGCAGCGGTCTCGGCCTCTCCACGTGTTGCCGACTGATCGACGAATTCCTACATTCCCACCCCGTCTCGCACCGCCTGACCGTCATCTTCACGACTCGAAACAGCCCGCAGAAGATCAAGGACACGTATGCCCACCTGCGAAACCACCTCGCCCGCCATGACAAGGGCGACAGCAAAAATGCTTCGCAACGGGTCAGGCTCCTGTCCGAGACGGTCGACCTGGCGAACCTCAAGTCAGTCCGCGCCCTGTCGCGTCGCCTCAACAAGAACATCCCTAAATTGGATGCTGTCATCCTGAATGCCGGAATTGGCGGCTGGTCCGGCTTGAATTGGCCGCTCGCCGTCTGGTGTAACCTGACGGACGTCGTCAATGCGACGACCTGGCCGGTCTACAAACTCAGCTATGTGGGCATGTTGACTGAAAAGCAGACGAGGCTGCCCGAGGAGAGCCCGCTGGGTGCGGTGTTCTGCGCCAATGTCTTCGGTCACTATATGCTGGCACACAATCTCATGCCATTGCTGAGACGCTCCGGACAACCCAACGGGCCTGGTCGGGTCATCTGGATCTCCAGCGTCGAGGCAACTATCAAACTCTTCGATGTGGACGATATCCAGGGATTGAAGTCCACCAAGGCGTACGAGAGCTCCAAATCGTTGATGGATCTCTTGGCCTTGACGTCTGATCTACCCAGTACCGCTCCATGGGTCAATAGCTTCCTTTCAACAAGCGATTCTGATCAATCCGCCGAACCCTGCCACGGACCACCCCCGAAAATCTACGTTAGCCATCCGGGCATTTTCGGCACTTCGATCGTCCCGCTCCCGTTACCTCTCTTCTGGGGTATGATCGGGGCCTTCTTCCTCGCTCGGTGGCTGGGATCGCCATGGCACACCATCTGGACATATCTCGCCGCCTCTGCTCCCGTTTGGCTTGCCCTGAGCCCGCAGTCCGTCTTGGACGAGGCAGAGGCACCGTACAGGCAGAACGGCGGCGGTCTCGTCAAATGGGGCTCCTCGTGTGACCGACTGGGTCGCGACCGGCCGGCGAGCACCGAGGTCGATGGCTGGGGCTACGGCGGCGTCGTGGGCGGCGCAATCCTGGAGGAAGACGCGCGACGTCGCCGCAAGCGGGGCGCCAAAGATCTCACGGCCGAGGACAAGGCTCGTTTCGAAGAACTCGGTCGACGCTGCTGGCAGGAGATGGAACAGCTTCGCATCGAGTGGGAGAAACTCCTCGACAAGGACGAAGCTGCTGCCGGTGCCGATAAATAGCAGACAGCAAACAGTATAATATCTTACCTTGTTAATGCTAATACAGTAATACTTGCTTGCTTGTTTGCTTACTATCTTAATGATACCTCTCTCACGTTCTTGTTTCTCGATATCCTCCTCCTCCTCCTCATCTTTGCACGAGGTTCGTATCATACGGCTGATACTGAGACCTGTCGGTGTCGGTAAATAGATATTTTCTCCTTGTCTTTTTCTTGCATTGTATTTTTTTTACAAAGCTCTCTTTATTGTAATATAGCTAGGTAGCTACGCAGAAAATGGAGGATTGTCTACATTATTTATACTACCTTTAGCAACAACTAGCTTTTAGAAATGACCTCACAATTGGTAGTTACATTACACCTAAAACTAAAATAAAGTATGTACAGTACATACCCTGCGGTCAAGGAGAGTAGTATTATTATTGCGGAAAAAAATTGTCTGTCTTTTGGATACTGCTGTCCCTGTTGATATTGACTCCTAGTTATTAGTCTCATCATCTTACTAACTACCTATGTAGTTGTATTAATAAACGGCTTCATGAAGACTGGATGTCTCGCCTCGCAGGTAATGGGAAGTTAATCTCGTCAAGCTTCTTTCTTGGCTTGTTCCTAGTGAGCAGGAGCAGTCATGTCATGTATGTATGTATGACACTCATACTCATGAGTTTGGAGTGGTTTTTTTTTTGGGTGGGGGGGGGGGGGGAAGGTATGGATGGATAAGACTCACCCTGCTCACCCAGTGTCCAGCTTATCTAGATAGACAAGAGCGAGGAGCTGCATGCAGATTTTTGAACAAATATTTTTTTTATCTATCCTACCTATGTAGATACCTACCTACCTAAGGAGGCATATATCTGATAATTGCCTACTTAAGTACCTTTCAACAAGACATAATGGTATAGTTCCAAGGAAGAGACTCACTCCACTCTTATGTATTGACGAGGCCCGCCTGACTTGAACTTGACTTGACTGACATATAATTGGGAGAGAGGCCTGGCCTATGTATTTTTTATTTTTTTCTTTCAAATGTATGAGGTAGGTAGGTAGGTTAGGTGAAGCCACTTACTGCTTCCTGCAGCCTGTCTCGCTCAGGTGGTAGTGGTGGATCGATCGATATATTATAGTTATATTACTAGCACTACCTTTATGATGGCAGCAAACCTCTGGTCTACACTGTCTTGCACTTGTGTCTATTTATTTGTTTTTATCTTTTTGCTTTTTTTTTTTGATTCTTTCCTATTTTTATCTACATGATGACGTCCCCCATTTCAGTTTTGGTACCACATCTATCATTATTATTAAAGAGAAGAAAAAAAACCTGTTATAATAGTAAGCAAGAACATAGGTAAGAAGAAATGAATGAAATTCATTCATCCTACCACATATGTCGGCAAGGTTTTTTTAAAAAAAAAAAGAAATTACTTTTTTGTAGCATAAGACAAAAGGTAGACATGACGAGATGGAAAGAAACCTTTGATTGATAGAAAAGGAGCTGAGCTGAGCAGAGCGGAGCTGAGATCTGAGGGATCCTTGTTAGAAATACAAAAAAAAAAGAAAAGGTACATAGATATACCGGGTAGGGGGTATGCAAGGCCAAAACATTCCACAGAAAGACACCGGGGTAAAAAAAAAGAAAAAAGAAAAAGAGCCAACAACCAGAGGTAACAGGTGAACCCGTCAGAAATGGGTCAGCTAGATAAATGAAAGATCTAGATCTTTTGGTTGGGGGTGGATTGGTAGACAATTATGTAAAATATAAGAATACCACCAGGGCCCGAGAATGGAATGTATCGGATCAGATCAGATCGACAAGGTATGGAACTCGTGAAAGAATTGCAATAAGAGATTATAAAGGTATAAGAAATCTCACCGCCACAACCTCCTTCACAGCGCCCGAAGTTATTAAGAGACGAACGAAATCGAGTGCGTCTTGCGTGAACGGAGGGAAAGGAATGAGCGCTGATTGCATTCGGTTTACATGATGATCGCAGGAACTGTAAAGTTGAGATTAGCATAAAGATAGCAACATCAAGAAATGGAAAGCGTCATACCATCAATGTTCTGCTTGATGCTCTTGTGTGGCAGGATGGATCCTCCGTTCACATAGACCTCGTCTGCAATCGTGACGTCGTCTCCCAGAACCGTCACATTCTCCAGACGAGCCCACTTGCCAACGGAGCTGTTCCAGCCAACAATGGTAGACTTGACCCATGCGTGGTCCTTGACCTTGCTGTTCTCCAGCAAGACGCACCGCTGGAGACGCACACCATCCCCGACCACGACATTCGGTCCGATGACGACGTTAGGCCCAATGCGGCAGTTCTTGCCGATCTTCGCGGTCGGGTCAACCATGACATTTCCACCATACACGAACGGCTCCGTCGGAGGGCAGAGCAGGGGGGAGTTGCGCTTCGCCAGGGACGAGAGGTACAGGCAGGTACCGCTGAGGAAGTCCTTGGGTTGTCCGACATCCATCCAGAAGCCCTCCAGGTCGAACGAGTGCAGCTGGCCTTCCTTGACCATGGCGGGGAAGGTCTCCTGCTCAATGGAGGTCGGGCGCAGCTCGATCCTCTTGAGCACGCTGGGGTTCAGAATGTAGATACCGGCGTTGATCCGGTTGCCGACAAACTCGACTGGCTTCTCGACGAAGCGGTCGATGCGCGACGGGTGGTTGGGCTTGTGCACAACGACACCATACTTGGAGGGCTCGTCCACTTTGGTGACCACGATGGTTCCTTCATCCCCGTGTGACTTGTGGAATTCAGCCAGTTCCTTGAAGGGGTACTCGCAGATCACGTCCGAGTTCAAGACGAAGAAAGGGGAGTCGTCCTTGGCCAGAATCTTCTCCGCGAGCTTCAGAGGACCAGCCGTGCCCAGCGGTTCGGACTCGACCGAGAATTCGATCTTGACATTGTATTGTTCCTCGTACTAGATGGGAAGCAACCAACTCGGTCAGTGCTGCGTTCTGATGTACCGGCACCTGTCTGGAGAGAAGGAGAAGCCTACCTTTTTCAAGGTCGACACCATGACATCAGGACGGTAGTTAACCGCCAGAACAATATCGGTTACACCAGCAGCTGCCAAACTCTCAACCTGGTGCAAGATCATGGGCCGGTTGGCGAACTCGACCAGGGGTTTCGGGAGCGTGAGAGTCTATCGCCATTGATGGCAGGTCAGCATTTGTTCTGACCAGCAATGGTGGTGGGAGCAGCGGGGAGCTTTGGAATGCCGGGATGGTGACAGCGGGAGGGGAACTTACGAGGGGTCGTAGGCGGGTGCCAAACCCTCCGACAAGAATGAGAGCTAGCCACATTTCATCGTCAGTCGTGTCCAATTAATTCAAATAGGGCGCCGACGGATGATTGCTACCTTTCATGGTTGCGATGTGGTCGAACGAACGATTGATGGAGAGTCTGGTAACGACAGACCGTGGCCTTGGACCTCACGATCGCACGGCAGGCGAAATCGGTCGAATTGGACTCAAGCCGGTCTCAGCGAGAAGACGACTCGAAATGCGTGATGAATGGCGCCGTCGGCTGGAAGCACGAGGGGATCGTGGGGAGGAGGAAGGAGGTTACGTCGGGTCGCGACAAGGTGGAAGAGAACAGCTGGCGCGATAAATAACAATCATAATAACGTGTTGATTTGGCGCTTGACGGCGGACCAGCCACGGGGCGCTTGGGGGTGGGATGCCTGGCTGAACTGGGCTAGGGCAGGGCTGGACCGGGTTCTGCTGCAACCAGCGCACGTTTGCAGCAGTGAAAGGGGGGCCTCGGGGGGCCTCTGGGCGTGCCGTCGGGCGCTGCTCGTCCCCGAAGCAGGAACCAGCTGCCCCCTTCCCCGCCCAGCGCGGCGCCGGTGGAGCGCGGTCGCCAATGATGGCCGGATGCGGGCACGTTTCGCCGCGCAATAAATAGAAGCTATCCACGGGCATCGCCCACGCTCAGCCAGAACCGCGTCTCCAGTGCCTGAAGGATCGCTCCTGGGCTGTGTCCTTTGCCGATTTCTGGTTCCATGGCCGAATCGCATCCCAGCCATCCTCTTCTTCCGGCAGGCACAGCGCCAGAACTACCCCGTACTGCACATGATTACGTGCGCCATCATGCGGATCATCTGGTCACGGGGTCGTCCGTTGCTTCCAAACTTCTTCTAGGGGACGCGCTAACAAACAAACAATGCGAAATTGGCTGCGAGTCCCGATCCGGGGAAATGCCACTACCCCTTTCTCCCCGCTCGTAAACCAATCTCAATGTCCAATCGTGCTAAGTACTCGGAGTAGTATGGACCTCTATTATTCACTCTGGGGACATAGAACCGAAAAGCAAAAGAAGGAAATGGCATCTCTGTGGCTTGGACTGGATTATTGCGTGTCAGGTGGCAAGTGTCTCAGCTGGGGTTGGGCGGCCTCACCGCCTACCCCATGCGGCCGGAGCCCGACATAGCTGATCATCCATTCCCGCACACGCTGCGCCTTCATCAGCAGCGCATTGTCGTTGCTGGCGGCGTTGATGGCTTTGGAGGAGTACAGGCCACCCGGATCGGTCGCATCAATGGGCTGTCGATGTAAAAGATCGACCTTGGTCAGGCCTTTCCTCAGGCTCTGCCCGTAAACCCGCTCGCGGAATGAACTGAGACCAACTGATCGAAGAAGGATGATGTCTCGTGGTCTTAGGCCAGCCAGCTTCTGCCCCAGCTCGTCCTCCTCCAACCCATCTTCTGTTGCGGGGAGCCAGAATGTCACTCCAAATCCAGTCCTGGTCTCGTCGCCAACGATGAGTTCAACTATCTGCATGTCCCATTTTGCTTGTCGTGTCCTGACCCGGCGCGGTGGGTTCACCCCGAGAATACCAACAACGAGGTTTACCGTCATGGTTTGAGGCACGATCGAGCGCAGGTACGCAGCGTTTGGGATATCCTCGAGGTTGCTCAGAGGACCCGGAATGGAGAGAAGGGTTGTTTCCCGAGCCTGTTGGCCTTCGCGTTCGGTTTGAACAGAAAACTCGATGCTTTCTGTCAACGAACTGCTCTCTTCAATGGAGCCAATGTTGCCTGAATCGGAGACTGATATGAGACTCGTTTCGTGGATGGAGAGGGAATGGTCGTAAAACTGCGAGAGAACTTCCTCTCCTGCGACATCGGGGTATGTTGACAGGAGATCTTGGGTAGTCAGGAAGAGTGTCTTTTTGGTATCGACATAGTTGTCAGAGCCATATGTCCACTGCAGTGTTTCTCGATTCGTCAATAGCCTCCATCTCACAGGCTGAGTATCTGGAGAGGCGCCATGCCTGTTGCCAGACACATCCGCACCATTGAAAGGTGGGACAGCCGTGTTTAGAAGCTCAATGTTATCCCACTCGAGCATGCCTGACGGAGCTCCCATCAGAAAGATGAGCTTCTTGGACATCTTGTGTGAAGAGCATTGGTAGTAGGATTTTCGACACGTAGACCTCTAACCTGTCTGCACCTCAAGACTGTTATTGCTACTGCATACATACTAAGGAATAACAATGAGATGCGCAAGTTCCAAGTGCCAAGACCACTGAACCTTCATTCTACCCTTTATCAAACCCTTTCTGTCAGCTGAACTCTGCATTTGTTACATTTTTATTTTTATGCAATATTTTTTTTAGCGATTGCGAATCTGCTATAGACCCTTGGCACAGCACAGTGTCCAGAGGGTTCTCTCAGGCAAATATTTGCCCAACAAACAAAAGCCTGCGATAACTTGGAGTACGGTCACGTGATCCTCGGAGCGCGCGGGCGATGTGATTGGTCGGCACTGTCCGGGAATTGAGTACGGAGACGCGCTGACCCCTTTGTGGCAATGGCTTAGGAAATTCGCCGCATCGGAGCCCGCCTAGATCTAGACATCATCCTACATCGCTTCTCCCCTCATTCATTCGAACACGGGTGATGGCTTCTCGTCACCCTTAATTGTCACTACCCTTTTTTCTAGGTTTTTTTTACCTTCCTTTTCTCTTCCTCTGGTTGCGTCTATTTCGGGTTGTTGCGGCCCGGCGCCGCTAGATAGTCATGGCCTTCCACGTATCGGCCAGCTTACCGGTACGATTGCGCCCTCTCTCTCTCTTCGCATTTTGATCCGAGTCCAGGTTAAGCTGACCTTGGCGAAACGTTCCTCTTACAGAATATTCAGGCCGTAACGTCGGATCTCTGGCCGTCCATGTCGAATGTTCTCGGGTTGCCGTGGAAGAACGTTGAGCACCTTTCCAAGTCAACATCCAAGGACAAGGGTATATCGAGAGCTCTACGACAGACCGCCGAAGAGGACGGCTTAAGCGTATGTATTTATTCGCCCGTGAAAGTTAGTCGACAATATATTGATGATGCCCAGAAGGTCCAACCCCTTTCTCTACCGGAATCTCTGAAATCGGCCTCCATGGAAACTCTGAGATCGGACGTCGTCTCTGGTCTGCTGCGGCAAAGCTCGAATCCAGGTATGTTTGTCATCCAATCCGGTTTGCTATGGTTTCTAGAACAGCAGTTTTAACCCATCGCAGTCTTTGGCCAGAGCACGCTGCGGACAGCACAGATCCTTTTGCGCGCCAGTCCGAGCGTTCGTCAAGCTTCTCGTCAATATTCGTCCCTCTCCTCGTCCAATCTCTATCTTTTCCGTAAATCCCGGGGAGTCAATGGGATTCCGAGATTCGAGCAGCAGAGGTTTTTGTTTGGAGGACCGTCGCAGGCTCTGCTTGCACAGAAGGAAAAGATCGCCAACAACAACCCGAATAGTGCCAATGCTCAGAACGCTTTTTATCAGGCGCTTCTCCGTGCCAATATGCCTGCTATCGTGGTGGAGCGTTACCGTTCTGGGCGTTTTGCTAGCAACCAGACCACTGAAAACATCTACCTGAAGGCTCTTCAGCGAGTCGGTGGCGACGCCGCCGTGGCGCAGGGATCAGTTCAAGGCCAGAATAATCAGAATCTGAGCCAAGAGCAGTTGCAAGCCATCGGTCAAGCGGTCGCAGCACGCAACCATGGCGGTCAAATTGGAATGGCAACAAAACAAACCGGTACCGGAGCCAAAGACTCGCCTCTGTACGTTGTGGTCGAGGAGTCTCTGGGCAGCGCAGTATTCCGATGGGTCAAATTCCTCCTGTACTTTGGCTTCTTCACGTACATGTCCCTGGTGCTGGTTACTATTCTTGTGGAAACTACGGGAGTCTTGAAGAACGTCCGCGGCACGCAGACCAACGAAGCTACGCCTCAACAGCAAAAGGTGCGTTTCAGCGACGTGCACGGATGCGACGAGGCCAAGGATGAACTTCAGGAGGTGGTCGAGTTCTTGCTCAATCCGGAACGGTTTTCGTCTCTGGGTGGCAAACTGCCAAAAGGTGTCCTCTTGGTCGGCCCCCCGGGTACGGGCAAGACCTTACTCGCACGGGCTGTTGCGGGTGAGGCTGGAGTTCCGTTCTTCTACATGTCCGGATCCGAGTTCGACGAGGTGTACGTCGGTGTCGGTGCCAAGCGTGTCCGCGATCTCTTCGCTCAAGCCCGGGCCAAGGCGCCGTCTATCATCTTCATCGACGAGTTGGATGCCATCGGCGCCAAGAGGAATGAGCGTGATGCAGCGTATGTCAAGCAGACCTTGAATCAGCTTTTGACTGAGCTGGACGGGTTTTCTCAATCAAGCGGCGTCATCATCCTCGCAGCCACCAACTACCCGCAGCTTCTGGACAAAGCCCTGACCCGTCCTGGTCGATTTGACCGTCGGGTTGTCGTTGGTCTTCCGGACGTCCGTGGTCGCATGGAGATCCTGAAGCATCACATGAAGAATGTCCAAGTCAGCACCGATGTCGATGTTGCGGTCATCGCCCGTGGCACTCCTGGTTTCTCCGGTGCTGATCTTGAAAATCTGGTCAACCAGGCCGCCATCCACGCCAGCCGGAACAGGCAAACCAAGGTCACATCGAAAGACTTTGACTGGGCCAAGGATAAGATCATGATGGGCGCAGAAGCGCGAAGCCGCATCATTCAGGAGAAGGACAAGCTTCTGACTGCGTACCACGAGGCTGGCCACGCTCTTGTCGCATACTTCTCTCCATCGGCTACTCCTCTCTACAAGATCACCATTGTTCCCCGCGGCATGGCCTTGGGTGTTACCCACTTCCTGCCCGAGATGGATCTAGTCTCGAGGAACTACACTGAATACTTGGCTGATATTGATGTCTCCATGGGTGGCAAGGCCGCTGAAGAGTTAGTATTTGGACCGGATAAAGTCACGAGCGGCATCTCAGCGGTGAGTATAACCTCCTTAACTTGATCGGTCTCCATTTGATCGACATTCCATTTCTGACTGGTACGTCTTCATTTAGGACCTCCAACAAGCCACCGAGACCGCTTTTACGTTGGTCACTCGATTTGGGTACTCGAAGAAACTTGGAAATGTGGATCTGTCAACCAACTACGACAGCCTGTCCTCGGAAACCAAGCAAGAAATCGAATCGGAAGTGCGTCGATTGGTGGAAGAGGGCAGGGCTAGGGCCACCAAGATCCTGACGGAGAAGCGGAAGGAGCTGGAATTGCTGACCAAGGCATTGATGGAATACGAGACCCTGACCAAAGAGGAGATGGAAAAGGTTATCCGGGGCGAAAAGCTTGAGAAGTTGGAATCCAGCCCCTCAGCTCCGCTTAAACTGCCGGAGGCACTTCAGCCGGCCAGCCTGAACCCATCCACGCCAGCCTCTACCACCACCACGGCGAAATGAGTATAAGCATGTGCATGTGGCTTTGGTATTTTCTCTTGTCATGATCCAAAAGAAGTCCTTGTATTTTTCTTTTTCTTTTCTTTTCTAATGTACCATTTTATCTATACAGCTACGTAAGTCGCGAACACCTTCCTTTTCCTTTTGCTTTCGATATCATCGATCCCCTTGCTTCCCCTTGTGTCTCTACCCAACCTTATTCCTCTCTGGCCTGTTTTGGGATTGGTTAAGTGTCAATCGGCTTTCATTGGGTTTGCATTTCTCCCACGCTTTTCATCACCTCATCGCTCAGTTCCGCAGCAGCATTGTCATTATTTTCATTATCATGTAGGTATATCCGAGAATCCAGATGCGGCTGTAAAAATCGAGACCAAACAGCATTTCCGTTTTTCGATAGAAGGCAGAATCGATCGTACTACAGTTGTACAGCATGCATGTTAGTTTCAAAAGGGAATGAATAAAATCCATAAGTAATAATAATGACAATATAATGTCAAAGAAGGAACTAGCAACAGCCAGACCTGGGCTAACGAATCGCTGCGTATCCAGAGCGGGCGGACGTGACTTCCGTTCTCCCGCCGTGGATGGCTCGCAACCTGGAGGTGGGACGTTGTGTTGTCTCGAGCGCTGTGATTGATTTCTAACCCTACAACCTTCTAAGTTCCAGCTTAGTTGGCAGGGATCCTGGACGGAGCAACTGCCGGGCCTTCGATACTCATCCCGATAGGGCCGACCCGCGCGGGTGCCTGACGTGCTTATGCATGCGACATCCATGGACCAGAGACGGTCGACCCCGACCGTCGCGACCGGGGGGGCCGAAACCCTGGTCCTGGTAAGGACTATCACCACCAGCCAAAGCGACATACGTCGTCGCCAGACTAAGAGACGGCTTCTGACTTGCGTTTCCAGACGGCGGAGCAAGCCAAACCAGACGGGTCAGTCGAGCAATCTGTTTTTCCATTACATGATTAAATTATTATATTATTATTCTTACAGAGCCAACGGAGGCAGATTGATGTGAATAAGTTGATAAGAGGGACGAGTGATGATCCTGATTGAAAGATGTCTATCAAGCAGCGGTTGACCTCTCAAAAGTGATATACCATAGGAGAAGCAGAAAAAGCAAAGAAAGAAAGGAAATCAACACCCAATGCGCCTCCCGACAAGCAGAAGTCAAAGCTTTTGTCTATTCCCGTTTCCTCTTTTCCTTTCCCCTCTTGCGCAGAGCATTGGGCACATCGAGGGTTGCTCTTTCCCGATCTGACAGTCAGAGCGCCAACCCGACAGCGCCCGCTGTTTGTTTCACTTTTGCACTTGCCAGCAGAACACCCGCAGCCATCGAGCCTTCCCCACTGGGCCGTCATCTTCCCGGTATTGCGTTAGTCTTTGCCGCTTGAACAAACTCAGATCGAAGCATCTACCTAGGACCTGGTAGAGGGAAGGCAATCGAAGAGATGTCCGACAGAATCAGCGCATGGTTGTTCCCTCAGCTCTTGCAGTCCCCTGCGAGCCCGGTTTCGTTCTTTGTTAGCTCCTGCTTTCTTTGTTCCCGGCCGCTGATTGTGGCCGTCAAGACATCACAATAGTCCCAGTTCCTAATTCCGACAAGTCAAGGACAGGATGATCTCGAACTACGTACCGCAGTGTTCGTCGATCCGGTCTTCTCTGTTCGCGCCAAAATCTATTAGCAGGAAGATAAAACATTGAAAGCAGAAAAGGCCTCGACAGAAGAGGGTGAAGACTCACATTCTCACCACATTGAGAGGGCAAGTTTTGCCCGTCTGGGCGTATATGGAACACCATGCTGTGACCAAGTAACGGCGATGACCGCACCGGTAGTTCACTTGAATATGGTCACACATCGTCGACACACGACGCGATCGAAAAGGCGAAGGCAAATCTGTTGAGACGATTTCGCTCGCTCGCACAGTTACGTGCTTGAATTGGAGCTTGCGGTGAGAATAAATTTGAACGGAAAAATGTGTTCTGCCAGCCAAGCAGTAGTCTACAGCGGTGCACACACAGCATGGAAAACAAGCGATTTTCTAATGTGGGCTTTCGCAATCGAATCAAACTGAGAGGGCAACCATCGAGAGCATTCTTATGCTGCGCTGCTTGCAGTGCTCCATCTGAGCCATCTTGACGGGACAATCCGACGGGTCCGAGCCTTTCGACTTGTCCAGAACTTTATGGAGCGCTCGCTCCATGAAAGCTGTCATCCGTTGTCAATGCTCTGGAGACTGCTGTGTGCTAACCTTCTTCGGAGTCCAGCACCTAATCGTGGACGTCTGGCACTACGATAATATGTAATTATCGCCAGGGGCGGCTTCGATAGCCCCGTACTTCCTTCTCCCGCGCGTACCTGTCGTGCGCCACGGCACGACTCGAACAAGACCATTTGTGGTTATTTTTTACGTTAATTGATGTTTTAACAAAGGGGAACGATTCAGACCAGAACTTTTCTGGTCCATTTGCAAGCGCAGGTCAGTGCGACCATTGTTCTCTGCGACCTCGCACGCCAATTCAGGCCCGAGCTGGTCCGAGCCCGACATTCCTCCAGTACAAGGCTGCAGCCATCCGCGAAAAAAAGAAACTTAGTCCGCTGGACCTAGCCTTTGACGTTGTCGACTATCCTTGGTGCCAATTATGATGCACGTTATTGTTGGTGGGTTTTGCCGATAGAACAGCAAATACTGCGTTGGTGTACGGTGTGGGTGCATCTCGACAAGCAACAGAAAAATTCGAATGCTTATATTTTTTTTATATATTCTGGAGTCTGGCCACAGCGCATACCGTTGCCGTGGAAGAGCACCTCGAGGTTTCAAACGAATCCTGTACAAGGACCGTACAACGCCTTTATTTCGGTCGATATAGATATGCAAGTGTGGTGTGGGACTTCGCCCTAACGGACGGGTTACCGAGAGGTCTTAGGTCTCATGGAAGACCCATTGGCCCCAATGACAAGGCAGAACGGTTTGCTAGTGACGCTTGTTGTCAGAAGGCTTGCTATAGCTCGACTTCGACCCCCAGTGGAGGCGGGACAGGCATCAATAACGTTTGATTCTTCAGTGATGCAATTGCCTGTCCGTCCCCATGGGTTTTAAAGTGGAGCACGCATGAGAAGCGGTGGCATTAGCCTACATACAAGACAGCGACTTTGCTTCAGCCACGTACACGTCTCACCTCATGAAAATTCCATGGCATGACGCCGTTTGTTCTTTGTTTCTCTAGTGGGCTGTCATGCTCTTATCATTATCATCACGACTAACAACAAAGAGAGCTAGGGAGCGGGAATAACACCTACGCTTCCGGACTTGGCAGTTAGCACCATTGTGACGGCAGCGAAAGAGAAAGCTGACTATCCCAATCCTGGCCAGTGGCCCGGAGACTCATGTGGGACTCACAGTGGGAAGATCAGGAAGAAGGCAAGTTCCCCATCCTTGTCTGCACATCATCCTGCGGTTTCAGTTGGTACGGAGACCGTACCGATGCAAGCGCGTGCAGGGGTACCTCCAGGTCGAAAACATCTCAGACTCGCGTAGAGGAAAGAGGAGGAGATGAAGAAACAACGAGAAGATCAAGGCCAAGAAACGCATACAACGTGTCTGTATGTATGTATTATTATGGACTCGATGTTATATAAATTGCCCAGGACATATGACTAGGCTACTATATCGGTTAATGTGGGTATCACAAAATTCGCATGCTACACTGAAACCCAACAAAAAAAAATAGTCGCTGATAAAAATCTATCCAACCTTCACAATCTTATATTTAGCCAGAGTCCGTCGAGTCGGGATCGATCTCGCTCGTGTCCAGCCAGCCTCGGGACATCTCCACTGCCTTCGACCATTGTTTATACATCTTCGCACTCTCTTGCGGTGATAGGATCGGCTCAAAAGTGGTTGTGTTGGCACGGTTCATATGCTTCAGTTCGTCAAAAGTTGTCCAAATATCGATTGCGAATCCGGCCGCAATCGCAGCCCCCAGCGCGGTAGTCTCATGCATTGATGGGCGTTCCACAGGGATTTGAATGATATCAGCTTGGGACTAGAGATCGCACGTCATGTCAGTTTCACTCTGAAGTAGCATGGGAGCTGTCTGTCACGTGGAAACGACAGATCAGAGCGGAAAACACATACTTGCATGCAAATGTCGGAATTGCTCATCCCACCGTCCACGGCGAGTTCCGACAACTTATGGCCACTATCCTTCTCCATGGCATCTAGAATTGCTTTCGTCTGGAAGCAAGCGGCTTCCATGGTCGCACGGGCGATGTGCCCACGTTGTGTGTGTTGAGTGATGCCGACTGTACTTGTTAGCAGAAAGTTTCGAACGAGATTTTCGCTTGACCTGAACCGACGAGGGCGGAAATATGTCTTCGAGGTCGACTTACAGATAGTTCCTTTGGCATCATCGATCCAATACGGCGCAAACAGTCCACTGAAAGCGGTGACAAACACGCAACCGCCATTGTCTGGTACCGTGGCTGCTACTTCACTTACTTTGCGAGAATCACGGAAGAAACCCAGATTGTTCATGAGGAAAGAGATACCACTTCCTGCCACGGCGATACTGCCTTCCAACGCATAGATCGGTTTCCTGTGGGCTCCTAGTTGGAATGCGACAGTCGCAAGGAGCCCGTGTTTTGAGATCACGGGCTTTTCGCCAACATTATAGAGGAGGAAGCACCCTGTTCCATAGGTGTTTTTGGCGGACCCAGGAGTAAATGCACAGTGACCAACCAGGGCTGCTGACTGATCTCCCAAGCAGCTGGTGATGGGCGTGCCTCGAAGCGGCCCGATGGCGAGACGCCCGAACTCCTTCGGGTCGGACGAGGGGACAATCTTAGGAAGCCTGATCTTCTCTTTATCTATCTCGAAGAAGTTGAGTAGCCGGTCATCATATCTCAACTCGTGCAGGTTCATGAACATAGTTCGCGATGCATTCGTGACGTCGGTGACATGGACATTGTTCTCTCGACCGCCGTTAAGATTGTACAGCAGCCACGTATCGACCGTGCCAAACGCCAGTCTTCCCTCATCGTATGCTTTCTTCACTTCGGGATTATTCCGCAGAAGCCACACTAACGTGACTGAAGATGGATACGTTGACAACGGCAGACCACAGATGTTGATGAGGTCATCCGCCCCCTCTTTTCCCTTGAGTTCTCGCACCAGGTTCTTGGTTCGGGTGTCTGGCCATGCAATGGCGTTGTACAGCGGCTCTCCAGTCTCCCAATCCCACACAATGGTCGTCTCTCGTTGACTGGTGATGCCGATTGCTTCGATATCTGATTTCGAGTGGCCGAGCGCAAGGAAGGCCTTCATTGCTTCTTCCATACACTTCTCGACCGAGGCTACTAACTCTTTCGGATCTTGTTCGTGCCATCTGTGTGTACATGGAGTGGTCAGGATTTTTCATTTCGGAACAGACTTGCTCTGGAGACGTACCCTGGTTTTTCGTGGATTTGACGAAACTCTGACTGGTAGGAGGCGACAGGCACGCCTGTGCCGTCGAAGATGATGAATCGGGTGCTAGTCGTTCCTTGGTCAATGGCGCCAATGAAACGGTCCTTTAGATTATCTTTTCGGCGTCTCTCATCTTGGATAAGAGATCTATCTCCGTCGTGAGTCTCGGTCACATTGATACTCGTTTCACGAGGTCTGTCAGAGGCCATCGCCAAATGGAGTGTGCAGAATGAAGATGCAACCGGCCGCGGGTGCAATAAAGAGAATGGCAGAGAAATTTACGACTCTAAAATTGGACGCTACAGGAGATAAGGCTGGGGCGAGCGCAACAACGGTACGGCCCCAGATTGGTACAGTCTCAAGAAGCTTGTTTGGGCGGATCGTGACGTACGGATGATGATGACGGAGTGACTGTGCAGAGGTCACTACAGCCTGGAGGGAAAGGGAGAGACTGAAGAGGACAGAACAAATTGTACGACGGAGCTCAGGAAGAAAGAGAGCCCAGCAGAGCGGCGACGAGCATGCTTTAATCTACAAGGGTGGAACCTTGGACAGGCTCAATGCGAGGGCTGCAGCCTCCGGGACAGAGGCAGCACGGTACCTCACTCCCTCCTCCAGCTACGGCCTACATAGCCACTCACCCGGGTCGATTGCGCAGCTTCCATGGCGGAGAAGTGGGCGGGTGGGGAGGAACAGCGTCTGCTATGCCACCCGCACTGCTCCTTCGCCCTTGTGCCGTTCCTCCACCCCGCAAGAATGACGAGCATCTAGGCGGGGGAGAGAATTTCGGCTGGGGGCTGACTCCTGACCGATGTCGTCCCACTATCTCCTTTTTTTTTCTGATCAGGCGACCTCATCAGATGGGTCCACTGCAACGGCCAGGCCCTTTGCTCCTACATCTAATAATAATTTGTTTCCAACAGGAAGGTTTTGAATTTGCGTCGCTCCTGAACGTGCTTCTTCTCCCCACCTGTTTTCACTAGCCAAAAACATGCTGCGATCGGATTCGTACCGATCGGACTACGCTTGGGTAGAGAATTCTCTGCATGTGAACCGATACGGGCAGAATGCAGAGGACTGACTACAGAGTGAAGATTAATCTGTGCAGATTATTACTCCGGACGGCCCTTTCGATCGTCTCATTATCGATAACCGAATATCGGATATCCCCGTCTTGGAAGTTGACCCACAGCCGACTTGGTTATTGCGCACTGGTATTTTCTTAATCTAGACCCCAAACTAAATAACTGACTAGCTTAAGTATCCAGGGGCGCTTTTTTCGCGACTCTTTTTTTCCATCAATGGCAATCCGCCGACCGGCCGGGTAGGCTCGGCCTCTTATGACTCGGCAGGCGCCAGCGGAGCGAGCCAAGAATCGGGATTCCTCCCGATCTTAGAGCCTCGTCTCCGTTCCCGAACGGTCATGGGGAATACCGATCCATCATTGTTTTTCTCTGATAATGATGATAGTCGACTCGGGATTTTTCAGCATGATACATAGAAGTGTTGTGCTGACGGGATCGGCTTCGCCAAGGTCCCTAAAGACGGGCCGCGAATGTGCGCAGTTGGCACAAGAAGGCAGACAGAGACTGCTGAGTGCTTGACGTTTTTTCGCCTTTCTGGCCCGGTTGCGTAGATCCGGGCGGAGTACGGGAACTCACATGCACCAATAAGACGGAGTACTGTTGACAGATTCTGCCGAGGCTACACTCTACACGTCATTAGGTAGGTATTGAGGTAAGACAGATAAATGAGATAAACATAGAGAAGAAACTTGGAAAGAAAAGACAGGAAAATGAATGTAATCTTGTCTTTTGATCCTGGAATTGTCCTGAACTGTGAGGGGGAAAAAATGCAGTAAAATAGTCTGTACGAGAACTATTACAAAGGAAGACCTCTCGAGTACTACGGAGTACTCCGTAAGGGAGATGACTAAATTATTACATAAGCAGATAACACCGGAACCGGAAAAAAATTTGGACGTGCGGTGGATCGAACACCGGACTTTTCGCACGCGTTTGCCATGTATGCAAAGCGAACACTCTTCCACTGAGTTACACGCCCAAAACGGTTTAGTTGATTTTCAATTCTTTAATATATAAATTTTTTCCCATATTTCGCTTCGCTTTGGCGGCCTATGTCAGTTTGGATCTGAAGCTGGCTCGTTTGTGTCTGGCTGGTACGACTTCCATCAGGTCAAGTGCTGGCGGTGCTGAGATCTCTGGAGTAGAGGTCCAAAATAGATTCACTTCGTTAATGTATTAGAAGCAAATTTGATGAGCTCGCACTGTTAACGATGTGACACTGCCAGAGCGCCCATCCCTCTTGGAAAACTAAAGTAGCGAAGGAAGACGTATTCCATCTCTCCCCTGGTGTCCATGAGAATAGTATATGAGCGGCTATGCATAGATCTTATGCTGGCTCGACTGACGAGAACATGTTGCTCCGCACGAGGGCCAAAGGCCAAACAAAAGTATCACGTTTAACCTGCTTTTTTTCAGTGAGATTTCGATGAAAAATCTCTCAGAAGTCGCTTTTTTTTTCCGGCGCTACTGTAGATCAAAAAGTCCAAATAAGTGAGTTGTAATGACTGACCTTCTAATAACTACAGGCTTTGTCATCGCTGGGGAAAGTACAGAGTTGTTATTGCTAAAGCAAGTGCACACATATCTGAAGATGACCCCGGAGACTGGGCTTACTGATCACAACTGCGAATAGTTTATCCTTTGAAAGCTGAGCGACAAGCCTCCAAAAAAAAAGTCTTGAAGGCTGTAATGATCTTGAGATGTATTGAGGTTATTGTGGAATAGTGCAAAAAGAAGAATGGACGAGCGGTGGATCGAACACCGGACTTTTCGCAGGCACTTGGGTGCAAAGCGAACACTCTACCACTGAGTTACACGCCCTCGTTAATTTATTAGCTCTCCGCTATTGTTTTTTACCATAGGGAATGGCTCAGGCCAAGTAAGTGATGCTGTCCATTAAAGTATTTTTCAGCCAGCATCATCTTCTTTTACACCCCGTTGTTGCCACCGAGGCAGAACCTACGGAGTAAATCGTAGCTAGTCCAGTGGCGCTTTTTTTTTGCCATTGCAATCCAAATCCACTAGGTGACTGATGTCAGGCGCAGGTTTTGGATCAGATTCAACTTCGTTGCGAGTCAATTCGCATCGGTTGGGCCTGCGCAATAGCAGCCAACTGTCTGGTTGTCAAATCCTGCTTTCTTCTGAACGGTCGTATGGCTTCCAGCGAAAGCGGTCATATTATATACACTGTACGCTGCAGAGTGCTGATTGCGAGGTCAAGCTCCTCCGCGAGCTTCGACAAGGATGTGATATGATATCAGCAGAGCCCTTTCTTTTGGGGAATTTTCTCGACTCGTGTAGGCTTAAGCTTACTACTACTACTGGAACATAAGGGATGTCGGGAGTCTTAATATTAATAACTCTGGTAAGGATAAAAAAAAGATGATTTCCTACTCAAAGTGGGCTATGTCTAAGGAGGGCAAGAGGCCCTACATAAATTACCAGGATGAATCCTGACGGACGTCCATAAATTCTTTTAACATTCACTGCAAATAAGCAAAAAGAAACAAACAACAGCCCCTGCCTGGAATCGAACCAGGATTTCCGGAATCAGAATCCGACGTGATGAACCATTACACTACAAAGGCATTTGTTGAAATGAGGACGCAAATTTTCGTGTGCAAATTTTTTCTTTGATATCTGCGTAGAAAGAAAAAGAAAAGATAACGGAGAAAACGAAAATGAAAAAAGAAAGCCCCTGCCTGGAATCGAACCAGGATTTCCGGAATCAGAATCCGACGTGATGAACCATTACACTACAAAGGCATTTCTTGAAAGAAGCTTCGCAAATTTTTGATTGACAATCATGACTACCCCGCACGTAATTTAAAAACCGCCTAGCTTTTCGGACCCCAGCCCGATTAAGGAATGATATTGCTGCTCTTGTAATTTTCAGGGTAAAGAAGAATACGAACAAAATTCTAAAGGGAAACTGTGACGTGGCTGTTTTTCAATTAGAATACATACAGACCTTCGAGAAGATGCGGTAAAGCGTGATCGAATATTAGCAAAAAAAAAGCAATATGGCCTGTCTATATTCGACTACTCGCGATGATAGTTGGACTGATCACTGAGGTCTCAAAAGGACAGGACTCAGCGCCCCTCAACGGTCAACCTTCAGCTAACTAGTTCGGTCCATTGGTCACATGACCACAAAACCCCCGATCATACGATCGCGTGACTGACTAACATTCGGTCCGTAGGCTGACCTTCGGGCTTCGGCATCACATCACTATAGCATACAGACTGTTCCACTACTTAGACTAAACAAATTTTTGATTATAACTCCTACCCATGGATGGTTTACAGCCTAAGGGCAAGGCGCCAACCTTGCTGCACGATATTTTCCTAACTTAGAATTTTATCAAGATCCCAGATTACATAAGAAGCCTTTGTAGTGTAATGGTTCATCACGTCGGATTCTGATTCCGGAAATCCTGGTTCGATTCCAGGCAGGGGCTTTTCTTTTTTTCCCCATATTTTTTGTTTTTTTTTTCTTTTTATGTATATCTTGCCTGATGGTTAAGATAAACCACTGTGGAGACACTAATAATTTTGATGTTGATGTTTAAAGAAAAATAAGACAGAACTCTCACTCTAAGAGCATATAAATAGGTCTTATTTAGTGAAGCAGGGCTGCAGGTGAATATCGAGGCGGATATTGTCATTCGACGGTGAGGCCTGTACGGAAGTTTCTGGGAGAAGACCCATCGAATACCGCAGCACTGCTATCGGATGTCTGGGACAGGGGTCGAATGGAAACGAGAAAACCAGTGATACCTGAAGCTATCTACACGAAATAATCATCGCTGTATATATATATGCTCGATCCCAGGGGTCAGGTTAGTGATCGGGATGAACGACTCTACGGCGATATACAGAAGAGCGAATCACCCCAACCCACTACAGTGTATTTAATTTACAGCAAGTCTGGTATTATAAATCAGACAAAATTACAAAATCGATAGTGGGCAGTAGTAATAATAGTACAGTACAATATATAAATGTCGCCCTATCCTCTCTTCGCCTCAGTACAAATAGTTCACGCCTTAGGCACTACGTCTATATATTGTAGGTACTGTACGTATACAATATATTTTCATTTATTTGTCTTGGGCTAATCGATAATCATTGTCCATAATAGTCCAAACTTAGAACCAGACCAGAACGAGAGTATAATCAGACCTGGAATAATAGAACCTAGAATTGGTTGGATTGAAAATGGAACGATGGCCACGTGCTCATGCTCAATTAATATTTTGATTTTTTCCTCTGATTGATTGATTGATAGATACAGGTACTACACTAGCTATTACTACTCCTCTGCTTGGAATACAAGTATCGCAAGACATCTTATTGGGATTTGATTCGAATTTAAGTTGACATACAGATTCAAGGAAAGATTCTGGACAGGCTATTTGATCTATGACAAACGAAATAGCAGCGTCAGCTGGACGATTGGATTTTTTGGGTGACGGACAGATCCTTAATTTACATCAACAAAGGAAATTTCCATGATGGCGCTACAGTAAACTATAAACTAGGCACCTAACCTAACCTATCCTTTGCTCCAGGCACGCACTCCACGACCAACAGAGCGAATTAAAGCTTGCAGTGGTCGTTAGGGTTACGTGCTGGATAAGGTATTTACTCCAGAGAAGCCTCCTTCTCCTCCTGCTCCTTGCGCTTGGCCTCCTCAAGCTCCTTCTTGCGGAGGTACAGGAGTGCCTGGATCTTCTCGGTCATAGTGTGCTCGGAGGAAAGGCTCTGCAAGATTCTCTCGCGTCCGATCAGACTGGCGACAATGCTTGCGCCCACGACGAAGGTCAGCACGAACCGGTACATGCCGTACCAGTGAGGCGCCAGGCCGCGACCAGCCGCCCGGGCGTCGTTGTAGTACAGGAAGATGAACGCAAAGAACTGGCTGATGAGCGCATACTCCACGGGGAACAGCAGCGTGGGCCAGGCCACCGCCGGAGCGATGCAGCCAGTCGCGTATCTCCGGAAGCCGTGCTTGCCGCCGTATCCAGCCCACTCAAGACCCCAGTGGACGGCACCGAGGAAAGAGAGAATCTATCAATAGTTCGTAAATTAGAAAAGAGTACTATCCAAGAGGCCGTCGCGGCAGCAGCTTCGTCTCGCTACTTACCACAGCACCGTAGCCGACCTGGATGGGCTCCATCAGGTGCAGCATGAGTTGCGCAGTGTCGCCGGAAATCAAGAAACCGCTGCCGGTGGTGGCATTGTTGTTGATTTCCCAGGCCAGGTAGGCAGTGTCCAGCGAAGTCACCAGGTAGGGGACCACGCCGGCCAGACCGAAATACAGAGCCTCCTTGGGGACTTCGTGGAGGGAGAAGGTCTCCTTGATGGTTTTCTGGACGAAAACAACTTAGCATGCTGTCGACCAACGCCCTTCGTCCTGATTTCTATACGTACCACATCGCTCTTAATACTGGCCATCATGTCCACGTCTTCCTCTGGGGGCTGCTGCTCATCCTGTGCGGCTGTTAACATACAATGCACCTGGCACCACACTGGGCGGGAGATGTCCTGCCTTCTTGGCCACTGTCGAGTTGTAGCGCACCAGAGCGGTGGTGACGGGCCGGCGGACGGCCAAGGAAAGATTCGGAGCAGAGGTCAAGCGGGCGGGTTGGCGGGCGGACGAGGTCAATTGGGCCTTGAAGACGCCTCTGGGGATGGAAGAGCGGATAGCAGAAGCATTGGCGCTCGACGCAGCCCGGAAGGCCGCGCGGGCAGCGGCGGTGCGAAAGAGCATGGTCGATGACAGAGGTCGAGCAAAAGCTGCGGGAAGATTAGGAAACGACCGGGACAGCCGGCGGCAGGTCCAATTGACCTGAAAAGAGCAGAAGAGGGGGAATTACGGAGTGGAGATGAAGTAGAAAGGCTCTCGAGAGCTCGAGCAGGGCTCGTGGGACGGAGGACGCAGTGTCGACGAGGGAGGAGAGGTCCTGGTGGAAGGCCGAACAGTGGTGATGTGAGCATGAGGTGCGTCTCGCTGCTCTTCGGCGGACCGGATCTGCCGAGTCCGCACGTGCTGCCTCAGGCCGCAATGCATGCCTGGGCGGTGGCATGCATTCTCTGCGCTGGCGTCATCACCCTATTATTTTTTATATATCAATATATTATTATGTTGGCCTACTATTCAGCATATTCGAGGCTTATAGTCCCAAATATCAGGTTTAGGCCAATGGAAGTGCAGCTCATTTGCATGTCTACGCTGTCGTACTGCCGTACTCGATCGAGATGCCAAGTGATATTCTTGTCTTTACGTGGCACGGCGGATACTATACTCTTCTGAGCATCGTTAGTCGGTTCCAGAATTCGAGTGCACTGTGTATTTTTTTTATCCGTCTCTTTGAATGCGGGATTCCCGCAGTAGACGGACACGTAGAGCTGTTCTGTAGTACAATGCAATCTCTGCCTCAGGTTGTAAATTCGAGAAACCCACAGGGTTGTCCACCGTAGAACTGGCGTTGCTTTGCTGGCCTGGCTGCCTGGTGGATGCGTGGCTGTTCTGGCCGCCAAGGACGACGTCACAGCCAGCAAAACTCCCCGCGGCTGCTCTGCAGCTATGCGAAAAACAATCGACCTGCGGATGCCCCAGATCTCGCTTGCGTCCTCAGCCCCTGCAATTGTGGAGGACGATCCCATCCTTGCTACCCAACTCCACTCCCGCTTCTAGTCGTCACGGGCGTTTCTCGACCTCTGCAGTTCGGTGATTGAGCTGCTGGCCGCTCGTTTCCCGCCAGCTCTGATCGCTGCCTTCGATGCGGAGTGCCCCAACAGACTGAGATCCAAGGGGTTTGCCACCATCGACTAATCGACCAGAGGCCGCGTTGGATGAAGTAAAGAGCGCTGGTTGTGAAAGTTCGCTTACTCACCTGTGACTGATGACGTGTGGGATGCCGTGAAACTCGTTCCTTCAGGAAACACGCGCTGACTGGTCGTGATTTTTTAGTATCAATCCACGGGACAGCTTCCCCCGATCCTCGAGCACGATCCGTATAGACGGTGCGACACTTGATCCTCTGGTGACTCGCATAGCGGTTTAAGTTGGTTCTCCCCGGCCTGGGTCACGGCCTCCCCCTGCCGCCATGTTGGAGGGCGTCGTTGCAAACCTGCTCAACCGCTTCCTGGGCATGTACGTCAAGAACTTTGACGCCAAACAACTCAACATTGGCATCTGGTCTGGCGATGTCAAGCTTCACAACCTCGAGCTGCGAAGAGAGGCCCTGGACCAGCTCCGTCTGCCCCTCAACGTCGTCGGTGGCCACCTCGGCCAGCTGACCCTGTCCATCCCGTGGTCGAACCTGCGAGGGAAGCCCGTCAGGGTTGATATCGAGGATGTCTTTCTTTTGGCGGCGCCCAGGGAAGATGTGGACTATGACCCAGAGGAGGAGGAAAAGAGGACGCACGCCATCAAGATGGAAAAGCTGGAAAGCGCAGAGCTCCTGAGGGAGCGGAACACGGAGGGTATGAGCCAAGAGGAACAACGCCGGAACCAGAGCTTCACGCAGAGTTTTATTACGGCCATTGTCGATAATCTGCAGATCTCGATCAAGAACGTCCATTTCCGGTACGAGGATTCGATCGCTTCCCCTGGCCATCCCTTTGCCGTCGGTGTCACGCTGAAGGAGCTGAGTGCGGTCAGCACCGATTCTGAGTGGAACCCTACCTTCATTCAGTCTACATCGGGCACAACGCACAAGCTGGCTGTTCTGGGCTCCCTGGCCGTTTATTGGAATACCGACGCCGAGCTGCTGGGAACCGGTCGCGGCGCAGACATTGGAGCCGAGGCCCAGGGAATCAGCTATGATGAGCTGATGTCGAAGCTCAAGGAAGGCATCGAGCTGGATGAGAGAAACCAGTACATGCTTCGTCCCGTCAGCGGTCGCGCCGGTCTGGAGATGGATAAGACCGGGAAGCTAGACCGTCCCAGGATAAAGGCACGCCTTCTATTTGATGAGCTGGGCTTCGTCCTGGATAGTGATCAATACCGTGACATCTTGATGTTAGTGGATCTGTTCCATTACTTCATTCGTCACCAGGAATACAGGAAACTCCGGCCCGCAAGAAGTCCAAAGGAGGATCCTCGAGCCTGGCTGAAGTTTGCTGGCAACGCCGTTCTGAGTAAGATTCATGAGCGGAACCGCCGATGGACCTGGGACTACATTAAGGAACGAAGAGATGACCGAATTGCTTACATCACTCTGTTTAAGAGGAAGAAGAGAGGGGAGACGCTATCCCCTGACGAGGCGGCGGAATCGGATCGACTCGAAAGAAAGTATAGCTACGAAGACCTTCGGTTCTGGCGATCGCTGGCAAGGAATCAATTGCGAAAGGAGAACGTCGGGGTGCAGAAGCCAGCCCGACAGCAAACCTGGTCTGAGTGGATCTGGGGCTCCAAGAAGCAGGAGGACGATACCACCATGACAGAGGAGCAGCGCCAGGAACTCTACAATGCCATTGACTGGGACGAGAAAAAGGCCCTTGCGGAAAGCGTTGAACTGCCCCGAGAGTCCGTCAAGATTCAAGTCAATTGGAGTCTCCGCGCGGGTAGCTTGACTTTGAAGCGTGATCCGCACGGTGCCGCGACTGAGATCATGAAGCTGGTGTTTGATAAATTCAGGGCCAAGGCTCTGCAGAGGCCGGATTCTTTCTTCGTGGACTTGGAACTAGGGGGCTTAAGAGTCTACGACGGAACCACCCAGGGCAGCCTCTTCCCTCAGATTGTCCGAGTGAAGGACTCGCTCCCCGAACCCAAGGATAGCGATTCCGAAGATTCAGAAGCTCAGTACCTCGATGCTGAGGAAATCACTAAATATGTGGATGAAGAAGACAGTTTGTTCCATCTCCAGCTCGAACAGAATCCACTTGACAGTGACGCCGATTCGGCCATAAAAGTTAAGCTAAAGAGTATCGAGGTTATTTACAATCCAAAATTCCTCGTGGAAGTTGTGCGCTTCTTCAAGCCTCCGGAACGGCATATGGAGTCTATCGGAGCCCTTCTCGACACCGCAGGTGCTACGGTGGAGGAGATCCGACAACAGACTCGGGCCGGCTTGGAGTTTGCGCTGGAAGAGCACAAAAAAGTGGACGCCCACTTTGATCTCCAAGCGCCTCTTATCATCGTTCCAGAGAGTATTACGAGAGAAAGCTCTATGTGCTTGATCCTCGATGCCGGTCATATCAGTGTCAACAGTGAGTTGGTCGACAGAGAGACCATGAAGGAGATTCAGGCCAAGCAGAAGAGGCAATATAGCGAAGAAGACTACAAGCAGCTTGAGGACCTCCTGTACGACAAATTCCTCATCAAGCTCGACTCGACCCAGGTGCTTATTGGTCCCGGGATCGAAGCAACCAAGTCACAGCTTACTTCTGATGTGCCTTCGAAGAACTTCCACATCATTGATCGTATCAACGTTGACTTTGTCCTCGAGCTCTGTATCGTCCCACAATCAACGGAGCTTACGCGAACGCGGGTTTCTGGCCATCTTCCGGAGCTGCATGCGTCCATGTCGGACAAGAAGTACAAGAATTTGATGAAGTTGATCGACATTGCCATCCCGCGTTTTGATGAAGAAGATGAAGAGTCGAGTTCCTCGTCAAAGGATCCATCCGAAAAGCCAGCGGATAAGACCACGGCTGTCGCTAATAGAGCGCGATCATCTTCGTTCCAACCGTCGAGTACGAGAGAAATTCCGCTTGTCGACGTGGATTCCGATGTGGAAGATTCTGGCAAACGTCAGACAAAGAAGACCGAAAGGCCAGTTAGCTTGCACAGACGAGACTTCGAATTCAAATTCACTGTCGGTAAATTGCGCGGCTCGCTATTCAGAGCTGACCCCAGAGACGAGAACCCTGACCAATTGTTGGTGGAGCTGGTGGCGGAAGGCTTCGAACTGGACTATTACACGCGGGCATATGACATGGTAGCTGAATTGCTTCTCAAATCTCTGAGCGTAGATGATCATATTGAAGAAAACCCAGCTCCCGAGTTCAAGCAGATCATCTCTTCGAAGGGGTTCAACGCAGAGGAAGACAAGGACTTGTTCAATCTGAAACTTGTTCGTGTCAAACCAGAGTCTCCGGAATTCGAATCGACCTTCGAAGGCATTAATACGAATCTGGACATCGCCGTCTCTACGATCAATGTCATCGTTACCAGGAAAACACTTCTCACGCTTTTGGACTTCATTTTGCTCACGTTCACTAACCCTGATCAGCCAAAAGCTGCTCCGCAACAAGCAGACAGCGCTGTTGAGAACGTCCCTCAAGAAGAGCAGCAGCCACAGCAAGCCGGGAAGATTCGTATCAAGTCGAACCTCAAGAGTATTGCGCTGATCCTCAACAATGATGGGGTTAGACTGGCGACGCTGAGTTTGAACACTGCGGATGTCGGCATTTTCTTGGTTGGCCGGACTATGCAAATCCAGTCTCGGATTGGAAGCTTGACATTGATCGACGATGTGAACACGGGTGCTTCAGACGATTCGGCTCTTCGCAGACTCCTAACGATTGAGGGAGAGGATTTCGCCGACTTTAAGTATCAAACATTTGATCCCGAGACGGAAGATTACCCTGGCTACGACTCGGAGGTCTTTTTGAGATCTGGCTCTATCAAGATCAACTTCCTAGAGGAGCCTTACAGGAAGATCGTCAATTTCCTGGTGAAATTTGGCAAGATGCAAGCAATATTTAACGCAGCCCGTCAAGCTGCGGCCAACCAAGCGAACCAGTTACAGGAGAATGCCTCGCGCATGCGATTTGATATAGTTGTTAGGACCCCGATCCTTGTTTTCCCCCAAGTCATGAAAGATGACCGCCCACGGGATACGATCACTGCTCATCTGGGTGAGATCTATGCCAGCAATACCTTTGTTCCCTTAGATGACCGCAAAGGTAGCCCTGCTGTCAACATGATATCTACGGGAATTCGCAATATTTGCCTCACATCTGCTTTCCATTTCGAGGATGGAACAAGCGAAGAGCTGGAGATGATCCAGAAGGTCAACCTGGATTTCAGTGTATGTTATCTCGAACATCAGCCAAACCAGCCGCGTCCAGATATCGAAGCGGAAGGGTCTATGTCTCCGATAAATCTCAGGATATCGCAAACCCAGCTCAAGTTCCTGCTGGAAATTTTCAAATCAGTACCGGGAGCTTTCACCCCAGATAGTGAGCAACAGGAACTTGAAGCTATGCAGGCTCTTCCACCGGCAACGACAGAGCCAGTCAGAGCTTCCTCCGAAGCCAAAGAGAAGTCGAAGCTGACCCACCAGGCGCCTGAGATTGACTCGGACAAGGAAACATGGGTGAAACTTGACATGATATTCAAGGTCGATAGCATCGGCCTAGAATTGATCCAGGCCCAGGAAAACCAGCCTGTTGGTCGACTGGAAGATTCCAGTCTATCAAAGTTCTCATTGAACGACACGAGGGTCAAAGTACGCATGCTGAGTGACGGGGCTTTGGAGTCAGAGCTCCTGATCCATTCATTTTCGATCAGAGACAGCCGCGCGCAAGAGACCAACAAGTTCAGGAAAATCATGTCTCTCATCAACAATGATGTCCAGCAACAATTTATGGCGAACATCTCAATGTCTCCCGGGCCTGATAAACATCTTATTGTCATGACCACCATTGATAGTCCGCGCATTATATTCGCATTGGACTACTTGGTTGCTCTTCAGTCGTTTGCAAATGCGGCATTTGCGACAGAGGCGCCGATGGAGGTCGAGGGGGTTGATGAAACCTCGGAGTCTGACACTACCTCGAGTGTCGCTGCCAGTAGAGACAGGTCTTCTGCAGTTTCGTCGGGTCAAGATACTGCGCCAAAAGAAGGCCAGATGACAGTCTCATTTAGAGCCGACATTGTCGATGCTCAGGTCATTCTGATCGCGAACCCCACTATCGCGAATACGGAAGCTATTGTCCTAGGCACGAAGCAGATACTTTTCTCCCACCAGAATGTCTCGACTCTGCAGATCAACAAGGTTGGCATGTTCCTTTGTCGCATGGACAAGTTTGAAACCAGTAGGCTCCGGATCCTGGATGACTTTACCCTTGAAATGTCCCTGGATAGCCGCCCCCAAGAAAAAGGATCGACAATGACCAATATCGACGTGCATGTTGAACCCCTGATCCTGCGGTTGTCACTTCGAGATATTCTTATTGCCACCCAGATCATGAACAAGGTATCTGAAATGACCACGCGGAGCACGCAAGCCCGAAAGGGCGATGAGCCAAAGAAAATCAAGGAGATCAAGGGTGATGATGCGAAATCTTCAAAGGGACGAACCGCTGGAGCCAAGCAGAAGTCGACAGATGTTGCTTCAAGAGGGAGCCAAGTCCGCGCTGACGTGTTCGCTCCCGAGCAAAGGCTTGCACCTCAACAATCAGCAATCATTAAACGGGAAGAGCTCAGCGCTCAGATTGACGGCATCAGAGTTATTCTCATAGGTGACTTGCACGAATTGCCATTGCTTGATTGGAGTGTCAAGAAATTCAACGTCGATGTCCGAGACTGGTCCTCGACCATGAATGCAGATACCAGCTTTGATACCTTCATCAACGTGTACAACTTTTCAAAGTCGGCTTGGGAACCTTTAATTGAACCTTGGCAACTTGGGTTCCACATGGCCAAAGAATTGAATCCGGATATTCTATCGATAGAGGCCTATTCCCACAAGACACTGGAGCTGACGGTCACTTCTGCGACTATAGCCCTTGCATCGAAGTCGCTCCAAGTCCTGTCTACTGATGAGGATGTTCTTTCCAAACCAAGAGGTGCTGATGCTCCTTATCGGATTCGCAACTATACCGGCTTTGACCTTCATGTGTGGGCAGATGTCGGGACCGAAGAGGGCGGACCAGCAGCGAAACTCAGCGATGGTGAGGAATATCCATGGCGTTTCGAAGATCCTACCGCCATGCGTGAGAATCTTACGCCCGAAGGCAACGCGGGTCTGGTAGGTGTCAAGCTTGAAGGAAGCGGCTTCGATAGTGTCAACCGTATTCCTGTCATTCGGGAAGGTGAAACACTGTACAACCTTAAGCCGAGGAAAGACAAGGTCCTGCATAAGTTGCTTGTCGATGTCAGGTTGGGTACAGACAACGTCAAGTATATAACGTTCCGCTCTCCCTTGCTCGTCGAGAACAATACCCAAATACCGGTTGAGCTGGGTGTGTTTAGCCCTGACGAAGGTCATCTTCTGAAGATCGAGAAGATCCTCCCTGGTGACGCTCGCCCTGCACCAGTTGGATCCGCGTATTTACATCACCTCCTTGTTCGGCCCGATCAAGGGTTCGGATATGACTGGTCCAACGAACAGCTCTTCTGGAAGGACCTCTTGCGGCGACCGACGCGAACCATCACATGTCTGAGTGAAAATGGGCAACAGTCTCCTCCTTTCTACTTCCAGATGAATGCATCTTACGACAAGAACGACCCTCTCACCAATCATTATCCACACATGAAGATTCGGATTTCAGCCCCTGTCGAGATCCAAAATCTGCTTCCATATGACTTTAAATATCGCATCTACGACAAGAACACAAGGAAGGATTGGACCAATTTCTTGCGGAAGGGTGGAGTCAGTCCCGTGCATGTCGTCGAGCTGTCACATTTGCTCCTTCTCAGCATCGATTTACAGGACACAGTATTCAAGCAAAGTGACTTCGCCATTATCAATGGCAATGCGCAAGATTTCAGAAGAGAGGATGTCCTGTCATTGAAGGACGAGCGGGGCATACAATTGAAATTAAAGCTGCACTATTACAATGTTCCTGATAGTGGCGGCGCTTTCAAAGTCAGCGTGTACAGTCCGTATCTGATACTTAACAAGACGGGGCTGAGTATGGAAATTCAAAGCAAGGGTTTCCTCCAGTCCGCAAGGTCATCAGCGGGGCAAGGAATCAATACCGACCCGAACGGTGGACGGGCGCTCCCGTACATGTATTCTTATCCCACAGATGACCCGAAAAACCGATCTATTCTGAAGGTCGGCGACTCAGCCTGGAGCAAACCGCAGAGTTTTGATGCGATTGGCAGTACATTCGAGGTTGTACTCCCTTCAAGAACAAGCAGATCGGAATTCCACGCTGGAGTGTCCGTCACAGAAGGAGAGGGCAAGTACAAATTGACAAAGGTTGTCACGGTTGCCCCCAGGTTCATCCTCAAAAATAAATTAAGCGAGGATCTCCTCGTTAGAGAACCTGGCTCGTCCAACGTTATTGCTATGAGAGCCGGCGATCTAGTGCCTCTTCGCTTTTTGCGTCAGGTCCCAGAGAAGCAGCTATGTCTGTGTTTCCCAGGCGTCAATAACCAATGGTCGTCTCCTTTCAACATCGTCGATGTGGGCACGATACATGTAAAACTCGCCAAAGCAAATCAGCGACAGCGACTTATCAAAGTCGAGATCGTCATGGAAGGAGCAACGCTGTTCCTTCACTTCAGCATGGAGACTAAGCATTGGCCATTCTCTATGCGTAATGAGAGTGACATGGAATTCATGTTCTTCCAATCTGTAAGTGTCATGAATATTTAACTACAGTACGTGCAGAACTCTCTACTGACGAACCCCAGAATCCCAACGTCGAGGAAGATGAGGAAGAGACCACCAGTGGGTGGCGGCCAATTCGTTACCGGCTGCCACCTCGGAGCATCATGCCATATGCCTGGGACTATCCAGCTGCGAAGAACAAGTCTCTCGTGCTGACCTGCAACGGGAAGGAAAGACATATCAAACTTGCCGAAATTGGAAACCTGATTCCTATGAGAGTTCCTGCCAACGGAGGTCAAAAGATCATTGACCTCAATATAGTTGCTGATGGGCCTACTCAGACATTGGTTCTTTCTAACTTCAAACAATCCAAGAGCCTTTACAGACAGCAGAAGGCACAGACGTCTCAAACAAGCGTTGCGTCGGGCTTTGAAGTCAAAGAGGAAAATTCGGACGTCACTTTCAAAGCTCAGCTCCGCTTAGGTGGTGTGGGCATATCTTTGATCAATCAGACCATGAAAGAACTGCTTTATTGCACTTTCCGCGAAATCGAGCTCAAGCTGCGGGAGTCCATGGTATATCAGACGCTGAATATGACAATAAAGTGGATACAGATCGACAACCAGCTATACGGAGGCATCTTCCCGATTCTCTTGTACCCGAGTGTGGTCCCTAAAACTGGTAAGGAGATGGAGGCGCATCCTATATTCCAGGCCATGGTCACGCGGGTGAAGGATGATTCGTACGGTGTGCTGTACATCAAGTATGCCACAGTGCTTCTCCAGCAGATGACTCTGGAGTTGGACGAAGACTTTGTATTTGCCATGATCGAATTTGCGAAAGTGCCAGGTGCTTCATGGTCTGAGGAGCAAGAAGGGAAGCTTTGCGATGAGAGCCTGGACATTCCGGAGCCGAAATACGAAGACGCTGGCCATGACGTCTATTTCGAGCTCCTGCACTTGCAACCCATGCAGGTGGACATTTCTTTCATGCGTACGGAGCGGGTAAACGCTGAAGACAAACTGCAGCCGTCAAACCCATTCATGTTCTTCGTCAATGTGATGACAATGTCCATCGGAAACGTGAATGACGCGCCAATCCGCTTGAACGCACTGATGCTTGAGAATGCTAGGGTCTCCATTCCCTTGCTTATTTCCAATATCCGAAAGCACTATACCCAGGAATTCCTTCGCCAGATCCATGTCGTCATCGGGTCCGCTGATTTCCTTGGAAATCCTGTAGGCCTGTTTAACAACATCAGCTCCGGTGTGGCGGACATTTTCTACGAGCCATACCAGGGACTGGTCGTTACAGACCGGCCGCAGGAACTGGGTTATGGCATCGCCAAGGGTGCCAGCAGCTTCATCCGCAAATCGGTGTTCGGTTTCTCCGACAGTATGGCGAAGATCACAGGAAGCATGTCCAAGGGACTTGCAGCGGCCACCCTCGACAAGGAATTCCAGGATCAGAGGCGCATGTCAAAGGCGCGGAACAGACCGAAACATGCACTTTACGGCATCACCTCTGGCGGCAACGCATTCGCAGCCAGCTTGGCTAGTGGTATTGGGGGCTTAGCCCGCCATCCACTTCAGGGCGCAGAGAAGGAAGGCTTCCAAGGGTTTATGAAAGGCGTTGGTAAGGGCGTACTGGGAGTCGTCACCAAGCCGGCTATTGGAGCCTTTGATCTTGCTTCCAGTATGTATATCTTCTCTTTTCACTAGCCTTTGATACTAACGGCCGTGGCAGATCTTGCGGAGGGTGTTCGAAACACTACCACTGTTTTCGATTCAGAAGGCTTGGACCGCGTCCGACTTACCCGGTTTATCGGCATGGACGGCATTGTGCGACCTTATTCTCAGCGCGAAGCTCTCGGACAATTCTGGCTCAAGACCACGGATGACGGCAAGTATTTCAACGAAGACTACATCGCGCATCTTGAGCTCCCGGGGCGGGATATGCTGGTGATGTTGACGTACGACCGGATCATGCTCGTGCGCTCGCAGAAGCTTCGCACCGAGTGGGATATCAAGCTCACAGACATCCAAACGATCTCCAAAGAGCGGACAGGGATGAGCATCACACTGAAGGGAGGTGCCAATGGGCCATTTATTCCGGTCCAGGACGAAAGTTCCAGGAATTGGCTATATAAGCAGATTGCCATAGGTACGAGGACTCGTTTTAAACTCAAGATAACCTGACTGACTGACTGACTTTTATATAGCCGTGAACGCGTTCAATGAGAAATACAATGCGAAGGGCTAATAATGACATTTATCTATACTTGACGAGGTTACGCTGAGATGGTTCCAGAGATTTTTATTTAATGAGTTCAATGTAATGCGCATGATGCATGTATGTCTGTATGTATATACATTCCATAAATAAATAAAAGATAAATAATCAAGCACGACCCCCACTTCTCCTGAAAACGATATACAATATGCCAATGTTAAATTCCCATCCTGGTTGTTCTAAGTAGTGTCTACATGTATAGGAAGGAAACAGCTATGTATACGAGGAAGGCATTAATATATTCATCATCGTTTACCACGAATTCTATCTATTCATTATAATTATATGCAAGTTAACAAGGACTCTCTTTATCAAGAACAGAGAGATATTAGATAGATAGAGGGTATCATTTATTCAATCAATCATGCTATCTGTCTGGTCTGTCTATCTGTCCGTACATATCCCAATCCCTACCAAAAAAAGTATTTAAAACGCATTGTGCATGTAGGCATGCATGGTATACACTGTGATTATTAAACCCTTTCCCCTTCTTTTTTTTTTCCTTTTATCACACACACACACTCTCTTGTTTATGTTTATTATTTTTATCTACCCTCCGCACGCTCCACCAACCGATCCTCAAGCCCAACCGGCTCCCAGACATCGCGCGCCTTGCGGCTCTGCGCCCAGACGACGTCGTCCTGCAGGAAGACCACAACGCCGCCTTTGCCCGTCGCGCTGGCCGTGATGCGGAACAGAGGCTGGCCGTTTTGCGGATGGGCCTCGCGCAGCGGCAGGATGATGAGCCCCTGCTCGGCGCACCAGCTCTCGACGATGTCCTTGAAGGCGATTTCCTGGGGAGGTTTTGGCTTGGGAGGTGCGGGTGCAGGAGCTGCTGCTTTGTCTTTGTCTGGTTGAGGGAATCCAGCGGCGACAGAGGGCTGCTGTTGGCTCGCTGGGGCGGTATCCGGCGGTGGGAGCTCGGTCGCTGCGCGGTCGCCCAGACGAGATGCCAGGTCCATCATGCGCAGGCCCTTGGTCCATTCGTCGTCTACGACGGCCAGTTCGTTGATCTCCGTCGGGATCTGGGACCGCCACCACGAGAACCATTCGCCGACTTCCTCGTAGTTGGGCTCGTTGGTCAGCCAGATGTAGAGGATGTTGTGCCACTTGGGGAAGAATTCGGCCACCAGTAGCAGGCCCAGCACGTTGGGCTTGTAGTAGTCCTTCCAGGCGAGCACGTCCTCGAGGGCCGTGAGATCCTGGTCTTGGGGGTTGATCTCGAATTCCTCCCGTAGGTGTCTCGCCAGTCGGGGCAGGAGGTGATTGCGCAGAGCAACGTCGAACTCGGATCCCAGAGCCTCTTTCCACAGGTCGATCCCGCCCACCAGTCCTTTGCGCAGGTCCCAAGTGTCCAACACCACCCGGAATTTGCGCTTCACGTCCGACAACAGGCCGGTCGCGTGTTTGGGATCGGTGTGCCGCTCATCCAGATACTGAAGCCAGGTGAATAGCCACCACGGGAAGCGCGAACTGTGCTTAGACGAGTCGGGATGCCGTCGGCTGCTGCGTGGCTTCCACTCCTTGATCGCGCTGCTCAGCTTGGGGACCACCACCTGGTCGAGCACGTTCGCATAAACGAACGGCGGCACTACGTCTTTCCATGCAACGACCAGAGCCGTGGCCGGTGAGGGATCATAAACGTCCCAATCGTTCACGAGCACGGAGCGCACGCGAGGAAGCCATTTGGAGTAGATTAGGGACTCGTAGGACGTTGTAGACTGTCGTTGTCGCTCCTCATCACCGCCACGCTTTCGGCAGAGAAGAGACTGGAGACGTCGGAGACTGTCGACCAGATACGTCGGATCTTTCAAGGGCTCCCACTCTTCCATCGCCTTCTGGAAAAGCGGGTGGATGGCGGCCACGGCCGCATCGGAGAGTCGGTATTCATCAATCACTTCCCGGTATTCCGCTTCCAATGCTTCCAACTTGTTCGTCACGGCCTCGAATCGAGCCGTCACGTCATCCAGCGGATCGAAGATCTGTAACGCTTCCACAGCCGACACTAGCGCCGTGAGTTGCTCCATCTTGGCCTGGTAGGCATCTATCTCCTCGATCACCTGTGCCTCCTCCACCTCGATAAACTTCTTCCTTTCCGTCAGTCCTTTCCATTCATCGACGAACGCTTCCAGATCGTGCCGGGCCCGCCGTGCAATCTTGAGTGCCTCGCCTTCTCCCTGGTTGACGAATTCCATGGGCGTCATCAAACCCGCTGTGGACGTCAACACCCTCTGCTCCTTGCCTGTGGCGTCGACCAGCGACTTGAGAACGTTGGGGACCTCGAGGCCAGCTGCATCCGCTTCGATTTCTCGAGCTGTTCGGAAACGCGGTTTCGGGGGCCCTGCTGGGGTGCCCGCTCCGCTGCGGCCCTCACGTCTGCGCTCTTCCTTGCGCTTCTGACGCTGCCTGCGCTCCTCATCCGAACTGTCTTCCAGAATCTCTCCCATACTGGCTGCCTGTCGTTTTTCTTCCTCCCTGGCCTGCTTTGTCTTTTCCCGTATGGCACCTAGACCGACACCCTGGGGGCGTGCTTGAGCTTCAATGGGGTTGACGATACCTTGCCCACTGGCGCCCAATCCTTGACCCTCGACGTAACCCATTTTTGCCATCATGCGCGCTGCAAACGAGTTCCCGCTCAGTAACGGGCCCCCTTTAGCGCCGCCGCCTCCTCCTCTATTTGAAGCTGCTGTGGCCGTGTTCGTCGCCATGTTGTTCCACGCGCTACGGCGGGCGCTTCCCAGGCCCGATGAGGGAGGAGATTCTGAACGCGAGGAAGCGCGCGTAAACCCGCGGAAGCCAAAGGCTGGCCGAGAAGCCTCTTCTTCATCCGACGAGCTCATGTCTGCGATCTTGCGCTTCTGGCCAGCATACGGCGGCGATGGAGGTGGCGAGTCGGAGTCCATGTTCGCGGATCCGCGATAAAAACCAGAGGGCGAACGCAACAGGTTCGAGCAGTGTGCAGCCTGAACGGGAACAGGGCCCTCACAAAGTAGTCTGCGCGGACATCTGGGACCCCCGAGAGCAAAATTTTCGAGGCGAGGGTGGTGAAAGAACGCGCCTGGTTGCCTTGTGTGTCGGTGTCTTAGCCCTCAGATCTGAAATGTTGCGGAGCTCTGCTTATCCGCCGGAGCCGGAAAAAGTAATCTGCCGTATACCCGAGCCCGACCGACGATGACGTTTTGTTTGCCTATAGTCGGCCAAGCGCGATTATTAACGGGCCCTCGTCCTCGTCCCCGTCCGTTGCTCTTTCAATTGCTCCTCAGAGCTGTACGGGCACACTCTCTCGATCAGACCAGATCACGTCCATTGTCTGTCTCACAATGTCTGCCTCCCTCGTTCGCTCTTCGACCGCCCGCGCCGCCCTGCGCGCCGCAGCCTCGACCGCTCGCCCAAGGGCGGCCGGACTTGCGGGAACGAGCTTTGTCCGGAACAAAGTTACCCTCCCTGATCTTTCCTGTACGTCTCACCTCATGGTCCCCTGGGTGTAGTGATGCATGTCAAATATTGCCCTGCATTGTCCTCTGTCTTATCACTTCCCCTCCATGGTTATGATGCTTGTGACGGATGCCCCTCCCTTATGTCCGGCAGCCGTCCAGTTCCGATGCGAAAGGAAACAATCATGACCGGTACTGACCTTCTATCCCTCCGAACCAGATGACTATGGTGCTCTGGAACCCTCCATCTCTGGCAAGATCATGGAGCTGCACCACAAGGGCCACCACAACGCCTACGTCAACGGGTACAACACGGCGATCGAGAAGTTCCAGGAGGCCCAGGCCAAGAACGACGTCGCCGCCCAGGTCGCTCTGAAGCCGCTGATCAACTTCAACGGCGGTGGCCACCTGAACCACACGCTCTTCTGGGAGAACCTGGCCCCCAAGAGCGCCGGTGGCGGTGAGCCGCCGTCGGGCGCGCTGGGCAAGGCCATCAACGAGACCTACGGCAGCTTCAGCGAGTTCCAGAACAAGTTCATCGCTGCCCTGGCGGGTATTCAGGGGAGCGGCTGGGCTTGGCTGGTCAAGGACAAGGAGACTGGCCGGATTGGCATTAAGACCTATGCCGTATGTCACTGTCCCTCCCAGACTTATCTATCCATAACAACAAGCACTGATACTGACCCCGATGATTAATTAGAACCAAGACCCCGTCGTCGGCCAGTACGTTCCACTTCTGGGTGTTGACGCCTGGGAGCACGCATACTAGTAAGTCAGATCCGTTCCTGCGACTGTCCGGACGAGTTCAAGCTAACCGTCGTTTAGCCTCCAATACCAGAACCGCAAGGCCGAGTACTTCAAGGCTATCTGGGAGGTCCTGAACTGGAAGGCGGCTGAGAAGCGCTTCAGTGCGTAAACACCTGACGTCTAGGCATCTATAGGCATCTATCTCCTGTATCGTATCGTATAGATAGTGTGTAATGGCCAATCATCTTTTTTGATGTGTTGTACTGTACTGTACGCAGAATCATGACAGTTGTCAGATAACACTACCACAATATAGCAGATCTACGTAGTGAATATTAAATATATCCCGATAAGATAGAATCGAAGACATGGTAAAAAAAAGCTTCACTTTAACATTTAATATCAGTAGCAACAGTATCATGATAGTAACTATTCAATCCATCAATATCAACTAATCTAATTCACATCATTTGAGGTCACCCTTTTTCTTTCTTTTTTCTAGTAATAGTAGTAGTGTACGTCATCCATACAATTCAGTTAGTGAGTTAGTTGCCTTTCGTCAATCAGTCAGATCTTCGCATCGTTTACCTGTTTTTTGTTTTGCAAGACACAAGAAAGAAAAAGAGAGAGAAAAAAAAAGGAAAAAAACATGCCAGTCAGGCGCGTACATACATACATAAATACAGTCCAAAAAGGAAAAGAAAAAAGCGGGACACATTCATCCATCATGCATCAAGAGGGTGAAAAAAAAAAGAAACAGAAACAAAAACAATCATCAAACGAGAGTCGTTGCCTGGAAGGAAGAAATGCTGCGTTGAAAATAACAAATATCAAACATGCAAAAGAAAAAAAAACGAACGCTGGTGTAGATATAACATGACACGGTACTTTTTGACAAAGAAATACATGGTGGATAGTCGTAGTAGTAGAACATGATTTTGATCGGATTTATTTTGGAGAAATTGGAGAAAAGGAAAAAGGAAAAGGAGAAGCCAGAGGGTGGTGGGAGTAGTAAAGTTGGGTTGGGTTGGGGCATATGGGATCCAGCCCAGAGAGAGACAGACAGAGAAAGAAAAGACAGGGAGAGAGAGAGGGAGGGACGGAGAAAGAGAGAAAACACTGTCCTCTTTTCAAGGCTGAATGCAAATCCAACAGGTGAGAACATAGATGGGTATCATGACAGAAAGGACGATCGATGGTGATGATGACGATCAGAAAACGATGCCCGATATTGACGATAGGACGGTATGAAGGCAGAACTCATCCCATTCGTCGAGAACGCCTTCTGGCTTTCCACTCCGGCTCCTCTTCAGCTGGTGCAGAAGCCTTGGGCTTAGACGCAGTGCTGTCATTGTTCAATGTAGCAGCAGGCGCAAGGGAGGAGGACTTGCTCTTGTCTCGGGCTGGAGCTGCAGAGCTGTTAGTGGTGGGCTCGGCCTCCTTGCTTGACGAGCCCAGACTACTTGCTCCTTTCATCCACCCGAAGAGAGAGCCTCGTCGACGCGGTTCCGAACTATCTGATGTCACTGGACGCGATGCTGAAGAAGGCCGCGATTCTGTGAAGGGCCGGGGAATAGCGCGATTGCCCGCCGGCCGACTGCCTCCATCAGTACCTAGTTTAGCAGTAACATTTGCGGGAAGAGGACCGGAGTCGGCTCTCCGATGACGGGACACTACCATGTCACTGTGTTTCCGTATAACGGGCGAAGGAGCCTCGGGTCCATCGACGGGGTCAGACATGGGGTCCTGCTGCTGTTGGCGTTGAGAGTTGGCCCCGGTACGGCTGAAAAAACGAGGACGAAGGGATAAGCGTCGTCGAGGTGGAGCTTCTGCAGTTGGTTGGGGATTATTCGCCCAGGCGCGCAGTCGAAGCGGAGGATTGCGTGGGAGCTGTGGCTCGTCTGTACTGGAAGGCTCACCATTGGGTGCTTGTGCTTCATTCGGTTGTTCGGCAGTATCAACGTCCGTTCGTTTCTGGTCTTGGGCGAACTGAACCTCCGATCTGTTTCGCTCTTTTTTCGACTGAGGTTTAGCAGCCTCCAGCCAATCTTGAGGGGTCAAAGGAGAAGGACAAGGAGATAATTGAGTTGACTGAGCATCCGAAGCGATGGAGTTGAATGAAGGAGTACGGCCTGGTCTCATTCCTGACACGATCTCTTCAACCCCTTCTCCATTGAACAGCAGATCTCCACCGTAGCAGCTCAGCCGTGGGTTACTTGGACTCCCTGGACCTAGAACTCGGGTGGCTTTGGACGAGCCCCGGCCGAAGTAATTGAACGAATGGAACAGTCCGGTTATTTCGTCTCGTCCGCGGATGCTCATCGCGTGTTGCGTGGCATCGGTCATGGTTGTTTCCCCGCTATCTGAAAGTCTACTTACAGCGGTGCTTGGCCGTTGTGTTATCTCCCCCGCCGAGCGCGGTCGACCAAGTCTTCTCTGCATTGAAACCGGGCTGGCGGGCATCTTCTGATCAGGCGCACACTTCTCCGCGGCCTCACTCGCATTCGAACCGCTTCTCGCCCCTAGCACTGATGTGCTCATCGTGTCTGGAGTGGGGGGCAGCCTCCCACCAAAGATAGGAGGAGGATTATTCCGGGTAGGACTTTCGACATAAAAGGTTGGTTGCTGGTGCATGGGATTGAAGGCCTCATCGACGTGAATCTGTGTTCCCTTGGAGACTTCGGAAATTGCTCGAGGTCGGCGTCGTGGCGCGGTGGGACGCGGGGGTTCTTGCTGAGGCTGGATCCAGCACTTGATCCGGTCAATCTGGCTCTCCTTCATCTCGCTGTCGTCTCGGCCATTCTCCGACGGGTTAGCATCCGAGGAGGGCTTCTGAGCAGCATCAAAGTCGAGCTGGTCGAGCCGGTCAAGCTGATCGAATCCATCCTTGCCTGGTTGAACGTCCTGCGGACTGAAGTAGCTGCATTCGCTGAGGATGCTCAGCCTCGGGGATTCGGGTTCCGTTGTCGATTCCATGCTTGTGGCCATTGTTGATGCACTGAAGGACCTGAGAGACTTGTTTTCATCGGACAGATACAAGCTGCGGAGAGCAGCCGTGCTTCGGTTCTCTTCGCGAAGGAAGGACGGTGCCTTCCTCGGGGGACGGTAAGTGCCTCGCTTCGAGGAAGTTCTGTCGGGAATGTCGACTATGATCTGGGCCTTTGGTGTTGAGACTTCCACAAGCCCAGGACCAGTTTCTAACGACTCGTTACTCGAACGAGGCCGGGCAGTTGATGGGCGCGAATCAGTCTGATCTGCTTGCATTTCTTCTATCTTTGCCTCCAGTTGACAGATCAGTTCCACAGCCTCATGGATCGCCTGATCCCGCTTGTCGAGTTCGAGTTGGAGCTTTTCATTTTGTTCTCGCAGTCGCTGGTTGTTTCCTTCAACTTCTCGAAGCTCTTCCAATTCCTCCTCCAAGCCCCGCATCCGTTCCAGCTCTTCTTCCAGCTCATGCATCCGCTCTAGCTTCTTCTCCAGAGCAGCCACCTGCTGGGAGCGATGGAATATTTCAAGTTTCAAGTCAAAGTTCAGTTTGTTCATCTTGGAAATGTACTGCAGATCGTTAGCCGATGCAATTGGTTACTGCTTTCCACCCGGAGATTACTTACCTGATCCATCTCTCGGATCCCCATTTCACGGGGTTGTTTGAGGCCTGCCGAAAGAGCGGTGCTAACTTTTCTTTGCTTCTCCGACGAGGTTTCTTCTTGCGACTGCGACTGAGACTGAGACTGTGATTGTGATGAGGACGGCGTGCCTGAGACGACCTCCTCAGGGTCAGAGGTGGTCTTTTGAGATCCACGAATTGCCCGTTGCTCCTTGATCAAGCCCTGGAGGATGGTCGAAGTAGGGTTGACCAGAGACGAGGCCCCGGCATCTTCTACGCAACAACTATCAGCGAGGGAGCACGGGCGGGACGATTTCCAATATATAAGAGGACATACTTGAATTCCGACGTGGAGGGGTCTGGGGACACGAATTCATCGCCGAAAATTGTGACTTGGCGATATCTGTTCTGCTTTAGTCTTCATCGTAGCGTAACAAAGGACGATCCCGAAAGGCCTACCTGTGTTGATCTGCGGGGGGTTGTCTCTCGAGATCCGCCTCGGGGCCGGGACTTCAGACGTGTCTGGGTAGAACGCGTGTCAGTTGGAATCGCAGGACGCGAGAGATACGCTGGACTAACAGGAGGGACGGCTTTTGGAGGACACCCGTTGCGTGGGAGAAGCACCGTTGGCGTGTTGATATAGGATTGGCGACTGGGAAGACTGCCCGGTGGCAGACACGCGTCTCTGGTTGCGTCCACTCATTCTGGCGGAGCACCAGCGAGACAGTTATTTATTTATGGGATTTCTTGTCGTCGGTTCAATTCTGGCAAAACGGGCAGTGTGGGACAAAGCATCTAAGGGAACCACAGAAGCATTATCGGACGAGGTAAGCTGGAGCGAACCAGAGGCTCGAAGGTCGACATCTGCAATCCCAATTGGCGGTTAGTTCCGACACATGCGGTCTGGCAGATGCGAGGGGGAACGATAGATGGGGTCAACTTGCTGACGAGGTAATCACGATGGAGACGTGAGTTAAGGGGGACGGCGAGCGTTCCGTAGAGTAAGCCAGCGTGAGAGTGAGGTCGTCAAGGTTCAATGATCTGGGGACAAAGAAGCGAGGAGAAAGGAAAAAGTGATGGATGCAGGAGATGGTGTGACGAGTCAGCTGGCGACGCAGAGGTCAACGGCCTCCGCACGGCGTCCCAACCCTTGGGTAGGTTAGCAGCTTGGGTCCCTGACAGCGACGGCGACGAGTCCAGGGCCCAAGTTTCAGTCTTCAGAGCATTAGTGCCGCGACGAAGGGCTGCGAAGGCCTCGCGAGCCCAATCGGAGACTTGCCCGCCGCGATAGCATGGCGCTGCCCCTTGCTTCCGCACCGCCGCTTGCAGATTTTCAGGGGTCCGGCGGTCGAAAGCCGAGCCACCGCTGCTTTGTGACGTCTTCGGAGGATTCCTAATAATTTATCCGAGCAATAATATACGCGAGAGAGCGCCTGGTCCTGCTGCAGGCTGCATCATGGATGATATGATGCAGCGGCGGAGAAGCCGCTTCCCCAGAGCAGCTGCTTAATCGATTCCAGCGAGTGGGAGATCCATGGGTCGACGGATCACGGTCCGCAGCGGCTGTCCACAGCAGTTGCTGAATTGAGTGGCTCGTCGCCTCCTGGACCACGGATTTTGCTCGGACGCGTTATCGATAAGATGTGGTGGAGCTTGCATTGCAGCAAGCAAGTCATATCTGACAGGCATATACAGATCACTGGGAAAACGTTAATCGATCTATCCATTTGTCTGGATACTACTCTCCTCGTTTCTTCCTGTGTCTTCATAGCAGGTATCCTTATGATATGGGATCACTTTGGCCTCCATGTTTCCTTCCTGGGCCGTCTTGACAAGTATCGTCCGCTGCGAGAGCCAGCGATCCGTTTCTAGATATATGCGACTGGAGGTCTTCCATGCTCCACAAGAGACAGTGAGTGGATATGGAAACGGATCAGTGCCATGTGGCTTTTCGTTAACCTTATTTCATGTCCATGTGTCGAATTTGAAACACCTCTCCGTCGTCCATTTCGATCCACGTGTAGAGCCAGTTGGAATTGCTGCATGTTATCTGTCAAATGCACACCATTATTGCTCCTTATGACTTAGTTAGACAGGTCAATAACGTTACAACGGCCCAGGATGAAGCATGTGCCTGATTCAGCTTGATCTCTTTACATATGCAGTAGCACTGCCTTCTCCTTTACCATCCTGAAACACCACGATGACGACCAATCTCGGCATTTAGGCGAGTTAATTTTAGTGCAAATGGGTGTGTCCAGAGAATTCAATGCTTAAGAGTTCAATGAGACACCGTAGCACAAACATCACCCTGAGACAACTAAGAGGTCTCGGATAAGAACTATCCTTAATGCCATCTGATTTTGTTTATAGACTGTCATGACTATTGATGATTTCTTTCAGTCCTCTAGTTAGGAACAGCTTCAGATAGCATTTAAATTTATCTCTATAACTCTGACCTGTTTCTCGGACAGTCTGGTGTTAGTCAATGACAATTCTCATACGAATCAGTAGCTTTTAGTCACTACTCGGGTGCCACTGCATCTTTGGATAGGAAGTAGATTACAAGATAAAATGAAAAGTATAAATTACCTTTTCACATGGCCAAGGTATCCATGGATCACTTTTGATAGCCTAATTAGGCAGCACTGACAGTCAGATCCTTTATAGCTAGTCCATTTTTTTATTTATACCTATCGGCGAAGAAACAAGAGTAGAAATGCCAGTCTTCGCAGATGGCACTTTGTGTGGATCTCATCTGCGAAAAAAAAATACCAGGTTCCTTCACTGGCGCAACAATCACACACCAACTTTGACGAACCAATGACTTTTTTTGAGCAAAGTTTAAAGAGTACACGGAGGGCAGGGGATGTCGTCATTGAGAGGTTTATTACAGACAACTTGGTGTTGCCGGAGAGGAGAGCCATTCAGAGACAACTACCGAAACTCAGAGCACTGGTCGACAACGAAGTCAAAGTAATCTCAGCTTTGGCAAGTGGGACCTTCGATTGTACGATTTAATGCCAGCGATAACATCCAGTCCATTACGGTGTCCAGTCAACTTCCATTCATTAAGAGCACTTCCCAAGAGCAGCTGACGTGATGAGATCGGACGCAAGACGATTGATGTAGCCCAGAAGAACCATCAAGTAATCAAACTCAGGTCATACCTGACGTCTGTCATTCATTGAATCGTCATTTCCGTTTGTTGATCTAACGGTCAATACTCCCACGAAGAACCGGGTCCCAGAAACGCCATTGGTGCAAGATATTGTGGATATAAACATGCTTCCCATCCTTTTAGAACATCAAAAGCATAAGGAAAAAAAGAGAGATAATATCATCTACTTCCTCTTTTTTGCCTCCCCAGACCATATTCGCATCTCCTTGGCGCTGTCATGAGCGACACGGAACACTATCGCCAGAGTTAGCAAGCACTATCTCGGGTGATTGTTTCTTGGATTCTTCAGACATACACTGTCTCTCCGTTTCATCCAATCCTCGCAGGAACTCCACCCCGTCGCCTAGAGCTCCACGTGGATTATGGGCATGGTCTGCAATCTCTGCGGCGCGTTTCTTGAACGTCTAAAAAAGCAGTCAGTCAGCACAAGTAACAGGGATACCGGTGAATAAAGTTGAACTGACATCGCTCAAGATATCCACCATCTCCTCCTCCTCGAAGAGCTCTAAAATCCTGACGCCCAGGCTGTAAAAATGCGGTGCCAGCGAGCGCAGGTCAACAGTCCGTGGATCCGCCTTGAGGGCATTCATGACCCGTTCGGACAAGGCGGAGGGAAGGTCAAGCGTGACGAGACGCGAGGTGCCTAATCGAGCGCTGTTCCATCAGTTAGTCAATTGAACGAGAGAAAAGGCAAAGAGACAGTCTAGAATGTTGTTCAGCTTCTCTTGTTATAGCTAGGCTAGACATACCCGATAGAAAGCATCTCTCCCAGCCATAGTGGCAGATCGACTCGAGTCCCGGCTTTGATCTACAAGACGAAATGTTTCCATGTCACTATCAGCACAAGATTCAGACGCTGATTGAACGGCTTGGCTGGTTTCTTTTTTTCCCCCCCTGTTCGTTTGATGTCGACATACGCACACTTTCGCCCGGATTACCCTCCAAAATACCGAGTCCCGGCACCTCGAGTTCGAAAGTACAAGGGAGTTTCTATAAGCAGGAGTTATTATTATTATTCATTAGGTGAATTCGTCAAGATTGATAAGCCTCGCCGGGTGGAAGCCAGCTTACTTGTGCGTCCGTCAATATGGCATCAACATCGTAATAAGACATTTTTTTCCTTTTATAGAGATCAGACCAAATCAAATCATCAAAGAAGAAAATTGCTTGCCCGTAGGCAAGTATTGCAGAAACCTGGAATGGTGCCAGTACTGCTGGCCTACAGTATTGAATTGGCTGACTGTTGATGAGGCCGGCCGCCCGGTTACATCATAAAGGCACGCCGCACACCGCACGCGTCGAGGATCGCGTCTGGTCCGGTCCGGTCACGTGTCGCACGCCTATTTTTTTTTCCATTTGTGTCTTTTTTTTTTTCAATTTTGCTTTTTGTTCCCATCCCGTCTCCATCTCCGCGTCCCGAAATTACTTCAAGTCTCGACCGTTCGGCGCGCCGTGTTAAGGTTGGATGGTGGCCGTTTTTCGCTCCCGTGTTGAAGTTTGCTATCTAGGTACCTTGTACCTTGTAGTAGTATCTGTGTATACTCCGTAGGGAGTTTGAAGATCCTTGTGCCTGTATCATGCTTGTGTACTACTGATATTCCCCGTGAAAAAAGTGCTGTCGATTCTGCAGAGCACGGAGTAGTTTCAGTTGAAGGAGTCTAAGTTACGAGGAAAACCGGTCCACGGGTGCAACCACGTCGATTCAATTTCAGGGTAGAAATCCGCTTGTGGTGTGGGTTGCATATGGGAGCAAAGATCAGCATCCATGGATCTACGAGGTATTTGCAGATTACAAGATACTAGTAAAGAGGTTGGACGCTATCAAAGAAAGAGATATGTCATCACCCGGTGATTCGTTCATCGGTCGTTATCTTGGACAATTAAATTAGACAGTAGACTATCTTCAAGCCTGCCGCAATCTAGTCACGAGTGCTTGATCGCTGACCAGATAACAAGACTTGGGGGCTTATTTAGGGGCTTGGCATCAATCTTTACCAGGATACAAGGGTATGTCCTTTGTATCTATGCTGGTAGTTCTCATCTTGCCAGACTTGCCTGCTCTGACGCTTATCAATATAGTCTAATAGTGGTTGCTCAGGTGGGTTGCAGGCGTACAGACGAACGTGGTCCTTGTGACTTGTGTATAGAGCACTCCAGACGGAGTACACGATCATCATCTGGCTTCCTCCTTCGGGTGGGGGCTGTACCTGTACTCTTGAGTAAAGCTGAGCATCGCCGACGTGCTGATTGGTGATAAGGCTGCAGTTGCCGATGCATGAATCCTGTGATGTTTATCTTCCGGCAGGCGGTGGCACGAATATTCGAAATGGCATCCTAGCTTGTCTTGCAGATACTTAATTACTGGACTTGACCTCATTTGTGTTTGTGTTCCTCTGAAGGAGATGGTGCAGCCGATACCTTATCTCCTGCAGCTCAAAGAGCTGCTAGAGACTTTGAATGGACTATGACATGACATGACTGCAACAACCCGCTGCTGCAGACTTGATTACAATCAACAGGGTTAAAGCAAAAAAAAAAGGAAAGAAGGAAATGAAGGAAATAAAAATCTAAAATCTGGTCTGTAGAATCAGCAAACTAAGGCTGTTGCTGTGCTGGCATACCTCTCAGTCCCTTGCAGGTGAACAGCCAACTGCACGTGATCCCCAAGGATCGTCACAGCCCGATAACAGTTGCAAGCTGCATATGCTACTGGACTGTGCTAGCAGGCACTCTCTCATACTTCACTGAAATACTCTATTCCAACCAAGAATGATCGTCTCCCGGTGAACTGGACTGAGGCTTGGGACGATCGCACGTTGAGATCCCTGGTGCCCAGGGTCCACTGCAGCAGCTAGCGGAGGACGACAGGCATGGCCAGTTCTCGACCAGGGCTAACGCTCAGGTTGGGCAACATGCCGGCGGCAGTCTGGTGTCCGCGAACCAAAGGGCGTGAATGGGCTTTCCAAGAAAACCAGTGCCCGCAGCACTAAGAATAAAGACTTCACTTTGTCCAGGAATAGCCTGGCTGGCCACCTGCCACGGTGCCACATCCAAATTTAGGCACCGCGCCTGGGGAAAATTGGAGTGAGACCCGTCCCGGCCATTACTTCACTCTTCACCCTGGTCACGTCGCGTGTGCCTTTCTGTCTCACATCCAAAACTTCTTTAATCGCACTGCGCCCACTTCGTCATCCTCTGTTTCTGCTCCCTTCCTCGTGTGTTCCTGCTGGATGGCCGCATCCTGCGCATCCTGCGCTCCCCACGATTCCAATGGCTTACCGGGCCATTGCCCAGGTCGATCACGATGCCGTTTCCGATTCTGACACCTCCGATCGTCCCTCCTCAGCACCCGCACATCATGGGTCCCAGAGCCCCGTGGAGCCTGTTGGCAGCGTGCAAGAGTCCACGGCGGCCGGGCATCTGGGCTCCCTGATCCAGTCAATCAGAGGAAACAGCAGCTATGAGATGGTCGAGGACGATGACTACGAGGCTGCCGATCCCGACAGCGTCCATGCTACTAGTAACTCCGCCCAAACCAAACCGTCGTCGCCCGGCGCTCAGCACGACCCAGGCCCCCATGCTAGGCATTCCAACCCTCCGCTGAACCCTCCGCGGTCGCATTCCTCGTCGCCCGAGCCACTGGTGCGCACCTCCAGCGGCTCTGCCGTTCTCCGCCATCCGACCCCCGATCTGCAGTCGCTGCAGGGTGCCTATGTTGGAAACATCGAGCGGCTCGAGAAGAGCGCCGAGCGTCTGAGTATGACTTCGTCCGACCTCGGGGCGGAGCTGCGGAAGCTGGATTTGGAGCAGAAGAGACGTTCCTCCGCCTCCTCTGTCCTCCACGTCCCCGACTCTCCTGCGCGCCAATTCTCCGCGGGGTCCGTGTCCAACTCCATCATCGGTGTCAACAGTGCTGCGCGTACAGGGGGGGTACTCTCCAGGAGGCTTCGTTTCGTCCCCGAGAGGGTCAATTCTGTCCGGGACCGGTTCATACGGGGGTTCGCGTTTCCGTTCGACGTCGGTCAATTCCCGACTGGCTGAAGTCATGGAGCCGGAGCACGAAGAGGACCACCAAGACAATGCCGCTCCTGGCAATCGCGATGTGCCCCTTCTGGCGAATCCTCCTCCGCCGCCGCCCCAGCGTCAGGGTCAGGATTACGGTCAGGTTCAGGATTACGATCAGAATCGGAATCAGAATCAGAACGAAGGGCCTGCCATACCCTCTGACCAGATGGGGTTTACTGACGTGCCTCTCGAAGATCCACCTGACCGGCCCTCGACCGCTTTTTCGACCGACACCTATCAACAGGCGACGAACCTCTTTTCAGACTTTGACGGCGTTCACTGTGTTCCCTACCGTCGTGATTCTAGTGTATCACGCCAGTATTCTTTGAATAAGCCGCCTCTGGCTAGCGACGCGCAATACTACGAAGAGCCGCAAGCAGGGCAGAATTTGGTGTATTATCCCGCACCTATTCCCAAGGTGCTGAACCTCCCTCAACGTCTGTCAAAGAGGCCCCCAGTCTCCGAACACGAGAAGCGTCGTGCTCAACTCCTGAACACTATTGCCGCCGATGATAAGGCTGCAGAAGGGAATGAGAACAGAAAAGGCAAAAGGGCCTCAAACATCCCGCCGCAGTTGCGTGCCAGTGTCTTCTTTGAGCAGCCTTCCTCTTCCTTGAACATTCAGATGAAAGACCAATCCGCTGTGGTCACCTTGGACAGTATTTTGGACGCCTCTGCACATGCGCCTGTGACTGCCTTTACGGATCACCCCATTGTTGGTCATGTTGGATCTGAAGTATACGGCAAGGCGAGTAAGAAGCCGTCATCGAAAGATCTGGCTGAGAAGAAGAAGAAGCGTCGTTCGAAACTCCGTAAGAGCATACCCAACCCGGAGTCTAGCGCACCCCATGATCCCTCAAGCCAAGCACACGGTGACTCCGACCAGGATGTTGCAGAAGCGACTCCTCTTCGGAACGGTGGCCAGGAAGGAGAGGGTCCTTCAGGCTCGGACCGAGATGAACATGACGGCTCTCACAGCAGTGGCGAAGACGACCATGACGATGAGGAATCTAGCGAGGGTCAGGAGGAAGAGCCGATTCCTTATGGACGGCCTACAACCCTTCTCGCTGAACTGGAAAGGAGAAAACATGAACAGAAGCAGCGGAACCGTACAGCGGCCACGGCATTCCCGAACGGCATGCACTCTACCCTCTTGGAGCTGGATGCGGTCGCTCAAGCGCAGAGCAATGCCCGGCGAAACAAACAAGTGACCTTGGCTTGGGAAGCGTCGCCGTCTGAGGACCCAGACGCCGAGGACGACGAAGACGTGCCCCTCGGGGTCCTGTATGCTGGCAAGAGCCCAGTGTTGGCTGAAAGACGACCTCTTGGTTTGCTGGAACGACGGGAGCTCGAGGATAATGAACCCCTGAGCAGACGACGCGCAAGGCTCCGGGGGGAGGCTCCGCCAGACCCCATGCCTACGAAGCGTGCCAGTACGATGATGCACCCTCCAGCCTCCGGGCCAGCAGAGTCGGACAGTGATGAAAATGAAACCCTTGCTCAGCGCCTCCGCCGATTGAAAGCCCAAAATCAGTCGAAGAGTGTTATTTCCTCGGACTTTGCTAACGAGATCATGGCGGAACTCAACAATATTGGTGATCCCCCGCCCGAGCAGCAGAAGAATTCCCAGCCGGAGGGGCCCGTGGACGAGGAGGAAGAAACGCTCGGTCAACGCAAGAAACGCCTGCAAGCCGAGGCCAAGGCGCAGAAGGCTGAGAGGGGCCCTGATCCCAAGGTCCGCAGGAGCATGGCGGATATCCTGCAGGCGTATCCCTCTTCGAACGCCCGCCATAGCCAGGCACCCATTGATAATCCTCGCGCTTCCCGTATATCGACCAACCAAGCCCCGATGCACCCTAATCGCATGTCTGCGATGTACAGCATTCCTCCAAACATGACTTATCCGGCTACGGGATTGCCTCATTATCCGAGTGGCTATGGGGCTATGCCCGGCTATGGGATGCCGTCTGCCTATGGAAACGGATTCCACAACAACTCCTTCATGCACAGCCCTAGCCAGATGGGAATGAATGGCTTTGGTTCTGGCATGCCGCAGGCACCAGGACCCTCGATCCAGCAGCCTACCATTGATCCCAAGCAGCGGGAAATGATTGATCGTTGGCGGCAGAGCATCGCGATGTAGTTTAGAGGGGGTGCTCGCCTAGTCATTGCATCTTCTATCTCCTTCCCTCTTCATCCTTGGGCGTAAGAATTGGTTTTTTTTTTCAGATGCATGCATGCCTATCGGCGTTGGTGATGAGAGCGAAACCTTTTTTTTTTCTGGCATCGAGCCTTCTGAGTTATTATGATATCCAGGATCCCCGCCTAGGTTTTTAATCTTCCTAATGTATTATTATTTTTGCTAGGATCAGCTGCATCCATAAGAGCGCTTGAGCAGTACCAGTTTAATTCAGATAATACGCATTTACATTTCTTTCCTTCTTTTTTTTTTCTCTCTCTCTCTTACTTTTTTTTTTTAAAAAAAAATAATTGCTATTATTATTTACCTAAAAAAAGACCTAGATCGTATAGTCCAAGAGGGGCAGGGCGCCGTTATCTTTACTGCTTGACAGCACGAGGCGCTTACGTACAGGCCAGCCCACACGTGGGGATTGGCGTTAGAGTTCACTAAATAATAGCGTCCATCGCAACTGATCTTCGAGATCTAGCCAAGCACGACCGCAATCTAGAACCACGTACTCATCGACGATTGCTGCCAGTCCACTGTCGACTGCTGTCTCTGACCGTGGCGGCGAAGCAGTGGATTGCTCCCCCCGATCCGCGCGGCATCGAGATTGGGTCCAACCAGCGAGCGGCCCGTTCGCGGAATCACTGGAGCCTTCACTCTGGATCCTCCTCTTCGTTGCTTCCGATCAGCCCGTCTTTTTTTTCTCCGATAAAGGTTATCAGAAATATATTATTATTGTTAGTATTGTTATTCTTAATCTATTATTGTTAATCTTCTTCTCTTTTCAGTTCGCGACCAGCCTAAGCAAGCTCCAGGCAGAGCTCTCCCGCCATCAATTCGCGTGCAGCAATACTGGCAAAAGACATCAGCCAGCAGGCGTGCCCATCTGACAGCCCTCCCCACATCATCCATTATCATTCTCTGTGGTTGATTCGACCCAGCCAGTGACGATGAGAGCTGCTCTCACACCCTGAACAGCGTACCTGTCCTTCTGGAAGCGCCGCTGGCGCTCAGGCGACAGTCGTCATGGCGCCATCCACCGTTTTCGCATACTGGCGTCGCGATCATCGCCGGCAAGCCTCGTCTTCTCGTCCAGACTCTCCGCTGGCAGTCGCGCCTACAGTGAGCTCTGCAGACAGTGGTCCTCCCCAGTTACCACAGCTCCCGTCAACGCCTACGTTGTCAGATACGATCATTGAATCTGCGGGGCTGTCCGACTCGCTTTCGCCTTCTCCATTTACCGAACATCCCCCCGACGTACCTAAGGTGGATGGCCGTGGTTCGCATGGCCAAAGTGCCCGACACTCTTCTGCCAACTTTCCAGTGCCATCGCCGTCTTCCGAGGATCCTGCGCGCCCTCATTCGAGTCCAGAAAATGGTGTGAAGCAAGGCGGATTTACCTCGCAGCTGAACCACTCGCAGCAGTCTATTCCAGTACACAGACCGGACCATTCGGAAATGAATTCCCACAAGCCGAGTTCCCCATGGCGGCGGGGGTTTGGCAAAGGCATCCTAAGCCACCAGGCTGACGATCATAAAGGTGGTGCTTCTCATGGTGGCACGGCAGGAAGTGGCTTGCGTATCAACACAACTGCACAAGGCGCCGGGCGATCGTCGACGAAGGAATCCAAGCTCGAAAGCGTGTCATCCCGGCGGGAAGGTCACCATCATGATCCACCTGCGGAACACGTCCATCAGAAGTCCGGAAAGACAAAGTTCCATCTTTTGAATCCTATGTCCCTTCTGGCTCGGCGGCGGTCTTCACAGTTTTTGAGCTCACGGCAGGAGGAGGTTAAATTTGCCGCTCAGAGCGTGGTGCCTGCTATCCCAGATGACTACGATCCTCGGATCCGGGGGAATATCGTGCACGATTTCTCTGCTCCGCGTCCGCGCCGCAATGTCCCAGTCAAAGGGAGCGGCCATGAGCCACAGGCTTCTGCTCAAGAATCATCTGGCGCTGAGCAGCAGAAGCCGTGGAGCGAGCACTCGCCAGTCTTTAAGGAACATTTCGGGGAAGACCGCAAGCCTTTGCAGGTCGAAAACAAAGGCTATTTACAGTCAGAATTGATGACCAATTCGACCCTCTCCGATCGGGATCCTTCCGAGCTGCCAGCGTTTGCCCGGAAACTCCCTTTGAGAGTACCGGAGAATGATAATAGCAAGCCAGTCGAGCAGACAATTGAGGTTCCTAATCCGGAACCACGTCCACCATCACCGCCACGCGAACACTCCCCTCCTCGTCATCCTCCCAAGGAAACAACCGATGCCGCCCAACAGGCGCCTGGCGTGCCTAGCCGTCTCAAGAGCGATGCCTCGAGGTTCAGCTTCGATATGGGCGGCGTTGGTTCGTCGGTCCAGGAAAAGCTCCTGGAAGAGAAACACAAGGAGAAGGAGGCGGCGCGCAGGCAACAGGCTCTGCTGGAACGTTCGAGCTATAGTGATTTCGATGAAGACGACTTCGATTATGATGCGATGGAGGATGATGGGGGCATCGAGGAGAAGATTCCTGGGGTGAATGCGGACGCGGACGACGATGAATTTAATAGCGGTGTCCACGGCGTCGTAGGAACCGCCCAGACGTCTTTGTTCGTCCCCGCGTTACCTACGATCGCCGCCAGTCCGATCAGTCCTACAGGTTCTCATTCGGGGATCCTTGCAAAACCGCAGGATGCCCAGGGCCAAGCGGCTGGAAATGTGACGACTTCCGATCCCACTTCCCTGAATCAACGACGGCCTTCATCCGATTATGGAGATGATACGGATGCAGCGGGACAGAAGATTGGTCCAGGCTCAGAGTCTGCACCGGCCGCTGCTGGAAACAAGGAAGCCAAGGCCTCGCAGTCGATTGATGACGATGACTTGTACTATGACGACGGAGGCTTTGACGAGTTACCTGCTGATGCGGGTGATGGCGTCTTTGATGAATCCGTCTTTGACGATGAGAACAGCCACCTGTATCAACGCAAGTTCTACCCTGGAACCCGTATCCCCATTGGAACCGAGGGCCTGCCTGGTCCCGACCATCCTGAAGGACCCGTCGAGTCTGAATCATCGAAAAACTCGGACCTCCGACACATGCCAAGCCTGGCGAGCGAGTTTCGACATGATCCTTCGAGGTTCTCTGGTGCAGAGGCCCCTAAAGCTACTGGCGGCGTCTTGACGGAGCAGAACCTGGAGGCGTTCCACAACGCTCTTGCTCGGGTGGCAGAAGAAGCGGCGGCCGGCAAGGGCCTCCAGCGGAACATGAGCGTCAGTGAGACGTCTCTGGGCCAGGATAGCGCTGCGCAGACGGCGGACTCCCACCCGGGGCTGATCTCGGACGACAGCCGACTGAGCCACCAGACGATGGGATTTGACGACGTGGCTGACGACTTCAATTACGACGATTACGACGGATACGACGATGACCCCATTATTGCAGAGGCGAACGCAGAAGCTCTGGAAAATGACGACGAGGGCTTCTACGGGCGGGAGTTTGGGTTCTACGCACATGCCCATGGGAACTGCGATCCTGAGCCCTTCCACGGCGGATATTTTGGCCCTCGAGGCGTCGAGGGGATCAACCGCAGCCACAGTGGGCGCGGCAATTTCCGCGAGCCCAGTCTGACGCCCATCACGGAAAGGAGCGAATGGAGCACGCGCAACTCGATTATCTCGCTGACCACGCACGGGGCGGCGGCAGCGGCGCAATCCAACCCGTCGCTGTCGAGCCCCGGCCTGGCCCAGTTGGTCGACATGGGGAACATCGACGATGAAATGTCACTGGAAGCGTTGATGAAGCTCCGCCGGGGCGCCTTCGGAGGTAGCAATGGCAGCCTGCGCAGCAGTGCAGGCAGTCTGTCTCCACAGGCTGCACCCGCGGCTTCGTCCAACCGATGTAGTTTCCTCAGCATACCCGAGGACGGCCCGATGTTGAACACGACGGCGGAGGGCTCGTCTCCTCTGGCCGACCCAACGGGCGCTCCGGGCGGCGGACACTATGTCTCGTCGCCATTGATAGACCGGGAGAGCATCCCGGGGAGCCCGACGCTCACCTTGCATCAACCTGCGGGCCTCCGACAGGGCTTGACGGGTGAGGGAGGAGAAGCTGTGCGGGCCGCTGTGACGGCAGCCAAGGCGTCGCACAGCCGGAACAGCAGCTCTGCGAGCATCAGCTATGTCCAGGAGACCAACGAGGATGGGTCGAGCAAGTGGGTGTTGGAGCGACGGCGGCTGAGCGACAGCGGGGAGGTCGAGGTGTATGAACGGGAGGTGTTGGGAGAGGGACGGATTTGAAGGACGAGATCCATCTTCGTCTTTCTCCTCCTCTCTCTCTGTGTATAAATCCATGCGCCATGTTATGTTATGGGTTTGGTCTTTTGTGTTTCTATGGTGCTGGCGCTACCAAAGGAAATCTTGCATGGTGATGTTTTCTATCTTTTTTTTTCCCATTTCGGCGGACAATCTCCCTTGGAATATCTATTGGCATGAGGACATGACGCGATACGAATTTTCTTGAACATGGTCTGGTGTTGTTGGCGTCATGTATATAGAGAACACCCTTTTCTTTTTCTGGGCTTTTCTCGGTTGTTTTTCTTGTCCTTTTTATTTTTCCCGTACAGCTACGGATTCCATTTATCCTGTATATCTGTCTAACATAATATATTATCCGTCTTCATCTGGGTGTGAATGATCTGTTTCTGTTTCTGGCGGTGGACTGTGCCATTCGCTGTTGGAGAAAATGCCTCATCACGAGCCCCTCTACGGATATGCGGGATGATGTCGTCTCCAGCCCAGGGCGTGGCGCACGTAGACTGGTGGCTGTGGCTGGAACTGCTGTCAAACTGGTGCTGTTCTGTACAATATTATTATTATCATTATCAATGTTAATAACAATTAATAGTTATGGTTATCCTGAAAGGCTTGTCATTTGAAAAAAAAAAGCAGTATCAGCCCTGCAGTCGCCCTGCCGTGCCTGATGCCGTCGCCTTACTCCATAGCCGCGGCTGCAGCCAATGGCCGGGGCGGCAAACTAAAAGACAATTGTCGTAAAAAGCCGCATTGCCCCGGCGCAGCAGAGTTGCAGTCAGCCGTAAGACTGTTATTTTTATTGGCACGTAACCTCAGCTGTGTTTTCCTCGCCCTTCTCCCCTTTTCTGTTCCCTGGATACGCCTCTTCTGCTAATCCGCTCCTGCTTCTGCGCGCTGTGACTGGCTCGTGGCTGTGGCTGTTCCTGCTGCCGGCTAAGCGCGACGGACCAACCACCTGCTGCTGCGCTGCCATAGCCGAAACCCAGCCCAATACATCATCCGGACTTCCCTTGCTCCGTCTTCCTCCGTCCCCAATCTTCTCTTTGTTTCCTGTCGCTGCTCCTCCCTCGGAGGTCGTTCTCCTGCCTTCGATCGCTGCCATCTGGGCTCGTTCTCTCTTCGTCTGAGTCCGGCAGAACACCATTCTCCACTCTTTCTGCTGCCTTCTCGTGCCGTTGCGTGCCTTGTTTTCATGCCGGCCCGGCTCGAGTGACCCTTGTCGACTACTTTTTTCACACGTCGAGGCGAACAGTGATATCCCGCCATGCTTAGAGCCACGACCCTGAAAAAGGCGTCCGGCAGCGGTCTGCTGCGTGGCAGCTCCGCCTGCTCTGCCTGCCGGAGGTCGCTGTTCCTGGCGACGGCGTCCAAGAATGCCCCCGGTGCCATTGCGACGCGGCGACCCTTGGCTGTCATTGAGCGCACCTTCAACACCAGCCGGAGACAGTATGCGGCGGCTGCACAGAATACGGGTAGTGGGGTGGTAAGCCATACAGTCCCCAGGGAAAAGACAATGGATTCAATGCCACGAGAAAGAGAGAAGAAGCAAAATTCAAAAAAAAAAGGACTTGGACTAACTGGGGGATCTGCTGGCGCTTCGACGCGCTTGCGGACTTCTTTTACCTTGCAAATAGGACCCCAACGACTCCTTCCTGCAGGGAAACACGGCCAACTACATTGACGAGATGTACCTCGCCTGGCGGAAAGATCCCTCCAGCGTCCACATCTCGTGGCAGACCTACTTCAAGAACATGGAGGAAGGCAACATGCCCATCTCCCAGGCCTTCCAACCGCCGCCGACCATCGTGCCCGCCCCCGCCGCTGGCGTCCCCCAGCACCTGCCTGGCGCTGGGCCCGATCTGATGAACCACCTCAAGGTCCAGCTGCTCGTCCGTGCGTATCAGGCCCGCGGCCACCACAAGGCCAAGATCGACCCGCTGGGCATCCGTGGTGAGGTCGAGGCGTTCGGTTACCACAAGCCCAAGGAGCTCGAACTCAGCCACTACGGCTTCACCGAGAAGGACCTGGATCTGGAGTTCACCCTGGGCCCCGGTATCTTGCCCCGCTTCGAGACCGAAACCCGTAAGAAGATGAGCCTCCGCGAAATCATCGCCACCTGCGAAAAGGTCTACTGCGGTTCCTACGGTGTCGAGTACATTCACATTCCCGACCGCGTGCTCTGCGACTGGATCCGTGACCGCTTCGAGGTCCCGCAGCCCTACAAGTACTCCGTCGACGACAAGCGCCGCATTCTGGACCGGCTCATCTGGAGTTCCAGCTTCGAGGCCTTCCTGGCCACCAAGTTCCCCAACGACAAGCGTTTCGGTCTGGAGGGTTGTGAGTCCCTGGTCCCCGGTATGAAGGCCCTCATCGACCGCAGCGTCGAGCACGGCATCAAGGACATTGTCATCGGTATGCCCCACCGTGGTCGTTTGAACGTCCTCTCCAACGTCGTCCGCAAGCCGAACGAATCCATCTTCAGTGAGTTCTCCGGCACCGCCGAACCCACCGACGAGGGTTCCGGTGACGTGAAGTACCACCTCGGCATGAACTTCGAGCGCCCCACGCCGTCCGGGAAGCGTGTCCAGCTGTCGCTGGTCGCCAACCCATCCCATCTGGAAGCGGAGGACCCTGTCGTGCTGGGCAAGACGCGCGCCATCCAGCACTACAACAACGACGAGAAGGAGTTCAAGACTGCGATGGGTGTCCTGCTGCACGGAGATGCCGCCTTCGCCGCCCAGGGTGTGGTCTACGAGACCATGGGTTTCCACTCGCTGCCCGCCTACTCGACTGGAGGCACCATCCACATCATTGTGAACAACCAGATCGGATTCACTACGGACCCTCGCTTCGCTCGTTCGACTCCATACTGCTCCGATATCGCCAAGGCGATCGACGCCCCTGTCTTCCACGTCAATGCCGACGATGTCGAGGCGGTCAACTACGTCTGCCAGGTCGCCGCCGATTGGCGCGCCACGTTCAAGCGTGATGTCGTTGTCGACATCGTCTGCTACCGGAAGCAGGGTCACAACGAGACCGACCAGCCCTCCTTCACCCAGCCGCTGATGTACAAGCGCATCGCGACCCAGAAGAGCCAGCTCGACAAGTACGTCGAGAAGCTCATTGCTGAGGGCACCTTCACCAAGGAAGATATCGACGAGCACAAGAAATGGGTCTGGGGCATGCTGAACGACAGCTTCGACCGCAGCAAGGACTACCAACCCACCAGCAAGGAGTGGCTGACCTCCGCCTGGAACGGCTTCAAGACCCCCAAGGAGCTGGCCACCGAGGTCCTGCGACACCTGCCCACCGGTGTCGATGCGGACACGTTGCGTTTGATTGCGGACAAGATCAGCGGCGCTCCGGAGGGCTTCAACGTCCACCGCAACCTCAAGCGGATCCTGGCCAACCGGAAGAAGACCGTCGAGGAGGGCAAGGGCATTGACTGGGCCACCGCCGAGGCTCTGGCCTTCGGTACCCTGGTGAAGGAAGGCCACCACGTCCGTGTGTCGGGACAGGATGTCGAGCGTGGTACCTTCTCGCAGCGTCACGCCGTTCTGCACGACCAGGAAACCGAGGCCACCTACACCCCTCTGCAGCACATCAGCCCGGACCAGGCCACCTTTGTCATCTCTAACTCCTCGTTGAGCGAGTATGGCGTGTAAGTGCAACCCGACAACTCCTTGTTCAGTTGATTCTGTCCCACGTCTTGATGATACTGATTCTCTTTCTGCAGTCTCGGCTTCGAGTACGGATACTCTCTAACCTCGCCCAATGCGCTGGTGATGTGGGAGGCCCAGTTCGGTGACTTCGCCAACAACGCCCAATGTATCATTGATCAATTCATTGCCTCGGGTGAAATGAAGTGGCTGCAGCGATCGGGTCTGGTTGTGTCGCTGCCTCACGGCTACGACGGCCAGGGTCCGGAGCACTCCTCCGGTCGGATGGAGCGCTGGCTGCAGCTCTGCAATGAGGAGCCTCGTGTGTACCCATCCCCCGACAAGCTGGACCGCCAGCACCAGGACTGCAACATGCAGGTTGCCTGCATGACCACCCCGGCCAACCTCTTCCACATCCTGCGTCGCCAGATCAACCGCCAGTTCCGGAAACGTGAGTAAAAAAAAAAATCCTTGTTTTAGACTAATTCCTGCTTTGCTCTCGCGACTTTCCGCTAACTGACTGGTCTAGCTTTGATCATCTTCTTCTCGAAATCCCTGCTGCGTCACCCGATTGCCCGGTCCAACATTGAGGACTTCACGGGTGACTCTCACTTCCAGTGGATCATTCCTGACCCGGCCCACCAGACTTCTGCGATCGACGAGCCCGAGAAGATCGAGCGTGTCATCCTCTGCACTGGCCAGGTCTACGCCGCCCTGGTGAAACACCGCGAGAGCTTGGGCATCCGCAACACCGCCATCACCCGTGTCGAGCAGCTGCACCCGTTCCCGTGGGCTCTGCTGAAGGAGAACCTGGACAGTTACCCCAATGCTAAGAACATCGTGTGGGCTCAGGAGGAGCCGCTGAACGCGGGTGCATGGAGCTACGTCCAGCCTCGTATCGAGACCCTGCTGAACGAGACCAAGTACCACAACCGCCGCCACGTGCTGTACGCTGGTCGCCCGCCGAGCGCCTCGGTGGCCACTGGTATCAAGGCCATGCACGTCAAGGAAGAGCAGGAGTTGCTGGAGGAGGCGTTTAGTGTGCACCAGGAGCGCTTGAAGGGCGAGTAATTGTGATATAGAGTCTTGATGTGTTTTTTTTTTTGCTTGTACGAGGAATGTTGGAATCTGGTCATATCCTGGCCTGAGGGATAGACGTGGGGTGGATTTGGGAGCCGACATATTATCTGCCGTGTACTATTTCTCATTTTGTCTTCTTTCCTTTCGTTGGAAGCATAGTATTCTCACCACAAATGCATGTGTATTATTTGTCTCTTCCCGTTGATTCCTCTTTTTTTTTTTCCCTTCTTCCCCCTACCATCCTGTCTGCTGTTTTGATACTGCCTGCCATTGTCTCTGCTTTCCTTTGCTTTTTCCTGCTTTGCCTGCCCTTTTCCTGATTGCTGGGGTCGTTCCTTTGAATTGTGTTTCTTGTATTTCATCCATGACAGTGATATAGGAGTATATGTTCAAGATATAACTCATAAAACAACTTCTCTTCAGTTTTGCTCAGATGCTCAGATACTCAGGAATGTTACATACAGAGACCCTGCTTGTGTTTACTTAGAACTAGGCCCTTAGTGGTGTGTAAACAGCGCGTTTCCTTGCCTGTATTTCGCAGTAGTTCAACGGTACAAGTTGTGCGGATGAGTCAGCAGCGCACAAACCACATTATGCATAATTTTAGTCACGTGATCATACCGCTCGCGATGCACGCTTGGCCCGAAGAGGAAGCTCACCTCCATCCGTCACCGCCTTCCGGAAGTGCGTCGCCTGCGTCGTGCATCGGCAACTCGACTTCCCTCACTCCAGTTCAACGCGATTCAGGGAAGTGGCGCTTCATCTCTCTGTTCGGCCTTCATGGTTGATAATAGGTCTCTCCTTGGCTGCTCTCATCGCTAGCTGCTCCTCTTCTTTTCTCTTCTTTCCCCTCTGCTCTATCTCCTTCACAGGACCAGCTGCGGCTCGGTCCTGGCAGTAGCCAGCAACAGCAGCAATGGCCTCCACTTCGAATAACACCTCATCCACGGCCAGTTCCTCGCAGGCTCAAGGGGTCCGACACTCTGTCCGTCAGCAAACGCGTACGAACCCTTCGCGAACCTCAAAGACAGCTGCCCGCTCGTTCTCCTCTCTCTACGGCCAACCTTCCAACGATGCCCCCCAGACATCCAACGTCCCGCACGGCTTCTACCCAGCCCTTACCCATTTCACCGATGCCATCACCGCCCTGCCTCGAGAGTTCCGCCGCCATAACTCGCTGCTGAAAGAGGTCGATGCCAAAGCGTGGGCGCTCGAAGAGAATCTGTACCATCTGCTCACGATCGCGGCCGACTCGGAACCGGTCCCCTGTCCGCCCAATCCCGCGCCCATTGTGGATGGAGTGATCAGGGATTATGCGCTGCCACCGGTGAGTAGTTATTCCTGTTTTTATCAGGAAAATATTTCCAGTGCAGCGGATGTATATTTTCTTTTTCCGGATTTGGATTGTTTTCTGACTCCTTTGTCCGCAATAGGATGCCCCTGTCGAGTCGCAGGAGAGCAAGAATCGCAGGTTGCTCTTCGATCGCATCCGGCGCACGTTATCCGATTTGATGATGACGGCCGACGAGAAGAACCACGTAATCACCAATGCGAACGACGAGCTCGACCATCAGCTCTATCGCCTCGACTCTATTTTCCCTTACATCGCAGGGGAGATCAGCGAGGAGTCCCGCCTGGGCAGTCTCAACCATTGGGCCTACTCGAACCGGAGCAACGCGAAGACTTCGGGCTCGACAGCGAATGAGCGTCCGCGCCGTGAGGCCGCGTCCAACAACACAGCGCATCTGGTCCAGGCTATCCATGAGGCCGAAGCCGCGTCACGGAGTGAGGCCCGGCGCGAGGCCGTCTTGGCCCGCAAACAGCGCCGCAACCATGGCGAGTCCGACTTTGATGAGACCCGCGCTGGGGGTGCGCGCAAAGGTGCAGTGGCCAAGACAGACGCTGTCGCTGTCAGCACCGCGGCGCCGGCGAAGAGGAGGAAGGTCGAGAAACCCCAGCCCGCTCCGACGGGAGCAGCGCTGGAACGCTCATTGAGTGGAGTCAACAGCGCTGGACGGGCGACGTCTAAGGATGCTGCTGGCTCGGATGCGAAGAGGAGAGCTCGTGCGCCTAACACTGCCTCGACTGCCGGCCGCAAGAGGTATAGTGTTCTTATTGTTTTGTGTTCTGCTTGATTACTCGGGAGCATGTTACTAACTTCTACGATCTGTATGTGCAGAAACAATACCGTCACATCGAATGCAGGATCCCCGTCTGCCGTCTCATCCCCAGTGGTCGGGACCTTTAATCCTCCAAGGAACGCAACCAGCCCAGGACCCAATGCCCCCAGCCGGCCGCAGTCTTCCAGAGCCCAACAGAACACCAATCAGGCCACCAATGCTCGCCAACGCCCGCCGTCTTCGGCATCCAACCGCGTCAATAATTCCAGTACGTTTCCCGGACCAGGATCTGCCTTCGTAGTTGGTTCTTTTTCTTCTAACGCGGCACCCATCGCAGATAAATCCACGGATTCCAAGGCCAATAATACCAAGGAGGGGTCTATCAAGGAAGGGACTCCGCAGGCAGCCTCAGGGGACGGCAATCATAACGAAACAGAGAGTGCCAATACTGATACCAAGGTCCCTGTGGCGACTGTTAGGGATGATCCGTCGGAGGAAAAGATCGTGGACGAGTCCCAGGCCATGGAAACGGCAGCTGCAGGCGGGGGTTCCACCAGCAAAGGACGGTCATCGAAGAATTCGACACCTGTTCTTTCTACAGTGGAGCCCCAGCAATCGCGATCTCGACCTTCCCGGAATAATAACGATTCGGCGCCAGCGAAACGATCCCACAAGAAGAGTGGCAGTATCTCGGCGGCGCAGGCGGCTGCGGCGGCCACTGAGGACGAGGAGTCATCACGCGAGGGGGATGACGAGGACGATGAGGGAGAACCCCGGTACTGCTACTGTAATGAGATCAGTTTTGGGGAGATGGTTGCTTGCGATAACGACGCATGTCCGCGCGAGTGGTTCCATCTGTCGTGTGTGGGGCTGACGAAGCCTCCAGGGAAGAACGGTGAGTGCATGATCAGGTCGTCAAACAAAGAAACGAAACTAATTCTCGATTTTAGTGAAATGGTACTGCAACGAATGCAAGGAGAACATGAAGCGAGGCCGAAGTAACGGTGGAAGATAGACAACCTTGGCGATTGCTATCTTTCCGATTATAGCTGTGTAAGGAGTATTTTGGTTTTACGTGCACAAAAGTCTCAGGAACTGGGTTGGCACGAGTTGTGTATTTTATTGGATGCATATCGTTATGGATGACCCCTACGGCGTCGGTGTCTGTTGATTGGTCATTGTGTTATAAATGGGGTTCTGCATATACAGTCCTGTCTGCTGACTAGCAATATAGAATTGCTTGGTTTGAATTGGAATTTCAACGGCTGACTTGACTGATATTTTGCTTTCCTAAATACTGGCTGGCAAGAACACCCCATACATTCCTACAGTACTGACGTATCTTTCAAAAAAAAAAAAATTGGTTAGCTCAACATGCTGCTTTCACTGGTTGACAAGACGGTGTAGATGCCACCTGTCTTCCTGCCTGTACCTGAGTCTGGATAAGCGAGATTGGAATTTCTGTCCGTGTTTTAGGTGTCTAGCAGATTTTGCGTACGCGATATACACTGCACATCCAGCCTGGGGCTAATTATTACTCCGGGAGTCTGGATGGCTTCGGAACGATCCCCCTGATCCGCCTTTCTTTTGAATCTTGATCCACCATTTCCACTTCATCTCCCTGCCCAATGGCTGAAAAGACTCGAATGATTCGAAACAAAACAAAAGAAGATTCATTCGTTTCCACCCTTGACTAAAAATGGGAGATCGGCATGGAAGACGTCTGTCTGTTAGGTAGTCTCCGGCACCAAAATTGGTTCAGGTTCAACGGTCTTGTCCACGATCTTTCATTCGCTGGCTACCCGATCCCATTGCGTGGCCCTTACTACTACTAATGATGACTGATCGGATCCAATCTCACAAAGGGAAATCGAACCCGATATGATTATGACGACTGGGGATTTAGGGATTATTGTCGCCCCCATTATCAATCAGATTATCGCGGTCCACTCCAGCGGCTTCAACGCTAGCCTATCCGGATTGGGGTATAATGCCCTAAATTATTTAAATATGTCCCGTGCTTGGAACGACGAATTATCTGATGATTCTATTCTACCAGCCAGATTACCCAGGCCATGGATTGCGTAATCTGATGGCGTGGAGGAGGTCGAGATGGGTCTGTCGACAGTAAATAATTCGAAGGATGGTCTTATATATGATCATCAGACATGCGATCTCTGATGTTTCAACACATCCATCACTCGTTTCACTGAACAAGACAAAACAAACAATCGGTCAATCGCTTGGTTCTCCATGCTCCGTCGCTTTCTTCTCGCCAGCCTGGCTGGCCCTGTCCTGTCGGCTGCAGCGACTTACCCGGTCATCAACACCAAATATGGCCCTGTCCAGGGCGCTGCTTCTGAATATCGAGACGGCGTGACCGTCTACAAAGGCATCCCGTTCGCCGCTCCGCCAACCGGTGAAAACCGATGGAAGGCTCCGTCTGCGCCTGCTCCCTGGTCGGACGTCCTGAATGCGACGACTTTTGGCCCTCAGTGCGCCCAGCCGTACTCGTCTGCCGGCATCTTCTCGACGGGAAACAACCTGACTAGCGAGGACTGTCTGTACCTGAACATCTGGACACCCACGTACAACGATACCAGCGATCTCCCTTCGAAGAAGCTGCCCGTCTACTTCTGGATCTACGGCGGCCGTTTCGAAGGCGGCTCCGGCGACGTCAAGACCTACGATGGGTCCGGCCTGGCCATCAAGGACATCGTTGTCGTCACGACGAACTACCGTCTCGGCGCATTCGGTTTCCTTGCCCATCCAGAGCTCTCGGCGGAGTCCGGGCACAACAGCTCCGGGAACTACGGCCTCCTCGACCAGCAGTTCGCCCTGAAGTGGGTGCACGAGAATATCGCCTTCTTCGGCGGCGATCCCGACCGGATCACGGTTGGCGGCCAGTCCGCTGGCTCTGCAAGCTCCCTCGACATGATGTGGAGTCCTCTCTCGCGGGATCTGATCAAGGGCGTGATCTCGGAGAGCGGTGCGCGCGGACCCCATGATCCCAACACCGGCGGCGTGGCAACCAGTTACCGGACCAAGGACACGGCGGAGGCGCAGGGCGTCGCGTTCCTGAAGACGCTGAACGTGTCGTCGATCGCGCAGCTACGCAACGTGTCGACGCAGACGCTGATCAACTACGGGTCGTTGACGGACGACTCGGTGTACGAGGGCACGCGCTTCGAGACGCTTTTCTCGGGGCCTCCGCTCTGGCGGCCGGTGATCGATGGCTACGTGCTGCGGCACGGCTACGGCGAGGCCCTGCGGCTGAACGACCACGGCGACGTGCCCATCCTGACGGGGAACAACAAGGACGAGGCGGACGGGGGCGCGAGCACGCTCGCGGCGTACAGGGCCGACTACACCGCGCTCTTCCAGAACTTCTCGCGCGAGTTCTTGGCCGCGTACCCGGCCAGCAACGACACGCAGGCCAGCGAGAACAGCGACGAGCTCTTCCGCGACATGGCCCGCGTAGGGACGTGGCAGTGGGCAGCAGACTGGGCAGCCGGAGGCGCCAGAAGCAGCGTCTACACGTACTACTGGACGCACGCGCCGGCGGAGAACCGCGGCATGGGCGCCTACCACGGCTCCGAGCTGTGGTACGTCTTCAACAACATCCCGTACGCCGACTACTCGAACGTCACCTGGGACGCGGCCGACTATGCGATCGAGGCCATCATGTCCGAGTACTGGGCCAACTTCATCCGCACCGGCGATCCCAACGGCGGCAATCTGACCTACTGGCCGCCGTCGACCAATGCCAGCAAGACGACCATGTGGCTGGGCGATTCGTGGGGCGTTGGTCCGATTGCGGAGTCTCTGCAGCGAGTGGAGTTTATTGAGAGGTGGTTCGCTACGTTGCCTGAGTGGTAGATGCATTATCACTCATGAGCATCTTGCGAAGGGAGGTCTGTCTATGTACAGTACTGCATATTAACATGTACACTCACATGTATATATACACACACATATGTGCAGCGTTAAATACCTATAGGACAAAAAAACCCATAAGAAAAGATAATCTACCAGCTTAATATCCTGGTGAGAAGAAGAAGAAGAAGAAGAACTTAATGAATTAGTCCTGTACACCGTGATGATTATATTGATCACAAATCTACTTAATGAGGTAGTAGCAATCGATCAAAGATCTACGGTGAAAGCGGCATTGCTTCTGGATCATGTGACTGGTGTTTATCATGCACCTTCCTGCCCAGTAAGAACTTAGCAATCTACACACCTCACACAACTCCATTTCCTATCCTCAAGAGCTTGCCTAGCGAATTGCATACTGTAGGTCTCTCAGACTGAGCCGGTTTTTTTTAGTATGCCACCGGCTTACCTAGTTAAAAGTGAGAGCGGCTACAAAATCCTTCAATGACCTTAATATTGGATGTTAAATTGCATTGGGGACACGAGGGAATACACTCTATGGTCCGCCTATTCTCTTCCAGCTCGCCATGACTTACTTCGATATTTCGAGCGATCAGGATATCCCTGGCGGGTTAGGATTGCCACATAGGTTTCCCCCGGAAATTCCACCGCCGCTTCCGTTGTCTTTCGACACGGTGAATGAGAACCGCCCTCTTGCTGCTTCATCGCGGTCCTCCAATCTTTTCCGATTGCCTGTGGAGTTGTTGACACGCATCGTCCAGCTACTTCCGTCCTCTGCGCTGGCGGATTTTGCCCTGGTCAATCAGGACTGCCGGCAGCTTTCTCGATCACGACAATTCGCACGTGTCCGTTTTGACTATTCCCTGAAAAGTCTTGACCTGCTCAGGGTTCTGGTCCAGGAGGGCTTCGATCGCGCACAAAACAATGGATTAACGAAATCTCCAGCGCTCGGAGCTTGCACACGCCATGTCCCAGTCGGAATTCTGCGTGAACATTTAGAAGCTCGACATGGTGTTTCCTGGGACGAGGATTTTTTTCGATCGTGATGAACTGGAGCGCGAAAGAATGGTGACTGAGGCGAAAGATTCCTATTTTAGGACTTACATCCCATTTCTGCGGATAGCGATTGCAAAAGCCTTCCAAACCTCCAGGTGCTGGACTGGAGAGATAGGTTTACAGCCTCTCGCTCCTTTTTCTCCGACCTTGCCAAAAGCCCGGTAAAGCATCTCAAATTGTATATCGATGTTGATAAAAAGTTTGAGCTTGACCCGGAGGGTCTGCGGCCGAATGGCAGTTGGCCGTTGAGCACTCTCCATCTCGATCTGTCATCGTTCAATTCTCCTTTCGATTCTGTGTCGATCTCTTGCCTTTGCTACAGCATCCTCAGTGCATGCGCGCCCACATTACAGGATCTGGTGTGGATTACAAGTGACGACCCTGGAGATGAAATGTTGTCCGGCCAAGTCTGCGACATACATTTCCCAAAACTGAGAAGGTTGAAATTGTGGGGACTATCACCATCTGACTTTTCCTTATTTGACAAAACTCTTAGATCGGAGAAAGAATGCAACATATCACATTCTGGAAATTGACAGTGATGGTCGTCATCTGGAGAAGTATGGCACACTTGCCTCATTGGACACTCTCACATGGCATTTGTTTGATTCTGAAGTCAAGCCTGAGCTTGGTTTCCTGAAATCCAACCCTCAATTGACCAGGCTGTCCATCTTTTGGCCTCAACATCCAACAAACATGAGGGAAGTCGTCTCCCTTTTGCCTCGATCATTTTCCCGTCTGAGATCTTTGAGACTGACCTGGTATGGTACTTTCATCCCTGAGGATGTACTTCGGCTTCTTGGCACCATTACAAGCTTAGAACAGATCTGTCTAGCTGCTGGGCAAAAGTTTTATTGGACGCCCGAGTTTCTAATTGACCATGACGCTATGCGACACAATCTGGCCCCATTGAGGAACCTAAGAAAGATTGCCTTTGATCGTGACTCGTACGACATCGGTGTTGAAAACCCCGAAAGTTACTATAGTGTACCAAATCAGCTCCCCGTCGACGACGAGTTTCGCTTGCACTGGGAACGGAATCATAGGGATATGATTGTAACCGAAGCAAGGAAATACATGCGGGTATTTCCAAAGCTGGGGTGGCTCTACATCGGGCAGCTGCCGATGAAAATCGATGCCAATTCTGCCCAAGGCGTGGTGGTTCTATCAGAAAGAGATGAAGATATTACCTTGCTCGACCGTGTCTTTGGGTACGCAGGAAAGTTTTTCGTCGAATAACGACCAGAAAAAAAAATGATCTCGCGACAAAGATGGGTATTTTGACGGTTCAACTGCTCCGTAAACCTTAGTGACACGCCCTCTATTATTTGCAGGGCCCTTCGCCACGCTGCCCATAGTGCATTGTCGCCCCTGTGTCCACGGGATATGAACCCTCGACCGTACCGCATGATTGATTCGATTCACGAATCGTATGGACCTATACAATAGGTACATACAATGCTGGATACGCGTTTCGGAAAGAAGGATATTAGCTGCTTATGCAATCTCAACCTGACAAGCACCGGAAACCGCACGACTTGGCTACTGTCAGTCCACTAGGTGCCATTTATTATAACCATTAGAGAAGCAAAACAATCTTAGCTAGATCTAGGTAAGGAAGGTCTTACCTAGATTGGGAATTATTATTAAATTATTATTGATAATTTGATTCGATGAAGCGCGTAGGCGCAGATATATACATATATTTTTTTGTTCCTTCCTTCTCCCTATCGAATTACGCATTACGAATTATAATTATAGTCAAAAATTAATAGGTAATATTCTGCAGCACCTCGGCATCACTCTTCTTCCAGGGATGTTCGACTTCGACGGCGCGAACGAGCTTCTCGTGCTGGGGACTGCGCGGCGTGATCCTCGTCTGGAACGGCGCCGGATGGCTGATGACGCCAGGTTGCATTTCCACCACGGGCTCCACCTCCTTGCCATTCTCGTCGAGCGGCTTGCCGATGTTGAAGACGGCCAGGGAGAGCGCGATGCTCAGGTACAGCGACGTGTCGGCCAGCAATCGTCCTGGGCAGATGCGACGGCCGAAGCCAAAGGCCAGGCTGTGAGGGTCTGGCTCGGGCGGGTGCCCGTCCTGTTCTAAAAAGCGTTCGGGTTTGAAGGTCATCGGGTCGTGGTATGATTTGGGGTCGTGGAGGAAGCCCCTAGCAGATGGAAGTTAGAAAAAAATAGAAAGGAGGAAGGGGTACTATGTACCAGATGTTCGGCAACAGCAATGCGCCTTTTGGAATCAGATACCCCTCACAGACATCGTCCTCCGTAGTCATATGAGGAAGACCCATAGGGGCCACGGGGTTCCAGCGCAGAACCTCCTTCACAATCGCATCGATGTACGGAAGCTTCTCCCGATCAGCAACGCCTGGGAGCCGCTCGGTGCCAACGACCCGATCAATCTCCTCCTGGGCCTTCCGCTGAACCTCTGGGTGCAACATCATGGCTAAGAAGAAGCATGACAGCGACGACACAGTCTGTTTGGTAAGGTTAGCGTGCAAGAAGAAGAATGAACCTGCTGGATGGGATTGGAACCCACCGTATCAGCAGCACCGCCATATAGCGAGGCCGACGACCATTTGATCACAAACTCCTCTTCCTCGTCGAGATTTCCCTGTTCCAGTAACTGGGAGACATAGGACGGCTCATTGATGCCCTGCTTCATCTGCTGTTTGACAAACGCATAGGGTCTTTCGGCAAGATCGATGAAGACCTTTCTCCACTCCTTGGCCTTGCGCTTGAACCCGGCTCCGGGAAACCACTCCGGGATGTGTTTCACTAGCTATATTAGAATCATCTCGTCTGATATGATGGAGATCAGGAGCAACCACTTACAGGCAGGGATCACGTCCACGAGGTAAGCTCCTGTTGCGGCCGAACGTGAAAACAAATCGAGCGCCGTATCCGCCAGATCGATCAGAGGATCGTTCTTGTGTGGTTCAACTGTATAGTTATAGGCAAGTTTCAACATGATCGCCCCGGCTTCCCTGCATGCTGCGTTTAGTTTTCCTCCGCGCGTCGTCTGTTGCAAGAGAGTGAAACCGACTTTCGGATATGTTGAATCAGATTCTCCGGCTGCTGGAGGATGCGGAGCACAAAGCGACGGGCCTCAACCTCCTGCAGGTTATCAAAGCGCGAAACGGCCGCAGACGTCCCGATGAGCCGGCCCATGTTCTTCCGGTAGGCACGGAAACGATTCGAGTACGTCTGGGAGTTCAGGAAGTTTTCGCAGCCAAGCCTGTAGAAAAGATCCGATCAATCCCCCCATATTCCAGACAATGCGGACGACGAAAACAAAACGCACATTTCACCCGAAAAGACCAGCCGGGGTCGGGAGGAGTGTTTCGACGAACGCTTCTCCATGAGTTCGAATGCCAGGTTCGAGTCATTGAGGATGATGAGGGTCTGTCCTAAGACGGTCACCGAACTGATGGGACCTATGTTTTCCGTCAGTAGTTTCTTCTCGACGGGTTGCTCTTGGATGGCAGCACTTCTACCCACCGTAGAGGTCCTTATGGCGGAGCCAATGTAGCCATTCTGGTTTCCCTTTCTGAGGGAGATCGGAGATGTTGCCCACGAGTGGCTTTGGTTTGGGACCGGGAGGCAGCGGCGGGCCTCTCCTCTTGGAGAGGAGCAGCACTTTGACGAGATATGAAACCAGACTGACTAGCAGGATACTCAGGACGGGAGACAGCGTCGCCATGATGACGTTGGGGTTGACAGGGGAGGAGCAATGCAAGCCCAGTCAGCTTCAGATTTCGCCATGAAAAAGAAATAATATACGGAAACTGTTTATTATTATTTGCTTACTCGAGTCTTGTTTGCCCACACCCCTCCCCTCCTCCTGCATTAGTCGTTAACGTTAATCAGCAGATAAACCATGGAGCAGGTGTCAGTTCGCATTTTGGCATTTTGGCTTTGACCTAACCCTCGAGCGAGGGACTAAGCGGCACTAAATCCACGATGAGGAGATGGCATTGTTTCTTATATATGGGCCGGTCTCGCGGAAAAAGCCAATAGGATCGCGCCCGGCGTGTTGGCAGCATTGATTGCCCTCGCACTACACCACCATTCTGGTACTGGTGACGATTCAGATCGAGAATAGACTTAGGCGGTTGATTTCTTTCTTCAGCATTCTTCACGGGTCAGGATCGTCCCGTTCGTTTGGTCTGCAATCTTATCGTTTCTGTGGTAGACAACCGTCGCCTTTTCTTGTATGGAATCGTTTTTGATTTCATTTGTTGTATCGTTCTGATTTCGCAATAGACAGATTGGGCGTTTTGATGTTTCTTTATATTCTGTCAGTCCGTCCCTGGCGGTCACGTGCAGCGTTTCTGCAGCGATCTCTGAAAGGTGTACTCCATACTCCGTACGTGGCCCTGGCAGCCTGAATGCCTGACAGCCTACAGGCCTGTCTCGATGCACGAGTAAGATTCCAAGGACGAGCAAGGATGCATGATTCAGTATCCGTCCCCTAGATGCTAATTAGCAGTCCGTGCAAACTATGCTGCGGAGATCACGCATACGCGAGGTTCCGTCTGCGACAAACCATCCGGGGGAACGATCCATCGCCTTAACCTTGCGGCTCGGGAACTCCACGCATTGGACCAGGATCGGTCCAGACACAGCCCGGCTGAAGCTTGTACGCTGCAGAAATGCCCTGAGACCAGTTGACAAGCGCCTGGCCCCATGCTGGTCGAACCACGGCTCGGCCCCCGAGTATCGAGTCAACGCCACGCCGCAGCCGGCAACTCGGGCCGGGGCGGCCACGGCGTGCCGTCGACCTGTCACAGAAGCCTTTTTTCTATGAATGCTGGTTCTAGGGAGAGATATAAGCCGTTTCTGAAGAAATCTGCAAAGACCATCTCTACAGATCGCGCTTGGAGCCGACGGTTTCCCGTCCCAAGCCGTGCCAGATGCGCCAAGGATGCTGCTAACTGCCTGGGCGCTTAGGTAGGTAGCGATGTGCCTGCTAAATATATAATAATAATAATAGATTTTGGCGTTAAGAACTGAGACCTGTCAGGCTATCAGTGCTAATGTACGGAATAGTAGGGCCTAGGCGTCAATGCACATCGATCATATAATACATCAGAATCGGTTTAAGATAGGTCCTCGCCAGCTGGAAAGGGCCTGTTCTGTCTCCCACTCTTCGATCCCAGCATGGAGAGGGATTCTTCCGACAGCAAGCAGTCATGGTCGATTGCGGTCCTGGCGTCGATGACCGCCCTGGCGGCGCTGGCCGTCGGTCTTCGACTGCTCGCGCGCCATGAAAGGAAGCAGAAGCTGTGGTGGGATGACTGGCTCATCATATTCTCCCTGGTAGGAACTCGTCTCGCTGCAGATTCATGTTTGTTTCTGGCTCACATGGACGACTCCAGGCGTGGAATCTGGTCGTCATGGGTTTCATCATCGGCATGATCCAGTACGGCATGGGTCTTCATGCCACGCAGATTCCAATGGATAACCTGGTCATGATCGCCAAGTTCCTTCTGATCGCTGAGATCCTCTACGTGAGCAATCTGGTCTGGACCAAGATCAGCATTTTGATGATGTACTACCGCATCTTCCACTTCCCGTTTTTCAAGCGATGGGCGTATATTATCGGGGCTTTTATCATTATCTGGCTGATCCTCGTTATCTTCCTGTTTATTTTCACCTGTGTGCCCATTGAAAAGCAATGGAACCCCATGGTCCCTGGCCACTGTATCAGCCTGGTCGGAATTGGGGTTGCCAATTCGGCATCAACGATTCTCTCGGATCTGGCCATTTTGATTCTCCCGATTCGGCAGATCTGGAAACTGCAGTTGCGAAAGGCCGAGAAGGTTGCCCTGACGTTTGCATTTGGTCTTGGTTTCTTGTATGTCCTGCCCGATCTCTCTATTCCACTCCATGATATCTGTCTGACGATACCTCCAGCGTCATCTTTGCTTCTGCCTACCGCCTCGCAGTCGTTCTCACCTACAACGAACTCGATGCCTCATATTCTCTTGCTCCGGTGGTCGGCTGGACCGTCATCGAAATGTCTGCGGGCATCGTGTCGGCCTGCCTGCCGACCCTCCGCCCTGTGCTATTCCTCCTCGCGCGCAAACTCGGCATTCAGAACTCGTTGAGCTTCTTTCGCAGCGAGTCCTCCGCCGCCCTGACCAAGAAGAGCCGCCAGAACCTCGTCAACGGGGCCCAATCCGTGGGCGATTCGGCCAACGACGGCAAGGCCGGCCAACGGCCCTTCTACCGTCTCCCCGACGAGTCGCGATCCGCGGAGCAGAACCGTGTCAAGACGTCCTTTGATCCCACGGCAGCCGACCATGTGTACGTCAACACCGTCAGCAGCGGGATGGGGGGCGAGGGAGATACCGAGACGGCGAGCGGCGACGAGGTTCCATTGCAGAGTATTCGAGTGCAGAAAGATTTCACGCTAGTCCACCAGAGGTGAGAGGCGCAAAAACGGGGGACTCGCACGTGAAAAGGGAAAAAAAAAGGAAAAAAAAAGAAAAGAGGGCAGGATACCAACCAAAAATAAAGCTCTCTATGCATAAAGATACCATCTGCGATGCGGGTCAAAAAAGGGAATTTTTGGGAAGGATTCGGGTCTGTATATATATACATCCAAAATGTATACGGAGAACTTTTTTTATGTTCTTTAGCCCTAGAAACAGGCAGGGCCAAAACAAACAATTCTTATTACAAATCTTCTTACTATTATGTTCTTAATTTCTTGTTTAGGGTTTCCTAATGCCTATACTATATAATACCGTCTATAATTAAATAATAAGTATAGATTAGACCTATCTAATTAATAGAAGGAGGTTTTTCTTTATAGACATATCTTTAGTTATCTTTCTTACCTATCCTTCCGAAAGGAGAACAAAAAAGAAGAAGAAATAAGAGATTATAAAAACATGAAGATTAAGAGCCAATAGTCGAGATTCTAGATTTGATATTAAAGAAGTCAAGAGTTCTAGTTAATAGAGTAAATAGATTAGTCTTTATATATTGAGCTCTTCACCTTTTTTTTTTTTTCAACTCCTTTTACAGTCTTTCCTTTCCTTTCCTTTTCTTTTCTGACCAGATGCAGAGAAAAAAAGAAAGAAAGAAAGAAGGATTGGATGAATTACATACTACTAGTAACTTCTGTCTGTATGGGGCCTGAATACAATTTCTGCCACAAACACACACATTGGCTAAATGAAAGCAAAATGAAAAAAAAAAAAAAAGAGGACTTGGCAAGCAATTTCATTCAATTTCTACATCTAGAGACAGGTCCTAGAAAGGAAAACTCACGGGGCCAAAAAGGAAAAGAAAGAAGCGGAGAAAGAAGGGGAGGAGCTTCAACAGCTCATTCTCTTCTTCCTCGCGAGGTGAATGAGGGTCACTTCCATCCCGGGGTAGGCAAATGGGGCAGTAATCCTTCCTTTTTTTTTCCGAAACTGTATGTAGATTTTGCTGTCGCGGATCAATCATCGTCGTCCTCGTCATTATCATCCAGACTTGCGTGTTGAACAGAGATAACACGACGATCTGTCAGGTATTTGCAAAGCTAAAAGGTGCCAACATATGCGGAGAGCGAAAGAGATTAACTGACCAGACCTTGGTGATATGTTTATATAAACCGGTCCTCATGCAGACGAATATTCATAGCTTGAACAATGGGGGCCACAGCCTATGGAATATGGCCATCACAAGGTGTGGCACCCTTGCTTGCATCATCATTCCACTCGAGCATTTTCAACTGTTGCATAATGGTGACCTCCATCGCCCTTCAAGTTCTGCAACAGAGGGTGGAGATATAGATGCAAGTGGCCGTGTTGAAGATGGGTTCGACTAAACCAAATTCTCTCTCCCAATAGGTATAGTTCTCTAGGGATTCTTCTGCGCCTTCAGAAGCCAGAGTGTATCCGGATGTAGGTCCATACCTTATCTTCCGTGAGCACTGGTAGGGTTAGTTAGCCCTTTCATCAGTCTTTGTGAAACAGAAAGTAAGAATTCATCTTTTTTTCCACATCAGAAGGAAAATTCCTTTCATCGACAGGATATTTCTTTAGCATTAAAAAAAATTCCATGGCAAACTGCTCTCGTTTGATACCGAGACGTCTCAGCTCTTCGTCAGAGATGATAGGTACTCTTTCTTCTCCTGTCAGATTCTGGTCTAGAGCTGTTATATCCTGTCTTGCCCTAACATCAATAAATAAGAGCGTTAGAGAGCAGCATTTGGAGGCACTGTGATTAAGAAAATTCAAAGTTACAATGACAAAGTCCGTCGCGCAAAGGACAGAAGAATGAGGCCGTTATACCATATAGTCGAGTCAGCTTGTCAATGAGACAGACCTATGGACCTATACACAGCTCCATACCTATCGAGCAAAAATCTAGAGCACTCTGTCGACTACTCTTCATGTCGCGTGCAGCGACATCGACGGCTACACCCTACGTATGTATTCGAGCATGTGGAGTGTCCTTCCATTACACTAAGGACCATCTGTGGCCAGTTTAGAAAGAACATCGCTCCTTACATATACTCACCTGATGGCAGGTGTTCTGTATCTCTTATTAGATTAGAGACATTTGCACAGCCTCTTCTATTATTGCTGCCTAAAGACCTGCAATTTATGGCTCTATATGTCTTTGTAGAACAAGTTCTTATCCTAGTTCTTATCCTAGTTATTTAATTTAGTCTTCAGAGAATCCTCGTTTATTGCCACTATTATTATGATTGTTTGGGTATTAAGCGTTTTATGGTTATCTTGTTGGTTCTGCTGACTTTTTTTTGCATTGGTAATAGCCCGTCATCAACACTCTTTTGGTAATGGTGACCTGAAGTGGACAATGCTATTGCTATAAACTAAGAAGACAGAATGCTGTCCAATTTATATAATAATATAATTCAAGATATTTTCTCACCAGGATAGAGATAAGGAAATAGGGATCATTAAAAAAAAAAGGGACTCATCAATTGAATTGTCCGGAAGTTTTTTTTATCTCTGACTAAAGTAGATTAGTAGGATCAACCTATGCTATTTAGAGACGCATTATCTCTATTTGTCTTTAAAGTGTGGAAAAGGGGTTTGAGAAAGTAATCAAGACACGTAGTAATAGGTTATATCTTGAGGATCTATGACCAGGTGTAGCAAGGCAATATCGTATTCATTCTGCATGGAAGATACTTGACAGAGCTACGATCAAGGGTGCTCCAAGCTACTAGGTACATAGGTACATACATGGACAATCCATACACGTGACTACTACCCATGTGATCTGAGGATGGAGTAGCCATGTGGTTCGAGTATGGACTATCCATACGATGGAGATCCCATGTTGTCTCACGACACCAT